AAAAAATATAAATTAATAAAATAATAAAAAAACTAATTTTAAATAAAATTATAGTATTTAAAGAAAAAAAAAATTAAAATATAAAAAAAATATTTATTATATATTAAAACCTAAAATATAATAATAAAATTAAATATTTAGTTTAATAGGAAAATTATAAATTTATTTATAATACTTAAAAATTTATTAAAAGCTTTAACTTTTAAATATTAATAAAAGAGTTTTATTAAAAACTTAAAATATATTGTTAAAAACTATATTTTAATTAATTATATTAACCCTACTGAAAGTCTATATAATAATAACTGCCTTAAATTTAGTTTTTTAAACTTCGTTAAGTTTATTTAAGTTTTTTAAACTATAATTAATTATTTTTATACTTTATAATATTAAAAATTCTTATTAAATATAAATATAAAATAACTTAACTAAAGCTTTAAAAACTTTATATTAAAATTCAGTTAGCTTTTTTATAGTTTTTTTTTTTTTAATATATAACTGTTTATTTTTAAAAAAAATATAATTTACTATAATAAAAAGTTAATAAAAAAATACTTATTTAATAAAAAAAAATACTTATATATAATTATAAAAACTTTACTTTTATTATAAAAATAACCTTAATGTATATATTTTTTATACTTAAAAATACTATTTATTATTTTATATTAATTATTTATATTATATTTTTTATAAAAAAAATAAAATATAATAAAAAAGCTTAACTATTTAATAATATTTATTAAAGTAAAATATTTATAAGTTTTTTATAATAAAAGTTTAAAAATATAATTTAATATAATATTAATATAAAAGTATAAAATAAATAAAAAAAAGATTATAAACTAAAGAAATTAAGCTAACAGCTGCTTTATATAATTAACTTTAAAGATAAAGTTAATAAAAAAAAGTATTATATTATAACTTAACTTTTTAAAGCTGGGAAGATATATACTTTAAAATAAATTTTAAATTAATTAATTAATTATAAAGGGATTATTTATATATAATACTTATAATAAATTACTACTGTAATTTATTATAAACTAAAAATACTATAATTTATATATAATTTAAAATAGATAATTAAATATATAAGTTTATTTTATTATAATTATTTAAATAGTTTAAATAATTAGACGTTAATAAAGTATTAAAACTAAATATAAATTATACTTTTTATTTTACTTTTATATATTTATAATTATAACCGCTTAAAAGCTACTCTCTGTTCTCTCTGCTAATATAAACCTACGACTTAGGCTTATTACCTTAGGAACCCTTACCCTATATTAAAAATAAAGATTAAGACATTACAGTATTAATTTTATATCTTTAATAATTTTTTTAATATTTAATAAACTTATTATTATTAAAATATTTTTTTATGAAAAATTAAATTTTTTTTTTAATTTTAATAACTTTTAATAACTATAGCTGGCTTTTTTTTATAAAAATTTATAATATCTTTAAGTTTAATATTTTTTAATAACTTTAATAATTTTAATAAATTTAAAAAAGTATTTTAATTAGTAAAGTTTTTAAAAAATTAAAAAATCTAATAATATTAAAAAAAAATATAGCTATTAATAAATAAAAGTAAAAAAACAACTTTTAAAATATTATAAAATTATAAAAAATAATAAAGTTATAATATTATATTTTAAAGTTTAATTAACTACACTGTCTACCATAATTACACATTATAATTAAATGTAGATTAATAAAAACGGTAGTATAGGTACATTAATTTTAGTATAGGCACAGACCTTATCTATGTAAATGAAAAAATAACGTCTGTGTTAATAGGAAGACTCTTATTTAATGTTATGAAGCTGCGTTTATGGATAACAAATTTAAGCACCCACTGGATCATTGGGGTCAGATTCTGGCACTAGTAGGGTTTAAGAAGTATTCTGCTGATGATTGCCTGAAAACGTGGCTCGATCTCGCAAGATATGCACGCGAAATCTTCAAGGCTCAGGCTACGAGACGATACGTCCTCGGATTTACCCTCGCCGGTTCAATCATGCATCTGTGGAATTTTGACCGCGTCGGGGCGATTGGTTCAGCCAAGGCCGACATCAATCAAGATGGATTGCAAATTGTATCTGTTGTGCTGGGGTTTCTTTACATCGATAAGCAGGCTCTCGGATTTGATCCTACCGTCATCACATCAGGCAACAAACGCCATATTGAGATTGATCAAGAAGGGCAGCAAAAGCGCCTCATACTTGGCACCCTATTGAGTCCATCTTCTGGTATAGTGACGTGAGGCACAACTTGTTGGGAAGCGCATATTGACGGAGAGCCGCAAGCTACATTTGTCCTCAAAGGGTCATGGCAGCCCACAGAGCGCAACGAAGGAGAATTATTGAGACTAGCAACTCAAAGAGGGGTCACCAATGTAGCACGGCATTACCACGACTTCATTGTTCAAATAGGCGATAATCTAGATGATATACAGAATAACATTAGAAAAGGACTGGATTGCAAACAAGGCACAAGGGTTGAATAATGGAAAAGGCCCCCTCCGATGTTTAGTCAAGCTGCAGCTGAGGCGTTATTTGACTCCAAGAAGATTGGTTCTGCTGGCACAAAACGCTGTTCTAGCCAGATCGGCGTGGCCGAGTTATCAAATAAACGTTGCCGCTCCGATTCCTCAATAAAGCAAGGCGATGACAAGGAAGGTCCGCCAATTGAGAATTCAGTGCGTCAACAGGTTATTATGCGGGATTACGAGATACCTATTTATAACGCGGAATCGCCATCCGTGCTCCTGGAAAGTATGGCATAATGCGTGGGAGGCCACAAGTCCTTGTATGATGCATATATATTGCATCGAGATATTTCAATTAATAATCTTCTGACCAATGCGGATCGCTCTGATCCTTCTTAATTGGGACTTTTAATTGATCTCGATCTTGCTATTAAGATTTCTCTAGAGAAACCTTCTGGAGTAACTAGTTAGACTGGCACAAGAGCGTTTATGTCGATCGGGGTGCTTTTGGGTGACCCTCATTCTTTCATGGATGACATCGAATCTTTTTTCTGGGTTGTTTTCTGGAACTGTATTCACTACCTTAGCCCAAAAACATTTACAGTCGTCCCGCAACTTGAAAAGTGGAATTACATCTCCAATTCACAAGAGTTGGCCGTTAATAAAGCTCGGCACTGTTACAGATGCTGCACTTTTTGATCGGACACTGGCCGATCACGTAACCGATCATTATAAGTCGTTGATCCCTTGTTTGTCTAAGCTGCGAGAGATGGTATTTCCAGGTGGCACAAAATGGAAGAAGGAAAACACGGGGTTGTATGATTCATTCCAAAAGGGCTTGCGCGAAGCTTTGGACAAAAACTTGCTTAACGGAGCGACACCCTGTGTTTTCCCGTTGTTATTGGTTTTCAAGGAGTATTGAAGTTTAGGAGTAAGGGGATATGTAGATTACGATACCCCCAACCGCGTGGCGTCATTGAAGTCATCGGAGTGAAGCTCTTTATCGAGCTATGCCATGCCTCTTTTTTTTCTTTAAACCATAGATGAAACCTTTGTCGGAAAGGACGATACTAATATATATACCGCTATGGCTTAGCTATCCGCAATTTAGTTTATCTAGTGACTCTACAATTGATGAAAATTTACAACAGCTAGTGGAAGAAACCTTTGTCCTATAAGCCAGCCTTTCTAGTAAAATGAAACAATTTTACGCTTATATATATGCATTAGTGTTATCGCTAGCTGCACTGTTACTGGCCTATCTTATAGAAACATACTAGGCTCTTGACCTTCCGGTGTTGCCATTCATAAGTGTAGCCTCACATGGATCGAGCCTAGCAGGTCTTTCAAAAATTACCAATAGAGAAGATGATAATTTAGTTTTGTTTCTCCAATTCCAAGATTCTCTTCGCCGTGTCAGCCATCGTCTCATCAATGCTCCTGAACGTCAAATTGAGCGCCTCAGTTGCCTCATCTGCGATAACTGTCGCGGGAACAACGTTTTCATCCTCCCCACTATCGGCGGGCAAACGGCCCTTCAGTTCCGGAACTTTGGCGAGAGAGTGCACAAGCTTTGTATATGTCATGGATTGGCCACCGATGGTGAGTCTCTTATTAGCCACCTTAGGTTCCGTGAGCGCCTTCACGTGGGCCTCTGCCAAGTCGCGAACATCGACGTAGCTCGGGAAAGTGGTAGGCGGAATGGTTGTGTATGTGCCGTTGAAGAAGCTGTAAATGATCCTGGCGCTATAGTGTAGACCTTTTGCCCCCTGCTTAACTGGCTCGATTGGAGGTCCAAAGATGAGCGCTGGTAGAAAGACGGTAACAGAAAACTTCGGAGAGTTCGTCTTTACAAAATCCCAAATGGCAAGTTCTCCTTCTTTTTTTCCTGAGCAGTAAGAGATGTAGGCATTCTGAGCTTCACGTGCTGCCTCCTTGGTCACTGGGAGCCATGTTGAATTGGTTATTGGGCCTGCCGACACTTCCTTAGGCGAGCCTGTAGTGCAGGCATTGATAGATCCGGTTACAACGATTGACTTTAGAGCCGGCGCATTCGCTTGCGCGGAACGGAGAAGCGCTAGGTTTCTGTTGTGTGCCTATTAGCTGCGTATCTGTTTTTGTTTCATCAGAGGAGATCCCTTACCCTTCGACACTGGGGGTCAGAAAATGTTGGTCGTAGTCAGTGTTTCCCGGATTGTCCAAGAGCGGTGCAGCAACATGCACAACCTGTTTCAAAGTGTCAGCACTATTGAAACAACAAAGTATACGGAGTAGTCGTTGCGCTAACATGATCAAATTCCTTCTTCTTAAACAGTTCATCCCAAGCGTCTCCATTTGTAATGTCCTCAACAACAACTACTTCAAGAGAGTCTTTCCATTCAGGATGAAAAGATAGAATGTCATTAGCAGCCGCAGCTGACCGGACAGTTCCCACCACCTTATGATTGAGCTTGATCAATGCATCGATAATGTGCGAACCGACGAACGAGTTCGCTCCAGTGAGAAGTATGGTAGACATTGCGGTGAAGTGAGAATGAAAACAAACTGTGTAGCTAGATATCCAAAGTTGTTACTACAGATTCTGATAGAGAAACCAGCTGCTAGAGCTGCGCAAAGCTATTCTTTATGTATCTTTTCTGTAGCCTCAATGCTAGACACCTGCCCCCGCACTTGTTTCCTATATCGAAATTGTACGCCCTCTCGTGTGGCATCCAAAACTTATTTGTCAACAACGAATGCGCCAATGAGATTAATAATTAACCGCACCATCCGTCTCGTTAATAAGGTTAATTATTTGGTTGCCAAGTTTAAGGCTAGAGCCGGGCGCAGCTGAAACGATATTGATGCTCAGCATTATGTAACACTAGCATTAAAGTAGTAAGCCACATGTCGAAGGATTTGACTATAGATTAGAAATCTAACGAATATGCAAGTGCATTCCTACAAATCATTCTCTAGGCGCAAATTTTGTTAGCACGGAATATACTAATACCTTTTGAGTAGGCGAGAGAGACCCAGACTTATATTAGGTCATGGTTACCTATTGTTTAGATATCAGCTTTATTTATAATCGCATTGCCCACTGTCTGCTATTAAGCCGATATTATTTCTCTACGCGCAACCTCTATATTTTCCCAAACCCGGTACTTCTGAATTCAATCCAACTGCAAAATAGAGGTCTTTAATATCGCTCAAACTTTGTCAAAATGTCGTCACCACATGTTCGCACCTCAGGCTTCAGCCTTCATGTGACCATAACAATTGACCCGGCTAACATTAGCGCCTTTCTTGCTGCTTTTCGACCTGTCTACGACGCTGTTGTTGCGGAACCAGATTGCACTTACTTTGAGGTTTTCCACTCGCTGGAGGAACCTGGGGTTTTTCGTTTTGTGGAAAATTGGAGCAAAGATCCTCAGTGGTTCAAAGAGGTGAGCAAGTTGATGTTTTAACCAGTGGCGTCTTTGGAACTAACTACCGTTGATACCTATAGAACCAACTTACAAAAGCATACTACATCCCATATGTAGAGGCAACCGAACCAATGTGGATCAAACCAAGATCACTCAAATTCTTTGAAAGATTCTCGGAAGAGTGGGTGACATTGAAGCCCGGAAACTATTAGTGCTTATGGTGAAAACCGAGTTGCCCATGACGTGTTTAAGGCGGAAGATATATACTAGTCAGGAGCCAAATCCCTCACTGGACGCCTGTTGGGCCGATTGTAGGCTTTTAGTATATATTCAATTATTATCATGAAATTTATACCCGTACCCACATAGCCGACTTGATCAGTTACTCGAGGCTCTATCACCGAAATTTGAAGAATGTTGAGAAATCTTTTATTGCCAGCCTAGTTACGGGAATTGATGTTGAGATAGGGATGTGCTTTTACGCGTAACGCCCGCCAATCCGATTGGCTCCTCTCTTATTCAAGGTTAAATCTACCGACGCCAAACTCGACAATTATTAATACAAACTTAGCCACATAGAGGAGTGGAAACTTGCAGAGTACACCAATAATATATTGATTCTCCAAAGTTCTGAACACAATTGTTGCATCGTAATTTCCCCACATATTTTCGGAATTATGCAATATGTCTCATAACAAATCTAGATGACGGTTATTTCCTACTTATACTTGTATTGGTATGCCCTTCGGATGCTCTATGTCGAGTCGCCCTTGGAGAGTAATAATTCTTGCAGCCCGAAGCCACCTAAAATCCCACTCTGTCCCAGTTCCAAACGCCATCCAGAATACCCAAGTCCATTTCTAAGAATTCAGCACTGTCTGTCGCTAATGTATTTTCCACAAATCGTAAGTCCTCATCCAAAATAGACTGAAACTGGTCATTCAATTTGGAGTGGTGAAACGAATCGACACCCAATTCAACACCGTCTTTTGCAAGTTGAGTGCCAGTGCTCTCCGTCTCTTCTATCAATTCTCTTTCCAGTGGGTATAAGGTAATTCGACTTTTCAGCGTTGAGAGGATGCTCCATGTGGTGTCACCCATTTTGGTGAAGCCGCGCAGACGGTGAGCAATATGTAATGCCTGGCCAACCGCCTGGACGACTTCTGCTCTCCTAGGAACCATTGTACCGTCAACATCGTGTATTAACAAAGAGCATAAGAATGCTGCATTGTCAAAGGGACAAAATGCGACCATGTAATATTTTGCCTGTTGTGGAAAGCAAAGATCAAAAGTGTCTTTGCTCACGGACATAGCTTTTAGGCTAATATCCACGATCTGATGTAATAACATCATGTTTTCTGAAGAAATCTCTGCTCCGGTACGCTCTGTTAAAAAAATATCAGAAGAAAGAAGGATGGACCGTAAAAGTATAACCTGGGTCATATAACCCACGCAGTGCAGCTGTAGGCGCTGAAACGGTATATACGGATAATGTTCATCCCAGCGCCTGTGTGGGTTGAAAACGCTAAATACTGGCGGCAAAGAAGACATCCAGGATTCTACAAAAGCAATTTTGCCCTGAAGATTTGTTTTGTCTGGACGATCACCCTCGCCCAACTGCCTTGCAAGCTGATTCTCTAGTATCTTGGAAATAATATGAGATGGGACATCAGGATTAGCACCAGACTGATCCAAGGCTGGATTGGGTAGCGGTACGGGGGGATCTGATTGTATCAGAGGAGGGCGGTTAAAATTTGCTGTCATGTATCTAGTTTAACCAATGTTAGTTGTGGTCAATATCACAAAGCTCGCGAGTAAAGCGGCCAAATTTCGATCGGCATACCTATCCCATATGTACAAGGCACACCATAATCTTCGTCGAATCTCCAGATCAAATTCACTCATCTTATCGGAACGTATATCCATGTGGATACCTTGAGAGGCTCGAGATTAGCAGACTAGTCTCTACAGCTATTCTATCAGAGGAACAACTATACCGATTTCTTGAGCTTGTCTCACGGCAGCACCTAGCTCGTGCCAAGATCTGACAAAATCCGCCTCCCCCTTGTGCCACGTGGCGGAAAGAAAAAGCTGTTGTGCATTAACGAGGCCGCCAGAACCTGGAGATAGAAAGCCGCTAATGGTCTGCGCAGCCTCGTGATAAGACTTGCTTAGATCTCGAACAGAGTCGCCCAGATCTGACTCGAGCTGCGATGAATTTTGTGGTGAAAGAAATTGTGTAGAGTTGGCACAAATACGAAGTATTAGGCAAGTCAAAGCAACGGTTGACGAGTTGCGTAAGCTCTGGACCTCGCGCCGGTGAGACCACCAGTCGACATAGACGATCATGAAGGATGGCTGGTGCAAAATCCCGTAGTGATAATTGACACTGTCAAAAAAGTTTTTTACGAGCATATCTGTATATGGTCGAGGCGGGACGGCACGGGAGGCTTTGAGAACTGGATCTGGCAGAGAATCCGACGAATCTGTGTATTCAGTATTCCGCTGCAACAGTGAGTCGGGGGTCAGCAGGTATCCCAACTACACATAGAGAGCCTTTATGAGTTGCTTTACCGTAATGCTGCCAAAAATCGCGTCATTCTTTTCATACATGTAACCTAGCATGTGCATCGCAGACGTCGAATCGGTAGCTTGAGTGGCACCATCTTGCGATCCAGAGACAGATGAGGAAGACGCAGCTGAAGGTGTCTCCTTTGCAGCGCTCATACGGGCATCATTCGGCCTGAATTCATCTAGTCAGGTGAATCTGTACACAAGGTGCTTCGATCACTCACTGCTGATACTTTCGAGTCGCCAGTGAGAATTGGCAATTGTGTGCCATTTTCCGGCTAGTGCAATGATTACATGGCCATTGGCGGTCGCATTTCTTCTTCATCTTCCGGCACTCGAGGCATGCGGTTACGGTGCGGCCTCGGCAGCGCTTGCTCGAGCTCTTATCCGGATTCATTGTGTTTTGTTGCGATCGTGTATGCGGAAACTCTTAATTCAAGCTCCAAGTTTACGCATTGCAATATGCGACGCGGCCGCTATATAGCGGGAAAATCCACAATTGTCGGGTTTTTGGATAGTCAGCGCAGAGTCTAGCGCGGAGTTGCTGACTGATGCCCCGAATCATGGCGGGATCTCTGAGTATTGTCGGGAAACAATGAAAAAAGGTGCTAGATTGAGTAGTCAAGTTGTCTATAAAATCTGGAAGTTGCTAATGTGAAGGGAAAAAGGAAAAAAGCAATCCAGCTTTGTTAAAGAAAAAAGCAAACTGCCAGCAACTCGCACCAATCTTCATCTTAACCTCCGACTATAACAAACACATACATCATTATGGCTCCCCTTGTATGGTTCATCACTGGAGCAAATGCCGGTTTCGGTCTTGTCCTGGCCAACTTGGCCCTTTCAAAGGGTGACACAGTTGTTGCAACCGCCCGAAGCCTCTCAAAGTTTCCCGAGTCTCTTCAAAAAAATCCAAAGGCCGACCTGGTAGAAACGGAAGTAACCGCATCAGCAACCAGCATTACCGAGCTCATCGATGCCGCCGCCACGAAACACGGAAGAATCGATGTATTGGTAAATAATGCAGGTTTTGGACATATGGGCGCTGTTGAGGAAGTTTCTGACGAAGAAGCTCGCTACCAATTTGACGTCAACTTCTTTGGCGTGCTCAACTTCACAAGAGCGGTTATCCCACACATGAGAAAACAGAAATCTGGCGTCATCGTGCAACTTTCTAGCGGCGTGGGTATTCTCGGCCCCCACGGTGGCCCGATTTACTCAGCTTCTAAGTTTGCGGTTGAGGGTTTGAGCGAGTCCATGGCTCTGGAGCTGAAACCATTCGGTATCCGTGTTCACATTATTGAGCCTGGCATTTTCCGAACTGATTTCTTGAAACCAATCTCTCAAGGCCAGAATGTGAGCCGCCATCTGGAAGGATACGCAGATTTGGAGGGGATGCTCTCTGGTATGCACGGGAAGCAGCCTGGTAATGCGGAGCTTGGTATCCAGCGCCTGTATGAAGTTGTCACTGGGACGGGAATGGCTGTTGGCCTGGAAGATCAACTTCGTTTCCCTCTAGGATCAGACTGCTATTCCATGTTGGAAGCGAAAATAAAGATGCTCAATGAAACTGCGGAGAAAGGCAAGTCCATTGCGCAGAGCACGGATTATTAGACTATTGAGACACACCTCTCAGCAGATAGAACAGCATGTAATTCTCTAAGATTATAATCACAATGAAGTGTCCTTTACTCACTACGGAGTGCCCATCTTCAAAATGTTCACAACCGATTCTATCAAAGCAAGATGCCAAGGAATCTAATCATAGCAACTCCCCGCATTTTCTCATCTAAATCTCCGTATTCTCCGTACCCCGTACCCTATTACCCTCTGACTTCTCCCCATGACGGTGGTACCCAGCAAGTCACTTTTTCCGGTGAAACAAAATTAAGCTTGCGTGGAGCAACAGTAAAGGCGCGCCACTCAAATCCCTCACCCAAGTACAAGGTACAAATAGTCTGCAGAATGGTCGAATGGGATCAACGGATCTTTACATCTTGGTGGATAACAACTAAGCGAGCTCATTCTTTATTTGGAGATTCTTCGGCCCTACAAGACTTGGCGGCAACCTCAAAATTAGCCGAGGCGGTAACGGAGGAACTCAGGCCCTCCAGTCATGACGGCAGATGGCAAAGAGTGGGCTACCAGGAGTTATGCGTGTTTTCAATGCTTCATCACAGGGTGTGTAGAACGAGAAAAGACAAGGACAGCCCTTATGCCTAAATTGAAAAAGTGATCCTGAAAAGAATACTGCAAGGCATTATTAAAGAGCTTCAATGCTACTGATCTGACGATGAAATCATAGTTCTCTTTTTACTGGTGTTGGAAACAAAACGGCAATGGAGGTCCAATTTTTGACCCCCAACACTGGGGCAGGCGCACTTCGCACAATCATCTCCGATGGTCCTGACCGACTTCCGACATCTCTTGCATGGGTTACTTTTACCTAAGATGAAAGTAATGCCGAAATCGTCAGCCGGTATATGGTGGCATTCGCTTAATTACGGGGATTGTGCAGTCGGGAATAAGTCACACCTTCTAGATTCCCTAGCGAAGCGTGAATAGACATTGGTTGAGGGATGTGTAATAATAGATCATATACTGTGCTTGGGGCTTCATAGAATCATATGATTCAACCAAAATCTTTGGCGTCGAGGCTAATTACTATGGCAAACCTACAGACCTTCCGCCAATGGAGTATCAAATGTTGGTTATGGCAAAGTATCAGCAAATATATCATTTGAGTGATCACAAGAGTTTGTACTAAGCATAATCATGGCACTACAAATGTATGGCATTTTCCAAAACCCATTAACCAAGCCATTCTACTCCACATTCATCTTCCTCCAGATCCACGTCGCAATTTCAAAGCCGAATGATACCCTTTACTATAAGAGGAGGGATCGTCAGTATGGTATAAAATTGCATCAGCATTTATCCTTACAGGGCAGTTGCATCCGCAAATACCGCAACAAGTTGGGGCATCGAAAGTTCCACATCCAATGTTGGAGTTGTAGCAGTTGTCGGCGTCGTGAAGGTCGCCCTGGAGTGGCTAATTAGATAGTTGTCTACTCCCCAGTCTGAATATTCAACTTACATCACAGACAGTGAACTATTCATTCTTGTTAGTAACAATAAGATATTCGACAGATCCTGTCACTTACGCAGTCGCAGTCGGCAGGTGTGAGAGCTGCGGTAAAGGTCACGCCCATGAGGACTGTGAGAAGAACACGGATCTGCATGTTTATAGAGGGAGTTTTGTATATTGAGGCTTCAGTAGTTTGTACAATGAAATGAGATGTTGATATTTACTTCTGCGGTCGGCGACGACTCTTTTATAGATCTCAACATAATCTTCAAGTGGATCTACCGGAGTTTTTGGATTACCGCCGGTAAGACTATCTATCCGAAGTGAAGTTGGTTGAAGTATGAGAAATTGCGCAGCGTTGTATCTGGCAGGTGAACATGATTGGTCATTTGATTCAACTCTCTTCACGAATATATGATGAACAATTACTGGAGATATTATATAAACATTGGAGAAGATATGCACATTATTTCTAAGAGAAACAAGGCTGTATATTATTAAACTATTAATCTTCAGGCTAGAGAATGATAAAATGGGTCATAAGTATCCTCATAAACTAAATAAGAATATATATCAACAGAGAAAAAATATAAGTAAAATGTTAAGCCGCCTGTGGCCAACGATAGAGCACGTACGGTTGCAACTCCAATATACCGATCAGGCACCATCAAAGGTAGATGACAATTTTACAACAAACACCCGAGCGTTTGACATGCAGTATAACTTATCGTGACCAGTTACGGGACTACTATCGGTATTATAAATACCTTGTCTAAAGAAACCTGAGTAATAAGTTCCCACTAGTAACATCTGGGACGGGTGGTACCTGATGCGTTTGGCACGTGCCTCTTGATAAAACTAAATTAATTCGTTGCAAAGTGCCAAGATATCTCCGTCTTGTGTTTGGATACCAGACCCGGGCTTAGGACACTCCGCCTGGCGGTGTCTACAGTGATTGGCCACGCCTCAGCCACAGGAGTCTTACCGCGCGGCATTATATAAGCTGTACAACATACAAAGCCGTAGGTTGCCATATATATGTATTCAGGTCTAGAAGCTCAGCTCGAAAGTTCCTACCAAAGCACAACGGCGTCGAAATATAATTAAGTCAACCTATTTCCTCCTACCACAACTGTGAAGATATCATCTTTCGCCATGGTTAAAGTTGCTGTAGCAGGCGGCACCGGTGGCCTTGGGCGAACCATTGTGGAGGCGCTCACAAACTCCGACCACGAGACCGTCGTTTTGACACGAGAGGTACGCACAACCATTTTTTTATTTATTCATAGCAGCAAACTTACGCTTCATGCCAATTAGCAAAACTTACAAAGCACGACTATTGCTGGAGCAACCTTGGTAGCCATCGACTACACTAATGTAGAGGCTATCGTTCGGACACTCAACGATCACCAAATCCACACAGTGATCTCAACCATCGTAATCAAAGGCTTAGAGCAATCCGAAGCTCAAATAAATCTTATTCGCGCAGCCGATGCCGCACCGTCTGTAAAGAGGTTTACCCCCAGTGAATTCGGTACCCCCCGACTTGAAGCGTAAGTTCCTCTTTCCCAGGTCTGGCCTTGTTATCTTGCTCAACAGTCGTTTGGACTAGATCGACCAAAGCAGGTGCTGCCGTCCCCACCGGTTACAAAGATGCTGCAATCGCAGAGCTCGAGAAATCCCACCTCGAGTATACTCTCTTCTCTCATGGCGTGTTCATGGATTACTATGGGATGCCCAAAATCCAATCCTACTTGATGCCATGGGTATTCGCTATCGACATCGCTCACAAGGTGGCGGGTATCCCGGGGTCTGGCAATGTGCCTGCTGTTTACACATATTCTGGAGACGTAGCCAAGTTTGTCGTGGCTGCCATAGGCCTTCCCGATGGAACATGGCATAAGCATAGTACGATGGTTGGTGATCGCCGAACTCTGAATGAGGTCCTTGGTATAGCAGAATCTATTCGTGGAAGCTTTAAGGTTCAATACGATACCATGCAGAAACTTCAGCAAGGGCAGATAACTGAGCTACCGTCCCATGTGCGCTTGTATTCGCAAACTGCGAAAGAGTCACTCCAACAGCGTTTCGCTGGATTCGGTATCGGGATGGAGGCCGGGGCGTTCGACTTCAGCGTTCCAGCAAATGGCGTATCGTTAAATGACCTATTTCCAGATATTCCCGTGAAATCTGTGGAAGACATCATTACGGAAGGCTGGGCGGAAAATGCCTAAAATGCAGCTGCTTAAACAGAGTCGAATTTTGCTCTTGCATCTTACTGGAATTCTCCGCCATATGAGTAGAATACTTAGAAGTTCTGTTTATATTATTACGAAGGGCCAAATAAATCAAATTCACTCGAGTAAGAGATGTAATTTACGTTAATTTAGAAGAACAAAATTATTTCCGATGTGATCTCGCTTGGCTTCAGCGCGACTTGGATTAAATATGGATACTTGGGTGGCCGCTTTACGACGGAATTCGACTAGAAGATTGATAGAGCGGCATGGCGCAGAGCCATTCGAGGCCACGATGTCATCATAAAGCCGCGCGGAGTTGAATACGGAAACGGTACCACCGGAGAGAAGCATGATAGGCATGGCGCTGAGGACTGTGATTGGACGCAAGTTGGTTACAGCAGGCTGAGAAAGGTGGTCCCCCGATTCCGTTAGTGTTAGTAGGGTGAGGTACATTTTAACAATATCAACCTTCATAAAGCGGCCTGGTCTCTAAGTCCAATTTAGTATGTAATTTTATGGTTATCTTGCTCGAATAGGAAGAATTGCTTATTTAGGCTAGTATTAATGTGCGCAGTTACAGCAGGTTATCAGTTGGTTTAAGGAGAGGAATAAAAAAAGGATACAAGCGACTGCGAATACAAGTAGTAATGGACTGACTTAGACCCGCCGGACTCGGTCCGTCGCCGAAGTCCCAGGTCACACTGTCTTCCCAAAAGCCTTTTCAAAAGAGGTACATCAGCGCCATGACGGCATGTTAACAGCTGATCGTATTAGTATAAACTGCTAATTCCGGTCAGAGCTATCCAAAGGGATTATGAAGGCAGCAAATCAACGCAGCATACCCGCGCCATCACAGCGTCAATGGAAACCTCTGGCGCAGCCGTCCCCCGAACTTATATATCAACGCTGGGATGGGAATTAACGCCAAGGCAATGAAACCTAACAGTGAAGTTCCCCAGCCGACACCCAGCGATTCGTACATTTGAGGTCCAGCAAGGGGAAGGAAAGCGGCGACTATGCAACGCAAAACGGAGAAGGCAGCTAGGCCGCTTGCAGAATGTTGAGGGTAAGCATCGATTATGTATGCCTGGGCGGGAAGCCAAATTCCAACGATGGCAATACCAAAAGGGACGATTCCAATAATCGGAACAATCCAGTGTACAGCTTGGTCTGCACTCCATCCGTACCAGAAAAATGAAACAGGTAAAATGAAAGCAAAAAAAATACAGTCTGCTAAACGCATCTCAGGCTCAAAAACTCCATGATTAGCCTTAGTCATGCGTACAACAGTTTTGTCTGACAGCACGGCAAAGATGCCAAGCCCTACTGCATACCCAATAAGCATCGTTAAATAGACTAAGCCAGTGATGCCGATAGACCAACCATAGCTGCCCTGAAATACCGCCGGAATGGTATTGAAAAGAAGGTATAGGCAACCATAAGCAAACGCGATGTATAAGGAGATGCTAAATATAATGGCTGAACGGAAAAGCATTTTCATCGGCCTCACAAATCCGTCAAGAAGAATCTGCCAGGTAGGCAGAAATGGGGTGTCTGGGTTATCGTAGCAGCTGCGAAGTTGTGGGCGGTTGAGCTCCTGTCGTAATTTCTGTGTCTTGCGCCGGATAAGCACTTGATGGTTTGTTTCACGATTGATGGCCGTTGAGATGAGAACTATAATTGTTGCCGGAATGAAGGTTATCCAGTTCACCCAACGCCACCCGATAGTCTCAGAGACAAACCCTCCTATCAATGGGGCACATGACGGTCCAAAAAGAGGGCCAAGCATCCATACTGCCATGGCTCGCCCTCTTTCACTGACTGGAAAGAGGTCACTAATAACGGCGCCGCCAATTGTCTGGCAGGCCGATCCTCCAATTCCGGCCATAAAGCGGAAAAAAATAAGTGTGTCTAAAGTAGGGGCTAAGGCACAGCCGATAAGCCATAGACAAAACCAGAGGTTTGAGATCAACAGAACAATATTGCGGCCGTAGATTTCGGATAGCGGCGAGAGAAATAGAGGTCCAACAGCATATCCAAGGAGGAAGATGCTAACAGGCATCGCCCCTTTGGTAGTGCTGGAAACTTCCAGATCCTTCTCAATGAAGATGATTGCCGGAGCCAGAATAGAAGAGGCAAATGGTGACATGAAGGTAATCATTGAGAGGAGACAGACTATTAGCCACTTTTGGCTGTTTTTGAAATTGAGGGGCATGGCCGGGTCATCCTCGCTCTCCCAGCCAACTATATCTTTGTCCAAATCTGAAGTCAGGATTATGGGAGATGGCGGTTTCTCCTCTGTCTTGTTTTGAGGTGGTTTGGTTAGGAGGCCTTGGTCAGGAGCGCCCCCACTCATTTCCATGGGCCCTTCTATTTTGCTGTCTCTCATGGTATGCTGTTCATCAATAGCTGTTAGTATCCGAAATCACAGCGCCTGAAATGGGTGCTTACGCCTTGAGTCTCAACGTCGAGGATCTGATCTTCTAGCTCGCCAGCCACGTTGCTTTTTCTAGTTCCATGCTTCTCACTAGAAACGGTAGAATGTTCATCCTCGAGAATTGTTCCGTCCCCCATCATGGCACCAAAGCCCGTATCGTAGATAAGTCTTATTTTGAATTCAGTATTTGTGTGTGTGTGGTGTTTGGAGGTAGACAAAACTGCATGACAGATTCAGGTACCTAAATTTACCATCATACTAGCAGGAGGAGGCATCTTTATGTTGGAGTCGTGGATAAGGAAGGTTTATGGTGCAGGGTTACTTCAGGCCGTAAATATCTTTTCGCCCTAGGCTCTGAACCAAGTTTGTCAGCACCCGCGCGGCCATGGCGTAGACAAAATAGGGGGGTTTTACCTTACGAATGAACACAGCCTAGGTGAATCCGCAAAAAGGTGATCAAGGGTCCACAGAATGATCCTGCTCAGCGTGCTAGCACTGGGTTGTTGTTGCTATTAGCCCGGTAGCACATTTGGCCTCCAAGAATTTGTATTGGAACGTCGTGGACATGAGTTAGGCTGCTCTCATTTGTCTCAGTGAATCACTTATCTGTGATAGTGAACTCGTCCCTTGTCCCTGTTTATTTACACTTCAAATGACTCTCTTGTAGGGGAATTCCTAAGGGGCAAAACACTTTGAGATAACTTTAATTAAACTTGATGTATTCACTCGCAAGTGCCACTCTCTAACTCCAATTGGTGCCAACATGCGTCGGCCTACAAGCGTTGAGCCGTTGGCTAGGAATTGCTTCCACATAACAACCACTGAAGGGAAATAATTTTGGATCTAAATCAACAACTTATTATTATACAATACTAGGATTTTCTAAATCTGCAAGTTTACTTAAGTTAGCAAGACTATGAAGTCTTAAACGCCGACTACACCGTCGGCAAGCCAAGGTCGTAGTACTCTCAGAGTATACCCAGCAACCTCCTAAACGCTCGGTTTTAGGCTTTCTTTTATAGTCCGAATGGCCAAAATTAACTAGCTTTCATTCCTCTGCATTAGAATCAGTGGATGTAGAGTAATTATCTACATATTGTGTATTTTGATAGGAAGAAAATAAGTAACAATTACTTAGCTACCTATTTCAAAGTAGTGCCATTAGCAGCGTTTGATATACTTTCTGTATATAGCCCTTTAACTGAATATATCAAGTGAGACAACAGACAGTATAGGTCGATACTGAGCATTTCATTTTTTATCTAGTAGACTAAGAATTGGGTCAATGGTAAGTAAACAGCTCCCTTGCAACAGGTTCTTATGCATACTCTTAATAAAAGAACTGCAGTTCTGTATAATTTTATATCAATTTGCCTATGGCAAAGGGAACTATTGCAAACTTAACACCAGTGTTTAGAAAATGCAATAACTATTGCTAATTACTTACAAACTCTTATTTACAGGCCGGATTTACCCGTTACACCACCACTCTTTCGTATCAGGGATAAGTTTCTGATATCTGTGCTCCGTACTCCCAAGACACTAACACAAGGTTACGCCTTGTGGGGTTGATCCGATCCACCGTAGCGTCGGCGGTGAAGCCGCTGATTGGCCGTTGGGTGCCATAGCAGAAATTGCGTTATAATATCCCGTAGTATAGGATCGCGCAAGTCCAAGTCAGTGGCTAGACATCCTTCATTTCGAACTACAGTCGAAGGTGGCAGAGGCAAAATTGGCTAGCCGGTTGCCAATAATAGGCCAGTGGTTTTCCCTTTTGCCGGCGATTCCGGTATCTATTGCGACAGTAAGGGAGTTCGTATTATAGGTTGCCAAAGGCTTTGCTATACTTTTAGTGGTTTCTATTATATAAATTCCAATAAATATATAAAGAATAGGCCAACAATACGTCAGCTTCTTATATCAGCAACACACTATATCCTAGAACATTCATACATTTTGTTACATCCCAAGATTCATCAATTTCAGCCCGCATCGACCATACGGTTTCCATGACTAACAAAGCTTCCTTCATAGTCCCAAACATCTCCAAAGGCCCCAGCCGACGCACTAATGCTCTATAAATGGCCTCATCTTCAGGCAGGGACAAGCAGCCAGATATGCACATTGGCCATGCCAATGCCCGTATACCAGGCCCTTTTGGAACCTGACAAAGTAGGTCCGTTGCCTTCGCAACTGACCAACGAATTTCTTGGTTGGAAGGCTGCCACCCCAATATGACTACGTTCAAGTAGCTCAGCGTAGCAAGCAACCATACCATTTCGTGCTTGGACTGCTCGCTCGCATTTGCGTCAGGCCCAGGATCGACAAGTTGGAGTGTGGCGACATCCCGAGCAATGTATTGCCGCTGGCAGTGACTCTCCAGAGACTGAATGCCTGCTTTAATTACATCCGATAGGACTTTACCACGAGACTCAAGTTCGCTGACCTGCAATGAACTGCTCCTCTTTTGAATGCGCTTCCAATCTTCCAGAGATGCTACATCACTTAGGACCTGCACAATCCAGTTTCGTAATCCAAAGAACTCGTCAAAGCACAGATAGCCAGCTTGAATTGCCTCAAAGCTCTTCTCATAAGATAGGCATTCTGGGACAATATCTGCATGGTAACTGGCAAGTTGTGGCGCATTGCCCAAGGTGACACTCGATAAGATGTCGATGTATAGAATTGTGGCTGTAAAGAATCGCAGCGCCGCTTGGTTTGTGGTCCACGGTCGCCTTAACCCAAACTCCGGAGGCGGCCATTTGTGGGTATGGGTATACAAGCTGTTCAGTGTCTTGTTCCACTCCTTTGGATCGGGGAGAATCCGCAAGAAAACTGCAATGGCTGCATTGAGATGCAACTTCCAATTGTCCTTGTTAGATGTCGCCACTTCAAAAAGAAGCATTTGAAGAATGCTCTGCATAACCACAAGCCCTTTCTTCATGTCAAAGCCTGGAGCGTTGGTGTTGATATAATTTACTTCCTTGTGCAACTCTTTGAGACCAAGCTCTATCTGGCTCTCAAATTTGTGTATCATTTGCATTGTGCATTCATCGTGGGCTTTATCGCCATTGTTAAGAACAATAGCATAGAACGAAGTTGACAAGGAAACCGCGCTATGGTACACAGCTTTATTGGTGTGCAATATTTCCAATATCCACCCTCGGCCGCCCGCGAGAATCGATGGTCGGTAATGCGGAAAGAGGTATGGGAAGACATAATCGAGGTATATCATAAGCAGATGTAACTCTTTATCAGCCCCCCCTTGACCGATTGGCGTCTTGTTTTGCATAGGCGAATCCTGCAGCACCAAGCTACTATCGTTGCTAAATTCAGAGGTGAAGCCAACGCCGTGGTGTCCAAGAGAAGGATCGAAGTCTGTACGTGTATCTGTTTTATCTATGGCGTCCGTAGCAAAAGACTCCGTATCGATATTGCCAAGATTGTTGGCCTCGGTCTGACGTATCTCGAGATGCTTGCGCTCACGCTTCTGGGAGGCGGAACGCTTTACCTGTGCTTTTATCTCTTCCATCATTTTCGTCTGCCTCACCCCACCGTCCATCCATGGTGGTTTTTCCTCTTCGTAATAACATGTAATATTTAGTGCTTGGCAAGTGTCACAGACGGGGCGATTTTCGGCGCACTTCTTGCGTCGGACTCGGCAGGTCCAACACCCGTCAAACGAGCGGAGCTTGCTGTACATGGGCTGCTAGGGGGATGTAAAAAGAGCTGAACTGAGAGTGGAAGCAATTGCTCGGGGAACAAAGCTCTTGACATTGCGTTATCACTTAATAATATTGTCGAGGTGTAGTAAGCGATGGGGAACGCCTATATATCATACAAATACGGATTTTCATTTGCCCGGAGGGAAGGCTGGGTTCATGTTGATAGGTTATGCATTCGATCAATTTAGTACGTAACACATTACGCCCCGCACACTCTCTTTCTTCTGTTTTCTTGATAGGATAACTTAAAGTTTCCAGTGTTTAATCTCATTAACTAAAACAGAGCTTATTCGTTATTTTGATAGGAAGGAAAAGTCGGATCATTGAACAGTTGAAGGTTGTTGATTTATTCTACCTAAGCTATTGGGCTCTGCGAGCTATGGCTGCTGACTAAAGCCCTGATGGCTGAGCCCCTCAGCTGTCCCCACCTACCTGGTGTCATTGATGATACTACGAGTATGGTGTCTGTAACAATGTAATGTACATAGCTTGTTGTCGTCTTTGTTTCAACTTCTGGCTACAACATATGGCCAGTCATGCTCTTAATTGCATCATTGTCGCTGCCGATGCTGCGTTACCACTGCCAACTGCGTGGGATGGATACTATTATTGGCGTTTGCCACTTGCTGTCATGATCAGCCGTATGGGGACGGATAGTCTGATAGCTTCGTTCGGTAGGTGAACGGATTTGAGCTTCTCTCGTCTCGCTATCATCTGAATGATGGGCAGGGCAGTGGGTTTTCAAGTGACATGGCGTGTGCAAACCCGCTGGTGGTTTTATATGAGACTTCTACTCTTTGGTACATGAATCGTCAAAGCCATCTTGGTATCAACCAACCTACCTAACCAGGTAGCTTTCACGTTCTGTACAATATCATGCGTAGACCATTCAGGTCTCGCAATGATCCAGGGATGCAGTAGTCTCATTTACAGTGAAGATATAGCGCAGATTCAGAGCAACAGGCCGATATAACATGGGCCTTATCAGAGCGACAAATATCAGTTGTAAAAGAATACAACTTTAAAGGCTGGCACAAAGATGTTCTCCAATTTGACAGGAACGGTGGCGGCATTGCGTAGAGGAGATAGCCGATGACTCGTCAATTAGTTATGGCAGATGCATCTTCCCTCGTCGTCTGGTCTAACCTAGCGCCGAGCTGGCTGATCAGCAGGTTCCTTCCAATACTTCATCATTGGTGTTAATTCGGCCCCTGTCTTTGAGTGATTACATAGAGGGTAGATTAGTCGTATGAATCATGTAACCGGAACGCGATGAAACTACCTGTAGTAAGCTTTGAGTTTGGGATGGTCAAGGTTATAAGGAGTAGTACCTTAGGCATGTATGATTTACTTGGTTAGCGCCGAAAGTAGCTTGGGACATTGGATCGCTCGGTACTCTGCTGAGGACAGTGATATAGTGGTCATCACTGCCTCACAATGTATCCAAGAGGTCGGGGTAGCTATTAGAGAGACGGTCGCAACGTGTCGCAGAAAGACACCAGTCGTTAAGACCACTAGTGGAGCTCCGAGGCGGTCGGATCAAGGAAAGTGACAAATGGTTGGGATCACTACTGTAGAGATGGTCGCAATGTGTTGAGGAAAGAGAGCAAACGACCAGGATTTGTTTATATAGGGTGTCATAATGGTCGAAAAGTCATCAACAACCAGCGGATGGATCTTCCTCAGTCACCATGACCAACCTAGAGCACGGCTGGTAAATCGCCCCTAAGTTGCTCACCGATATCTTCGATGATTGATATCAGTTTCCAACTCCACCGCCGAATATGCTTGTATGGCAGGGAGATCAATCATGCGAGTCTTGATATGCGGCAAATGTACGAGAGATTGATGAGGTTTGCTTGATGAGGCATTGCGCCAAGATAAGCTATGGCTAATTTGGCGATATTCCGTCTTGCGCAGTTAATAGCATCGAACCCCAGTGGTTCGTGTTACCGGTTATGGTCCAACGGATGTCATCTGTGCTTGCTCACACTTCGACGATATTGGAAATGATGCTATCCCTTGGGTCATCAACCCCGAAGGCTGTGGCCCCAACGTCAACCATGGTAAGTATTGTCTTGTTATGTAGACTGTGGATTCTAAGGCGCAAAAGGCCAAATCGTTGCTGCTGCTCAGGCCTTATGTGCAGGTCATGAATTAGCAGTGCCTAGTCACCCCTTGGTATAAAGAATTGGTTAACTGCCGTGGAATTTGCTATAAGACGAGATTGAGTGATGGGATGGAAACTTATTTGTAGGATGGTTGAAAAGAGAGATACACGACCCGTCAATCTTTGTGCTGAGCAAATATATATGCGCATTCTCAAATAGCTTCGTGTATTGTGGAATTGTAATCGAATTACAAGCTCCATGTAGAATGATTGGTTCTATCAAAACGAAGTCGATAACACAGTTTTGTATCTTTCATAAGAGAGTTCGGGTCTCTAAACTACATCTCACTCATCAATCCAAGGGAGCAGGAGCCGCTTCAGGATCTTTGGCCAGCAATGCCTCAACTTCCGCGCCCCTCCGTCGCCTCTCATCGAGGGAAACTTCGCCATCTGGCGCAGTAGACCAGCCAAGACGCAATTCGGGATACTGAAGTGGAACTTCATCACTTTTACGTGGCAATCCGTCTACGTAGATGGGCCACGGCGTACCCAACCAAGCATTCCGACGTTCGTGGTCTCGGCGTTGTTCTGAGGTGAGTGGATGAACAAGGATGCTATTACATGGCTTATTAGAACAGGGGCAATTATATAGTCTGAGCCATCAAAGTGGCATTTAGAGCAAGGCGGGCCATGGAGGCTTGCGCCTTACATATGCAACTCAGAAAATGGCAGACTCTCGTACCTCAAATTTCCTCGATTTGTTGCCAAGTAGAAAAAGACATCAGAGAACGAAGTGTCTGGAACCCAAACTTCACTCGAGAATTAGTCATGGTTCTTCTAGGATCATTGATGAGTCGTAACTAATCTAGACTCACTCTCATACGACCCAGCAGGATGCGGTCCGATTGGCTCCTTATTGACCCTATGCAGAGGAACAGCGACGAAGGCACCTACATGATGATGGTCAGTCAACAGCCGATGTAATCTTAGGGGCTTGCATACCATCGCGACGAAGCCTTAGCACAGCGTCACGGAGTGCAAGTGCTGCGGCAGTTTCGGTAGGTGATTGTAGCAAGAAGTAGATATGAAAGTGCCATTCCCTTGTCCGACTCTCCACAACGGTCTGCAAATCATCTTGGGGGCGTAGCGCCGTAGCAATAGTGACCTGTGTCATGGCGAAAACAGCTTTCCTTGATGCTTGAGTAGATTGCCCTGTCACGCGTCAATGAATGAGCGAAAGTTATCAGATGAAAGTCGAGGTTTTCTGCCCTAGTGAAGCGGTAAGCACGCCATTCCACATCATCATTAACGCTACGGAGCATTCCGATGCGGGGATCGGCGACCTCTGGGTTTTGGCTTACGGCGTGCCGTATGCGCTAATGAAACCTGATGTTTCTAGCAGCCTGAAATGCGTTCCTTTGTTGATTGGCGGTGTCCAGGATTTACTAACAGTTTCCGACTTTCATGTAAGGAAGATTACAGATCTTGAGTAGTTCCAATGAGTTACCAACAGAACCTAATGCAACCAGATACCTAGTAGTATCACGATACATTTATGAAACCGCACGCATCCATATTGTACTGGCTCAACTACGAAATGAAACGACGCATGAAATGCTTTGGATAAAAGCGGTACACACAATATACTATACGTACAGGTGGGAAAGGAAAGTCTGTGGATATTTCGGTGGCCAATTGCTGCAACTTGAGCAAGGAAGATGCTGACTGGCTGTAAATGCTCAGAAACTTCTACCTAGGAGAGCTGGTTAGATAGTTTAGTGTTCAATAGTCACCGCAGCATGGCTAGCAGTGGCTTTAACATGTGATAAAGCCGAGCAATTCCGAGATTTCATAGTTGCCTTTTCAAAGTCCAAGCTACTCATGCCAGCCTTATTGAATGGTACACGCATGCCGTCACAATCGTGTCGGATCTGCAAAATGTATAATTATCAATGCAGTCATCAATTTGTATCATTTGTTCCTGCTTAACAATGGTTACATATCTCACAATGCTGAATCTATGCCTTCAACTTTGCGAGACGAGCCTTGGTGCCTGCTACAACCTTTTCCTCGTTCCAGATTCCATTCACACTAGGGTGCTCTATCACTGCAGTGGTCCATTTATAAAAGTTGGGGGTTCTGGTAGGCAGGTCTTTGATCAAACTCTCTGGCCCAACGCCATTCTTTGGCAGAGACAGCAATCGCAGAACGAAAGGCCCGGTGAGCACCTACTGCGAGGATTAGTACTGTCATATTTCTCACCAATTTTTGATAGCATACCTCAGCTTGCGTCAATGTCTTACTTCCTCCAAAGAATGGGGCCGCATCACTCAACAGCGGCTCAACCTCCTTCTCAAGTTGCTTCACAAACTCTCCTGAGGCCTCTTCGGCCTCCCCCTCCGTCTTGGCAAAAAGCGCTTTGTGATAGTGGCCATTTGCCTTGCTGAAAAATGTATCGACAAAGAAGTATATCCTGGCGCGGGCAAGAGCCGCCTCAGGGGTGCCTCCGTTCGGGATCAGGTGTGATGGATAGGCATCCGCCAGAAACTGAGCGACAATGGCAGACTCTGTAATTATCTGGCCGTTGTATGACAGACTAGGAACGAGGCCTCGAGGATTCACGTCCAAGTACTCTGCCGTACGAGGAACGCTCAAGTCAATGATTTCCTCTTCAAATGGGAGTTTCAGCTCGGCCAATGCAATATGAGCACGGTGGGCCCCTGTGGTATCATTGATGTTAGTGCTATTTCACAGCTTTACCTAATCAATTAATTACGCACAAGGGCAGCCGTGGTTGGTATACAGCTTGATAGTGGCGGTCATGATATTGACGATGCCGAATAAAGTGTCTGGTGAAGACGTGATTTGCTGGGGAAAATTACTATACTGGACAACACAAGAGCAAAAAAGATGGGAGGAGTAGCCGTCTATATACACCAAGGCAACTAATACGCCATCAGCAAGAATTAATACGCGATCAACAAGCATCCTGATGCAACTCCGCAATTTATGGGATGATTGATAATACTCGCAAATACCTCGCACACCACTAGCTATGTGATAGGGCACGTCAGATAAGGCGTCATGCATTGGCATTTCTACTGTTTAGCTCCGAGATAAAGGCATTGTGCATTTTCTACTCTTCATTTTGTATCCCGTCGCCTCGTAATGGGTCACAGAGTTTCTTCTTTACCACATGTTGCCGTCAAGCAGGATACTGGCTGGCGTTCATCAAGCATCTGGGTTGGGGCTTTAGTTCATTTGTGTGGAGATTCAGAAACAAGGAGTATACGCTTGGACATTAGCGTTGAAATAGTATCAAACGCGGATATTGTGCCTAGAAACTCCGCACGGAGTACACTTTCAGCCGAAAGCGAAAATACAGTCTATGTCCGGACCACCTGCGGAGGCTATCGCCCTCTCTACGCACCCTTCCTTTATAATCAGCGGTAGGTTAAAGCGGCACTCGCGCGTCCCGTCTTTTCTCTTGAACCATTCCCATCCAGTCATTGCACCGCAGCCTTTGATTTCGCTCTGCAGATTTTTACCTTCATCGTCCCAGACCCAACTGCCTGTCATGTCAATGATGTCTAATCGCCACATGAGCGGGGGGTAAAGCGCAATCCCGCATGTGACTTCTGGCGTTTGAGTAGGCTCTGAAGAGGCTTCTTCTGAAGGAGTCGAGGTAATTTCCGAGGTGGTTGATATTTCCAAGGTGGTTGTTGTGGGCGATTCGAGCAAAGAGAAAAACTCGTCTTCATCTTTACCGATAGAGGCTAAAAGATCTTTATCCTTCATCAGTTTCATGCCTTCATACTCTATGATCTTTGCGATATACGTTGGATCTGGCTCTTCTGTTGATGATTTTATAGTTGTCGTGAAAGTCATGTCGGTAACTTCGCAATCAACCACATTCTCGCATCGAGTTCGAGTAGTAGTCGACCAGGAAGTGGTTGGTTTCGTCTGCACTTGTGTGCTACTGATGAATTCTGTGCAATCTCTACCCGTTTGCAAAGTTGTGCAGGCCTTTGCTGTTGGTTGCCGACCCGGAGGACAACCAATCAGGCCGCATGGCGCGTTGCAGGAGAGATCCCAAAAGGGACAATCCGGGAGTTTCGGACATCCAAAGAGGCAAGTCGGCCTTGGGAGTCTCACTGGAGTGCCTTTTGGACGGGGAAGAGGCTTGATGGTAACCCTTTCGCATTGTGCGCCGGAGCACTTGGACCGAGGGAAACAGCCTTTACCTCTGCACTCCCCGGAGTTGCAGTTTCCGGAGCCCTTCTTCGAGCAACCGCCCCCCTTTTCACACGCTTCTCCTTCACAAATACCTCCTTGCTGACAATGGAAACCGACGCAATTTCCTCCGCGGATGCATTTCTTACCTTTGCATTTTCCGGCGGACACACACGATTCCCCGTAACAATCTCCTCCCTGCAAGCACTTGTCATTATCACAGTCTTGGCCTTTGGTACACGAGTTATCTTTGCAGTCAACAACACCTGGAGGTGTAGGAGCATTGATAATTGGGTGCTCGTCATCATCTGGGAGCTCAGTAGGAGCTGGTGGCTTTGGAGTGAGAATCGACGGAATTTTGTAGCTGACAGTTGGGAGCCAGGTAATAGGCAGTAAGAATCCAATTCCGTGGTCAGATGAACTGGTACTAGTCATTTGTGGAAGTCCTATAATTGACACAGAAGGTTCTTTTAAAGCATTTCCTCCAGTAGCTTTTCCTACTCCTGTGACAGTCCAACCGGTAGGTATGCCGATTGTAACGGGATTGGGCGTTATCCGGGGAGTGGGATTATACGTGAGCATTTGTCCGGAACTAAATGTACTGATGTGTGATTCATTAAAGGTAAATGGCTGATAGCTGACCTCTGAGATGGAGAAGGACGCAGATACTACCGTCGTGCTTAACGAGGTTCCCAATTGTAGAGTAATTGTCGTATATGCTGTAAGGGTTACTGCAGTCGGGAGAGGTGATGGTTGGAGAATATTCGTGCATCCTGCGACTGCTTCAATAGACGGGTTGAGCCAATCCCATATCATGTTATCAAAAACTTGTATGCAAGAGGCATTATTATACTGTCCATGCGGGCCGACGGTGTCTGCCACGTTAAATTCTTGCAAGTCAACTGCCCAGTCGACTGATCCGCCAAAGTTTAGCTTCTTCCATTTGTCACGGCGGATTTCCTTTGTTTTATCGGACATGTAGGCCACCCACTCAACGTCTGTACTGCATTAGTATCTACAATGTCTGCAGAGACCTCAAGTATGGGCAATCTTACCATTGTATACCAGATAATCTGAGGCTGTGTCCTTGTCGAACCATGTCCTTTTCGACTTCGATGACTTGGAAATAATCTCGCTGATCTCGGCATTAGAAAGGTATCCGCTAGCGTTTGTACATCTTCCCTTTGCGGCATTAGATTGACCATTGGCGCCTGTAAATGTGCAGTCTGGCCCTGTGCATCCCGCATTGGACATTCGAAAAGATCGTCCATAACTGGATTCTCCCACGAAAACCTTGTTGGCATTTACACCAGCTTTGGTGACTGATTCCAATATAAATTAGCAATACTGCTCCATATTTTTGATGAGAAAGTCAATAGGGTAACTGAAGACCCACTCATAGAAAGCGCCAAAACAACCTCCGTCTGGTTAATATGGCTTCTCAAACAATTTCCGCTTGGGCACCCGGACATGGCCCATCCATTTCCAACATCCCATTGGCCTATAATACACGTTAGTCGGTGAGCGAATATCTCGATCTGGGAAAGCGATGTTTACCATGAAGATCATACGCCATGTATACAATGTAATCCACGACTTGGGACATTTCTTGGATAGGAAAAGGACGCAAATACCAATATGACGCAGGAACCGCAATAGAAAGAGAGTACCTGGCCGGCAACGCTTTCCGCAAGGCACGAAGTGTGTTAAGATAGTTGGGACCATCACTTGGTAGACCTTTTGGAATACCAGGGATATCAGGTGCCTAGATTTGTATCATAATGTAAGCATATTGTGACTAAAGCAACAAGTGACAGATTGTTAGATTTGACTCACGCCGGGGTACTCCCAATCGAAGTCAATGCCATCGACGTTGGCTTCTTTTGCAAAAGAAACAACATTTGATATGAAGCGATCTCGGCTCTCGGGAGACATAGCTTTTCGGAGTACTTCATATGACTCAACTCCCGTAGAAATTCCCCAGCCGCCAAATGAAACAATCTTTTTGACATCTTTCAATCCCATAAACCCATACCACTGGCCGTATGTATCATTAATGGATACCGACATATCGCTTTTGACGTCTCCAAACGCCCAATGCATATGAGTGTATTTTTGCGTGTTTGACATCTCTGATCTCATGTGCGAGCAAGAGCGCTCCCAGTTGAATGCCTCGTAATAGCCGACGCGTTTGAATCCGTTAGAGGGAGGTTTATCATTGTTCACAATGTCGGTGCCACAATTTGAGATGCATCCATTGGCACGGGGAGGTGCAGTTCCAGGGTTTCCCGTTGGTCCGTCTGCTTTTGTGCAAAAGAGGGAATCAATTCCACATTGACCCCAAATATTACAACAAGAGTTAAGAGGGCATGGATTGAGCTTAGCCAGAGTGGAAGCATCTTTGACTTGCCCTGGGTTGACGGTACCGGGTTTTTGAGGGCCGCAGACGGCGTTGCTGATGGGAGCTGGCATCGGCGGCGAGCCTTTGCTCAGACAAACCTTGAGACCCACAGTCAAGTTCGGGCAGCCCCTCCATCCCCAAGTTATCTTGTTGTTGAAGCCTTCAATATCTTTTGGTGTAAGATTCCAAGGGGCACCGATGGTCGAACACTCGTCATTTGCCTTTATAGTGTAAGTATAGCAGCCTCCGTTGTCTTCAGGGAGTGGTTTGCTTGAGCCGGATGAACAACATATATTCTTCTCTGCTTGAAGTTTCCTGCAAAAGTCGTTTCCATCCCCTTTGACATCGTTATACTTGAGAAAATTGGCGACCGAAATCTTGCATGTTTTTGCTATCGAAGCGCACGTATCACCAACAGCGATCTTATGCATGGTGCAATATTTCCCATTTACCTGTGCATCGAGATGCTCGGCCATGTTTGTGACTCTACCCAGATCTTTGGATCCAGAGTTCACATTCTCAACACCCTGGGCCACAGAGTTTAAAGCGGCTGGTAGAGGCACTTGGTGAATGGTGAGATCTCGGTAGGTAGATCCGTCGTCTGCTATGTTAGGCTTGCTGGCACACTCTCCCTGATTCCAAGATAATAACGCAGATTGAACGTAGTCAATATCAGCCTCTAATGACACTGCCACACCGGCTGTATGATCCATGTCACTTTCATGGCCACATATCTGTGTTAGCATACTAGATGTAGCATAGCCGGGATATTTGTACTGATCAAACAAATGGTCAATCATGGGTGGGACAGTAGCTGAAGCCAATGATCTTCCGGCGTAAATGCCCACAACTGAACCGTCAAAGTAGCCAAGCATAACATCGCTCTCTTTGCTACAGCCGGTAGTGGCAACGATAGATTGTGCATAATCCTTCATCTTGTTGAACAGAATGATCAAACCTTCTCTGGGTTTAGTAGTGGGTTTGTCAACATCCCGCGAAACATGTAGTTGGACCTTGGTTTGAACAAAAGAGTCGCGGCAGGCATCCAATTCTCTTTTCGCAGCGTCTGATTTATGGTGAGACTTTTTGTTTGACGTGGAAGTCGTACAAGCACGAATTAGAACGGACTTTTTCTTGTCGTTGATTGGCGTATGGATTGCTAGATCGAAAAGCATGGGGCGGTCACATTGTGAAAGTCTTTCAAATGAAGAATAAACACTCCAATCTTCAGGTGATTCGTCTAAACAAGGGACTGGGCAGCGATTGAACTGGGATTGAAAAGCTGTTGCATCGTAGTCATCCGACGAAACATGCTCTGGCGTGCTTGCTGCTACTGCTGTGATAGTCCACGCAAGCAGCCACGTAATAGTCCAGAGACTTATCCAAGGCATATTTGCCTGAGAGAGAAAGTATATAATAATCCAGATGATTCAACTTGCAATGTGAATTAATAATAGATTAGTGTAATATGTGTGATATAAAGCCACTTTACCGCAGTGCTAAGATGTTGACGGTTCTGCAATCAAGGGTTAATCATAACGTTATAACTCTCCTCATGAAATTTTTTAATAGTTATTATCAAATCATTAAACAATGGAACATACCGTTGTTACGTGAAATGTAACGTTCCCTTGAGGAGAACTTGTTGGTTGTTGGGCTTGACTTCCGGTGACAACTTGTTAATGTTTGAGAGTATTGACGTTATGGCGATATGTCACTATTGAAAAGAGCGTTGGTTCTTGCTCTATATATTTTATTTGCTTAATTTTACAGACGCAACATAGTGTTAGTGCCTTTGTGTTATCTTGGCACTAGATCGTAATCCTCACAACACCTCCTATATCGGCTGGATTCACGTTCTCGATTTACTTAAATTGTGTTTTCTTATTTTCAAATCATAGAAACCAACTTCGTCAATTATCATTTGTTCTCTTTCTATTTACAGCCATGAGACGGTCAGCTCTTTTCCTCTTTCGATTATTTGCACTTTCAGCCCTTACACTCAACACTTTCTCTCTGCCAACTGATCATCCAACTGCAAATATTACAGCTCCTCGAAAAGTAAACTCAAGAGCTAAACAGGATGCCTTTCAAAACTGTCAAGATGGTAGAATCGCACCCTACATTGAGCAGGCTTTTGAAGATGCGGAGCTCATAGTGAGAAATAACACCATCTATGAGGTTCTGGGGCCATTGCTGACCTCTAGCCTAGCTTGGAAACGCATTCGAAATGATGGACCTGCTTATTCCGCTTTTTAGCGGCGACGGTTCCGGTCTTCTTAGACCTGAAAAGGCTACCAAGCAAGGCCGAACTTTTGACGAAGACAATGTGTTCTCTACATATAGCTTTTTGATTCGAAGACTCTACCTCCCTAATAATCCACACTGGAATAGAGGAAATATGGACGCCATGTTGCATACGCGTAGCAAGTGTACCTTGATGGAACATATTTACTTGCACGAATTCTAACTTTCTTTACTGTCGCAGCCATGCTATTCACCATGAAGTACACGATCCAGCAATATTTGCTTGGGGCTCATATTGCTGATCACCCGAAATTACAAATGTATTGCAATGAAGCAGAGTACATGTCCGAATACAATGACCGTGGCACACGATATATTGACGGTTCGATGACCCCCAATTTCTTTCTCCTATTGGACATCATTCATGTTTAATTGACCAATTAGATTATCCCCAAGCTGCAAACCGTAAGCTCCCCAAGATCCGAAAATGGCGTTATACTAATCGGTTGAATGCAAAAGCCTACCAAGGAATCTATTTCGTATCACGAGCAGTGGGATCCCATTCCACTCGCACAGGCCATATATGGGTTGGAGTGACAGACATCTGCGAAGAATATCGCGGACAAACTCACCGAAATATAGGGTCGCTCGTTATTCCAACTTCGGACATATATGCGTACGTAGAGAACCCATCGCGCGAGAATCTTGACGAAACCTTGACTTTTTGCCCTTCGCGGTCCGACCAATGGATCACTGCCGAGTCGAATTCAGTAATGGACGGCCTGGAGTTTCGCCGGCTACATGTTCCAACAAATTCGCAACCCAATGAATATCAAAAAGCGGCCTTGGACAAATTGATATATCAGAAATCCGATATAGGTTGGCTGGGGCAGTTTCTGGTGACAACCCTGATCCACGAGTTATCACATGCAGAAGCATTTACACCCAAAGGAATTCAACAAAGTAAGCTTGCATTGAGATACCGAAGGCGATCTGGGCTAATCAACCTGTGAAAAAGAGGACATTGAATGTTTAGCCTCTGGAGAACCTGTTATTACATCGGGGAGTATTGAATGTCTCTATAATGTCGCCAAGGGCACTGATGGCTTAGACCCGGATACCCACACTCCACAGGGCCACTTGGATGCCGGTAAGACTCGCACACTGCCATTTGATTCACTGGTGGTTGCTTTTATGCTAATAACACCTGGAATCATTATAGAAGCATTGACTCTATTCGCTATGTGTAAGTTACGTTTCTTCCCGTCCTTTCGCCTAAACACATCTCCAGGATTCGAGATAAGCTAATCAACATCGGCTCTCTCTACAGCATTATGGGTGAACTCGGCAACTTGGTGGAAATCGTATGAAGCAAGACGCAGACAGAAAGATCCTCCGCCACAATAAGGAATTTGAGGTACACTGTAAGCTTTCTGTGTTAAAATCGATTGCCAAGCTTGGTTCTATGCATATCATGTGAACCGTTATCCAAAATTCATGGACAACCTGCTATGCATCAAAGTGTAACTGTTCTATATGCAATAATTAGACTGAACCTTCGATTCCAAATGCCATGACTAATTAAAATGTGAACACGTTCTTGATTCTCCTGGCCACTTCTCTCCTCAAGGCACGATATTCGGCCACCGTTCTCGACACAGCATCTTTGTTCTCGTTGGCGCGCCGTAGAAGATAAAAAATGCAATCGCCAATTGTGCCCCAAGTAAGACATTTGTATACGTCGCTCACCACGAGCCCTTGGCTTTGCATATCCTCCTTGTTTCGCTGAAGGAGTGTAAAACTTACTTCATCTGCCATTCCAAGTAGCTGACCGTATTGAACTTGAATTCGCGGTAGTCCAGCCTTTGTCCGATCTTGTTGCAGTTCTTGAGCTTTCAGAGTACTAGTACGATTATGAGTCGCCAAAAATAGATGCAGTCTTGGAGAGCTGAAAGATTCGTCTTGCCCCCAACCAGCAAATTGTCCTTGGATGAGACTTTCTGCAATGAGATCATACGAAGCATCCGTCTCTGCCTTGGTATCGTGGATAAGATGGCGAGGCTCTGTGCTCATGTACGCACCCCGAACTAGCTTTATGCCTATTGTAAAGCCGTCTTTCTTCGCGTAGTCCAAGTGATCAAGTAAAGTTACTGAAGTTGACTTCAGGTAAGCTTGATAAGTGTTAAATACTATTGCCACATCACCCCGATTGTAGCGGCGCATCAGATCGAGGGCGACTTTATTAATTCCGGTCTGAACATGATGCTGCTCCGCATCTAAGAAAATGTTTACATTTCGGCTGATAGCTTCACCACAGAGATCTGCCAATGCACTCTCCATCTGAGTCGGAAGTGGATTGCCCAAAGAGAGTGCTGTTGTTACCGCCGCGCCAGCCCCAGTCAACCTATTCTCCTGTTGGTCATTAAACGGACACAGCCAAACTGTAAAAGAAAAGGAAAAGACCCACTTTAATGCTATAAAATCTCCCTCGCCAATCATTCGGACTGTTTGCAAAACGCCTTGGTGCCATGCTTCAATCTCGGTATCAACTTTTTGTGATTCGGGGTCGAGTTGGCTGTTATCACCAGAAGATCTTCCTGGACCCTCTTTTGCATAGGTAAGGATTACACCGCAAAATCCCATGTTTTTTATGTTTTGTATCGTAGCTTTGACCTCGCTCGCATTTTCCCCGGCACAGAAGTGGTTGTAAAGTACATTCTTCAAGATGCTATGTAGCAATGGGTTCCTCTCAACATTAAACAGGGGGGCTCGGGGTTTGGACAGGAAGTTCAACGTGGCTAATCCTGGAGCCAGAAGCATCGGGTGGCTAGTGATTCCGGCTACCAATAGCGACCGCAGAAGCATCCTAGTTGGGAGGAGAGAATGTGGCGGTAACATCGTCTCTCCCTCTTCTCCCCCTCAATTGAGCCAAAGGATATGAAGCTGTCTCTCTGTTGCCGGCCACTAATTTCGGTGGTTGGAGCGCCGCTCTCTTGAGCTTGGATTTAAATGGATCTGATCCTCTGTTAGAAAAGTATCTTCATAGTCATATGTTTCGGTCTGCTTGTTGTCGTAATGCGATTGATTCGACTCTGGAGATTTTCCCCTCCTCTTATTCAGCCTAGACATTGGGGTTATTACCCCTCCCACACATCTGCTTAGTCACCAAACCCAGTTCGTACCAATATCGCCATTCCATTTCATTGCCGGCTGATAACATCAACTTTGCATCTTGAGATGAAGAAAATTCAGGTCTGATCCTATTATTTATAGTACCACGTAAAAGCCATCAGTTAAATGATTCTCACAGTCTCTCAGATTCACGTTCCATGTTCTCGCAAAATGCAGAGCTATGTGGGAAAACAAACCTGGATCTGCATTGGAGTGACCGCCAAGGTGCCATTGGGCACAATGAATCGAGCCATGAAAAAGATGACTATAATTCTTCTACGTAGATAATCCTAATAGGTTATATATATCATATATGGAACATCGATTCAAAATTTCATGGTAGAGAATGCCTCTTTTGTCCCAATAAGACCTGTAGAAATCCCCAAGTCGCTTCGACTTAAGACGCCGTCATTTTGTGATCTGGTAACCTTAGCCCACCAAAAGAATTGCATCATGATTCCAATCTCCTCAGCCCAACCTGGCCATATTTTGTTGAAATCTTCCGGCTGAAGCTCAATGTACTCTGCTGGCTTCCCTTGAGCTTCTGCCCATAACTGCAGCATTTCACCACATGTAATATTCTCCGTGTGGGCTAGCACATGCTTTCTAGGTAGAGTTTTATTGGGTTGGTCAATTATAGCTTTTATGAAAATGCCAACATTGTTCTTTGCATCACCAATAGGCCGGAGAGGTGTATCTGCCGGGTATCCATTGAGTTGAACGTATTTGCCCGCTGATGGAACAGAAATTGGGGTGTGAGTCTGCCAGTAGAAATTTGCCGCATAGTAGCCGATGATAACAAATGTAGTCTTTGCAAATAATTCTTGTTGTGATTGAATATACCGGTCAGCGACATTCTTACTTGCGAAATGAGGAACTAAATACTTCCCTGAGCTCTGCGTTTTAGCGTCAGGTAAAGTTGACCATATGTAGTGTTCCAGGGTTGGCGTTGCTGCAGCTGCTTTTGCGAGATTGAAAGCTTGAGAGGACTCGATTTCCATCGCTTTCAAGGATCCTTCTTTGGCAAATAGTCCAAAAAAATCCGTCACACCAAATATGATTGATGAGCCTTGGAAAGCCGCCGTTAAGGACGAAACATCATTCGTGGTGGCTTGGACAACTTCCACTCCCCTAGCCACAAGATCTTTGGCTGACTGGCTTTGGCAGTTTCGTGTGACAGCACGAATACGGTATTTATCATCTTTAACAAGAATATCGATGACTGAGCCGCCTTGGATGCCTGTAGCACCGACTACAGTGACAATCTTTTTTGCCATGACTTGCGTCGCCATTCTTTCCAAGCTTAATAGGATCAAAAAAGGTTCATATCAGAAACCTAACAAATTGTACATTATAGTTGAGATTTATTGATGTTAAAAAGAGAGAGATCAACTATTTATATGCCGAGATCACCAGTTACCATTACTTTTTGTACCCTCACGATCGCTACATCAAAGATTAATAATCTATCTTGTTTAATAATCTTGGGTTCGAAGTACCAGATATTTAGCTCATAAAAAAAAGAGTAGCAGGTAATAGAGTCAATTATCAAGTTATTGCAGCCGTTGTAATAAGATAAGCCGAAATCACTGCATAATGCTTAAACTATACTAGGCGTTAGACAGCCGGATTTTGTAGCCATTCGCGGAAAGGTGTATATTTCGCCCCGCTGGGACCCATTGCATCTTGTGGGAATTTATGAGATGCTTCGGCAGTTGAACATTAATTCCATATCCGTAGAAATATTTCATATTTACTGATACCATAAACACGTTTCAAACGGTTTGCCATTCGGTCAATAATACCTTGCCAATATGGATCCAACACTGTGATAAGACGACGGACGTATAGCACACAGGCGGGACGTATGGATGAGAGTATATGAAATAATAAAGAGCCGTTGCTGGGACAGCACTACGATCGATCCATTTCATATCGTGTATAGGCTCGTAATATCTAAATTCTTTTGGGTCATACACCAATACTAAGATTGGTGTTTTTGGTTAGCTAATTGCAGATATTACCCTAAACTAAATCCACATAATATGTAAAGCAACAATGTAGCGACCGATTTACAACACTTATATTACAGCATAATGATGGCAACGTTACTTAATATTTCATATGTTCACCTGATTATGAATCATAGCATTAATGCAAAGATAATTAATGTAGATTGAACGAGTTGCTATTACTAAGTTATGGATGTTAAAAGATAATCGTTGACCTTTGATAAAGCGAGGGATGAATAGTTTTCAACGTATTTTTCGATAAGTGGTAATTTGCTGCCTCCAATCATACGCATGGACAACAGGAACGTTCTTCATAATATATCACATCATTAGTAATAGAGCATGAATGTATCCTGTTCAAAGGCTTATTAGATGGCGAATTTAATCTATGAGATAATTATAAAACATAAACCGCACTTGAGATCTCAAAATCTTTGAAGTGCATGGAGGAGGCCACAACACCAGGATCACCAGAGCTTGGGAATACAGTAGATGTATCGGTGACTTAGTGTCTTCTCAGTACTTCGATGATATAACTACTCGATATATATGATACTCTTTCTCGGTAGGTGGGCACAGAAAGGCAATTTAAGCTCAAATATACTCTCAAATAAGTACCCTATGCGAAAGAAACAAACCAAAAGGGAAAGAGAAAAAAAGACCTTAGTCATTGTGCATTAGATATACGCCTTATTGCTATATTGGACAACATGGGGAGGGTAGGTGCATCGGGGTGTGGCTATCATTTGTCTAATCCTGCCAGCCAGGCCCACTCCCTCCGGCCATGGCCCACTTACCTCGATGAATGCTGGTGTTTGAAATTGATTGAGGTCCGTATGTTTCCGTATTATAGTTGCTGTAGTCCGGGGTGATATTATTACAGATGCGACCCTTGATCCTTCAAAGTGTTTCTCGACAAAGCGCTGCAAGTCAATTTTGCAATAAATGAGAAAAAATACCATTAAGGCAATGGGTACATACGAATCAAATTATAAATGAAGGAGGTCAATGTATGGACGCAATCTAGACACTGAACTGGTAACAGCGATCATTGGGCTCCGCCTTTCCCTTTTCCCAACTCTGCTGGAAAAGATCAGGCGCCTTGGTTTCACATAGAATTACCAGTCTCGGGCGTAAGAATTTGTATTTAGGATTCTTGACTTGTTTTAACATTGTCTCAGTGCATTATTAACTAGCCCCGCTATTCAGACTGAACTGTGAATGAAAAAGATCAAGTGGATATATAACAGAATCTATCGTTGTAATATTTGTATTTCTATTATCCTCAATTATGATATACAAATTGTGGCTAGTTAATAATAGATCATCTGTCAATCTGTTCCAGACTATCAAATCTTGACAGATAGAATTGTCCTAATTTTTCCATACATTATTGAGCAACCACAACTCCCCAGCCCACTGCTCCTGAACAACGGGCCAGATATTTTCAGGAGGCAGAACAAAGCCACCTTGACCAGATGTTACTGGGTCTAATTCAAGCGTCCAAGAATGGTCCGCGCCATAGGCGCCATAGTGGTGATCACGGCCATTCCCTGCTGAATAGTATTCAATATCGCAACCCGTACCATACTGATAAGTCTCATTCCGGGTATCGAATGCTTGTACAGCATTTGCAAAGCCTCCAGCAATCTCAAGCATGCGAGGAAGCGTGGCAGGATATTGAGTGGTGTTGCAGGTCCAACCAGGAGGCGTCAGGATCTTCTGACCGTAGCTGTGAAGATCAATGTAGGACCGAATTCCCTTGCGTGATGCTCCGAGTTTGTCTGAGAGCCCTGATACCGCGATGTTTTCAGGGGTGTCACCTGGGTTTAGACCTTGAAAGGTCTCAGCGCATGGGTTGGTGGATGCAGCTCCAGTGCTTGGTTCGCCTCCCCATTCAAATTTCCAGTTGCGGTTAAGATCTGTGCCAACACATGTGGTGTTGCTGCGAGGCAATCGGTTCTTACGCCACATTCGATCAGTCGTTTGCGTGTAAGAGAAGCCTATAGGACGAGACTTATATCAGCATTTTTTATTATACTGATATCCCAGTGAAAAACTTCTTACCATCCGGGTTGTGGAATGGAACAAGCCAGAAGTCATAGTAGTCTAAGAACTTTGTAATCTCCTTATTTTTTGTCTTGTATCCGTTAATCAGCTGCCACGCCCAGTATTCAATTACCTGCAAGATTTATTAGACCAGTCACAGATGTATGGGTGATCTTAGGAGCAATACCGAGGTGGTAATCCACTCTCTAGCATGAACAGTGGCATGCCACAGAATGATGGGCTTATTGCCTTTCTCACCCTTATCGCCAAACAGGTGAAACGCATGTATGGTGCGATTTTCATATGAAGTGCCAATGTCATATTTTTTAGAATTCTTTGGGAAAGCTGCAGCCAAGTCATCCCAATACTGAAGATGATCTTCGTATGGGTGATACGACTGATACCAAGAGAGGTCTGGTAGCTGGCCGGCCCTGTGTAGCCCACGCTTATAGACCGAGGCCTTATCCTCACGTCGAATTTGTTCTCCAAGGTCGGCGCTCAGCAGGCGGGCATTGAGATCCAACTCTTTGAAGCTACGGACTTCATTGGGCGGAATAGCGACTTCGAATCCGCGGCTTGTAACCTCTGTATGGTAGTTTGCGAATCGTTTCTCAATGAATTCGGCCTCGATCTTGTCTGCTGCTCTTATGCTGTAGACGTGATACCCATCATAGCTGACTTTGTCTGTACGTGGGCTCGGTGACTCCACATTAACAGAGCGTGAAGCCACCAATGGCGCCAGAAAGGCTAGAGTCGTCAGGAACTTCATGGTTCTAATCGCAGATGAGGTGCCGGATCCGATTGCTGAGCGCATTGGATAAGGATGAGAGAAATTGGGAGTAGGCAAATGAAGGTCATTTTTATACTCCCAATTTACCATCATCTATAATCATTATGTGGAGAGAAATGTCGGTCGGAAGCTACCCCGAGATCATGACACGACACTAAACGGAAGATCTAAACCGCGAGTTACATGAACAAGAAGCAAATGAGGGGAGTTTCTGGAGCTATCACGCAATTTTTTGTCTCCTCATTGAGTGATATTGTGCTCCATTCACGCAATCGCCAGGGGTCTTGGTATCAATGTGTATTTGGGAAGAAAACAAAAAGTCCAATGGGCCTTGGTTGAGTAATAATTAAGAATGCATATGCACGCACAAACAAATATGCTAAAGCGTCGTTGCTGCTAGTGGCGGCTATAATACCAAAACTACTGCAATCTTGCAACGTCTTAAGCCCGCAGTCACAGCCCAACTTGGCATGTATTAAGTTCAACCAATGACTTTGCAACGTGATTCCAAGCATCTTATCGCTCTTTGCCTTCTTTATGGGTAAATAGATATTATAAACCCGATGATTGGATACATGGCCAGACAGGCACAGAAGATGGCCAATTGCAATCGGGATCCAGACAAAAAAAAATCCAGATCCCTGCATATGAGAATATTAGCTCACCCAGCGTTGTTTAAAGCCAGAGCGTAGTATTGCAATTGACCTGTTGAATGCACGCATTTAGATATGAAACATCGTTTCGTCATAAGGGAGTCAATCTTCATATTCAATTCAACCATATTCATAAGATTGAATGAAAGATGATGATCCTTTTGCGATAATTGTTAACGCATGCTGGTTTTAGTACATCCGGAGATGAAACAATGGCATATAAGGGAGAGGTATGAGAAAGAAAACATTCAAAGGCAACGCATGCTTTAGTACAAACGAAGATATTTCCATTGTGACATTCAGGGATTAGTAAACGAGTATCCCTGAGGGATAGAATTAACGTAAGAAGAGTTGATAATTCGAAGGTCCTGTTGTTTTTTGCTTATTATTTCGTTGTCCGCGGGTTATGGATGCTCGCACCGAACCCGACGAGAATTTAACCAGGACGTTCGGAGCACATGTTCTCCAATCAAGGTTAGAAAACTGAAATTTACTTGTATTGTCTTGCTTCTCGGTACGATAATGATATCCTCCCGCATGCCTTGATAATCTGAATTAGTTGTCTGCGATGAGTTGAATGACCAAACTTCTCAGTTTCAAAGGACCACCCGAACTTTTAGTGCATTCTTCTCTAGAATTTCGTCCTTTTTTTGTTCGAGTTCTTGCATATCCCAACACACGCTAATGAACCGCCCAGACAACCATTCCCGCCTTTCCTTAACTAACCATACAAAAGTATGAGCAGGTAACTCTGGTGGATCAATTAAAGCCTGGTGTAAATATGTCGGCATGTTATGAGCTAGTTCTGTAGCAACGCCGCCAGGATGCAAGCTTATCACAATCAAGCCTTGCTGATAATACTCCTTGTCGGCGAACTCGGTAAAACGAGCTAATGCAAATTTCGAGGTCTGGTAACTTGAAGCGCCTGGCATAATATAGTGTCCTCCTATGCTGCTGCAGTTGATAATCGTCTTTGTTTGCGACTTGAGCAGCAGGGGGATAAAATATCGGTGACATAGGTAGGTGCCCTTCATGTTGACTTCCCATGACTTCCACCACTCATCAGCTTCTGACTCGGCCAGATTTTTCCAATCCTCAAGGTAGCCAGCATTGCAAATTAGGATATCGAGACTTCCAGAAAATGTCTGGGCGGTAGCTTCGGCAGCCATTCGTACCGACTCTTCTGACATTACGTCCACGGTTAGGCTCAATACCAGAGGCTCGGGGTGTTTTTCTTTAGCTGCAGCTTCCTTGATGTCTTTTTCGACATTATCAAGTGAAGAACGTGCGGCAATTGCAATTTTTGAACAGCCAGCCGTTGCAAAGGCCAAGGCAGTGGCCTTACCAATACCCTTAGAGGCTCCTGTGATGAATACAGATTTGCCAGCTAGATTAGCACTGGTTGGGTCTATGAAAGGATATATATCGTGACGAGGTGTGACATATTCTACCAGTTGAGGCGCATTGGTTTCGCGAGAAGATATTTCTCGATCCCTCATATTGGCTGATGGAAGATGCATGTTGCTGATGGAAAAGTTTCTCTGTATCTTTGCGGGAGTGAAAGACAATTGATGGATAGAAATCTAATCAGGAGATAGATGCACAGTGTTGAGCAAGTGTTGCTAATAAATAGTGTGAAATAGTTTGGTTGGTTGGAGTTTTGTACATATCCCAGATATTATAGCGTAGCCTTATCTCCGCCCGAGGAAGAGCGAGCAGGAGCGAGGAGAAAGGATTCGGGAATACATGTATAAATGAACCCCGATATCCGAAGTTCATACATCTCTACATACAGCCGCTCTCGGATTTGGAAAACAATCAAGTTAATGAGAGTAATTCTATAACTGTTCTTGCGGATTTAGTAGCTAAAGCCGGGTTTCTCTACTTTAACGTATGCCGACTTACGACATGACTGACTTTTCTTATAGCAATTCTGATTTGATGGATGCATTGCCAAATTTTCCGATGTGGTAAATCAATAAGGATTGTTAGCGGTAATAACCTATCACTCTATTTTAAAAAGCTCCAAATATTATTCAGGCTTTCAGCCAGTGAGGGGTGCGCCCAGACTGCGTTCTGCAAAACTGGCCATTTGACGCCTCCAATCATCGCCATCTCTACCAAACTCATTATCTCACCACCCTCGATCCCCAAGCAGGTGAATCCAAGAATTTGCTTCGACTCCGCGTCAACGACTGCTTTCATTAATCCTCTAGATTCGTCTGTCTCCAACGCGCGTGCAACATACGACATTGGCATGCTGGCGACTTGAATCTCACGATCTGGAAATTTTTCGCGAGCCTCATGCTCGTGTAGGCCAACGTGACCAAGCTGTGGATCGGTATAGACGACGTAAGGTACAAGGCGGTCAGCGGTACTGAGGCTCCCCTCTTCCAGCAAGTTAGTGCGTAGCAAACGAAAGTCGTCATATGATATATGTGTAAAAGCTGGCCCGCCTTTGACGTCGCCAAGAGCCCAGACTCGGGAATTGGTTGTTCGCAGCTGTGTGTCCGTTATAATATGACTACGAGCAGTTGACTCTATACCAGCTGCGCCTAAGTTCAGAAACTCAGTATTGGGTACGCGACCAGCAGCAAAGAGCACGTGAGAGGCTGGTAGTTCGGATTGGCCATTCTGACCAGACACCAACACCGACACTGGGGTAGTGGTGTGAGAGCGAATCGCCGTAGGGGCCGTGTTTAGAAGAATTCGGATACCATCCTCTTCTAGCACATTGCGCATCATTTCCGCGACCTCGGCATCTTCACGGGGAAGTAGTTGAGCTCCTCGCTGTACAATAGTAACGGCGGCACCTAGTCGGCGGAAAAGCTGACCAAATTCGAGGCCAATATAACCTCCGCCAATAACGACGAGATGTGAGGGAACTACTCCCAATTCTTGGATAGAGGTTGAGTCAAGTACAGTACCTGGCGGGAAGGCAGCAGCATTGAATCCATCCATCTTGGGTATGGCTGGGCGTTCTCCACTGCAGATGAAGATACGATCGGCGGTGAGACTCTTCTCAGGGCCGTCCTTGCAGCGTACCTGGATCGTATGCTCATCTTTGAAACATGCTGTGCCAAAGATAAGCTCCACTCCGGCATCCTGTAGTTTGCGCTCACTCCCATTGCGAAAACTATCAACGATATCGCGCTTCCGCTGTCTTACAACCTCCATGTTCACCTGGACATCATTCATGGCAGCGTTGACATGATTTGTATACACACCATACTGAGGACCGCGACGCGAAAGATACGCCACTCTTCCAGATGCAATCAAAGTTTTGGTCGGAGTGCATCCTTCATTGATGCAGCAACCTCCTACATGCGAGCTCTCAATCAATGCAGTTTTGTGTTTCGCTTGCGCAAAAGCCATACTAAGCGGCGTACCGCCTTGGCCTGAGCCAATAATGATTGCATCATAATGAGTAAACATGGTCCGAATGATTTCTTTGTAGAATGGTATTTTGGGCTTTAAAAAACCCCTTAGGGACGCAGGATGTAGGGTATTGCGCATAAAATCTTTGAATGTTGAATGCTGCAAGTTGAGACGACAGATGGCAGAAGGATAGAGATGAGGGGAGATATTCGTAGCCACCCTTCATGTGAGGACAGTATTGATTGATAAAGAAGGATTTCTGTAGTAATCAGTAGCGTGCAATTCCTAGGTATAGGTAGCCTGGTTGTTTAAGGTTTGAGCGGATTTATACTTTCTGTGCGGAGAAACAGTTGCGTCAGAGTCATTGCAGTTTTGCGGAGTAAAAACATCAATGTCTACAGGTTGAAACCCCCTTGTTATGATGAACACGTGCGAAACCAAAGGCCCGTACAAGGTCGACCTGCAGATCGAGCAGTTGAGCAAATACACCGGAGTAATAAAACGAACAATGGTTAAGATCTGATTAGCGTTATGTGACCTTCTTCGATTCCAACGGGACGTGAAGCAATGGGACGGGAAAATAAACTATTGATGGCACTGGATACTGCAAAGTGGATGGAAGATATGATGAATCATGGAGCATGAGTACACCTATTTAATCAACTGGATGCCAAAGTTTAGGTATCCATTGCACCCAAGTAAGTACCTATTCAACTCCTTCGCTGGACCTCCGGATAATATTGCGGGGCCTCATATCGATCATACATTCCATAATCTCGTATGACCCTCTCCTGCCTTAATCTGACGTCACCTTTCGTTTCATATGCTCGAATAAATTCAGAAGAGGTATCCGACGTTTTGAATGAAAGATACGCGATAACATCGCCTGGACTGAGTACCGCTTCGAAAATATCCCAAGATACCAAACTTGCCAATGGATCCACCTCCAGGTTAAGAAGTTCGAGTACCTCGTTTGGATGTGGATTCTGCAATGCCGTTTCATTCATACTAATGAGCACAATTGCCTCTGCATCACCTGTGCGCGTAATGTCCAGCCTCTGTTCTTCTAATTTGTGCCCTTCTGGTATGTGCGTGTCTGCAGTGACCTCACATATTCGTAGTCGATAGTCATGGAAAACTTCGGCCCTGCCTTGCTGTTGAGCGCTATGATGGCGACCTTGAGTTCGCCATCTAACCAGCGACTTTTCATCCCGCCAGGTAGAAAGTGATAGAATCCAGCCGGGCTTTGTCAGAGAAGCATAGCGAATATTATCAATAAAGCCATCTATCTGAAGGAGCTCTGGTCTGAGGGCCTTTCCTATGTCAAGATAGAGGGGCTTTTTCTCAGTAGAGGGATGTACTTCAAATAGCACCGTGAACATTGTGACTTGTAGCGCGCCAAGGAGTATTGAGCTGTGTGGTGATTAAAAGAATCGTTGAGGTCGGTGACGGAACATCTGCGAATTTTATCTATCGTTATCTCCAGAATCCCGAAATAAAAATGCAAGACAGAGAATTTAAATACATCGCAAAAGAGCTGTAAGGAGAGTGATGGTGAATCGCAAAAATAATGTGGGGTAGTTGCATTATTCGTGAAATTTTCATTCTGCTGTTGCTTTGGATATTGCTAGCCTCATTATTGGCTGTGTATTATTATATTACCCTCGGCTTATTTGTTTCCCTCGATGAGAAATTCTAAAATACATGAATGAGTCATTTTGCCTGTTGTTAAAAGTGGAAATTTCTGACACGATATTCTCCTAGCTTTCAGCAAACGGATTTTCTGTACCAGTATCCTACCTATGAGTTGTACGTCATATCCGTGGCCCGATCCCACTTGGACATCGTTGGTGCAGCTCAATGGCAGGTTGGCGAAGCACATCTCGAGAGGGTGGTGCATGACAGAACGAAATGCTTGTATAAAGAAACTAAGACTAAGTAAAACTATCTTAAAAGTGTTGTTTCGCATGTCGCAATCTCTATGCCCCCAATATGCGTTGAAGCTCCGCTAAAAACTTGATTACTGTACTTTCGGGTGTAAGTTTCCGGTTGCCTTCAAATTCGAGATCAAGGCTCCCTTCTCGCGGCGTGGCGTATATCTCAGGGCGATTGCGAGGAAGTAAGGGTCGTTCATAAAATGAAACAGTGCTAGGCGATCCCAAGAATGAAAATTCCGTTTCTTCTTCCTGCTGGAAAGATGTTCGCCAGCCGAAATCCGTTACATCTTGAGGCCAATCTGTGCAGTCCCTTATGATCTCGGCCATCCCTGCGGCTTCATGTGATGAATCTTCAATGAATTGGTTTTGTAACTGCAAAGCAACTTCGGCGAGAGTGCTGTTTGCGGTTACACTGGCTCTGATGGGGACCTCTGTCATGCAGGGGCCCACAACGTTTTGGAGATGGCTTGGAAGCATTGAACGGCCGGTCACAAGGCGACCAAACACCACATCCTGTTGATCAAATTGGCGAGAAAGGGCGATTGCGCACGCGGCATGGAATATCACCGCAGGCGTAAACCCTCCCATGCTCTGAGTGTTTAGCATTGGAATTGTTTTCTTGACTGTCAATCTGTCATCTGTTGCGTATATATCATTTGAAGAGTCGCTGAAACTCCATGCTGGATATAACGATCCATGAAGCCTTGAGGTCCAGTAAAACTTGCTTTGTCTCTTCTTCGATTCATTGAAGGAGATGAATTGGGCAAAAGATGAAGAGGGCGATAGCCGTTGCTGATTATAGATTAATGACAAAGTTTGAAGAACCAATCCCCAGCTAAAGCCATCAAATTGAGCATGCGAGATTCTGAACACAAGCTTGTGCTTTCCTGAGGCGTGTTTGACACTGATGAAACGAACGAACGAGCGGCCCAGTTCTCGAGGTCTTTTGAGATCTTCCCCACAGATCGAATCTATAAACGACGCCATATCCTGGTTGTCGGCATCTACATGATCGTATGTTGGCTTGAAGTTCGATAATAAAACTTGCCAAAAACGGCCATTCGCTCGGATGAAGACAGTGTGCAGGATGTCGAAATGATTCACTAATTCGAAGCAAGCGCGCTCCAGCTTTGGGAAATCCACATCAGCAGGTAGGTCAAAAATCCAATGAGGATATCTGTTCGGCGGATCCTGGAGTGCATCTAATATTGAGCGTTCTTGAAAATCTGTTGCGGGAATCACATCCCTGACAGCCTCAAGGTCAACGTCCAGAGCCGGCTTTACAAATTTCTCCAGGAAGGCTTGCGGGTCATCAGATTTTAGTAAGGAGAATGGCGATACCGAATGGTAATGTTCGTCGGAATTGACTTCTTTGACCAATAATGCCAATTCAGACAAACGCGGTGACCTGAAAATGTCTGCAACAGTCAGCGACAAGTTTTGCTCCCGTGCCGCTGAGACTAATCGCATGGCAGAAATCGACTCTCCACCGCTTCGGAGAAAGCTACTATCAGCATCAATACTTTCGGCCTTGATCTCAAGAACAGAAGACCATAAGGTCTGAAGCCTTTTTTCCATCAGAGTGGATGGCATGATCCGCGGTTTCCCATGAGATTGTAGTTCCACAAGCTGCTCTAGAGTTCGCTTACTACCGAGTTCTCGTAAAGATCGTCGATCTGTTTTGTTTGTGGTTGTCATAGGAATCTTTTCTACATGGATATATGCTCCGGGGACCATGCTATAAGGAACAAAGTCAGTAATATCCTATAAACTCATATTAGATAGCTGAGGAAATACTTACTACTGCGGAACACGATCCCATAGCTTCTCTTCTAACCCTTCCATGACTCGCATCAGTCTTGACTGTACATCCTCCTCGAGTTGGATCGTGTTTCCTTCAGAAAGGCTCAAGAAAACGGCGAGAATTGGGTTGGTGCTATTTCGTGGCACAATGATCTCCGCAGCGATGCCATCGCACAAACTAGGATCGCCCAGACAGGAGCGTACATGAAATTCCACTTCTGCTAGCTCAATTCGTTGACCTCGAAGCTTAATTAAACCGTCTTTCCGCCCTAGGAAGTCCATTGATCCATCCGAGTTGTAGCGCAAGAGATCGCCGGTCTTGTAAAGTGTACCTTGACGTCCTGGATGTTCCTTGGTGCCTGCCGAGAGCCATGTCGGATCCTGGATATAGGCTGCTTTCGTCTTGTTTACATCGCCAAAGTATCCTTTGCTAACGGTTGGTCCTTCAATCATGAGCTCTCCAACGGTGCCAATAGCGGCAAGGCGGTCTGGGCGACCTGGTTGTACGAGCCAAGTTCTCGCGCCAAACGGATTTCCGACGTGATTGTTCCGTGTTTTGGAATCCAGGCAAGCAAAGGATAGTGCTTGAGCGCATTCGGCTGGCCCATAAATTCCTATAACAGCTTCCGCTTGAGTCCAGCGAGATACTTCAGATGCCTGAATAGGCTCACCTCCCATTGCCAACGTTCTGATGCCAGGCATCGAGGATGGCTCCTGGGATCGGGCAACTGAAGGTGTAAAATACACATAATCACATTTCATCCTATTGAATGCGCCGGCGATGTCGTTTTTCCGCTCCCACTCTGATGGGATACATAGACAACCTCCACAAATCAATGTCTGCAGGTGGTTGGACCAGGAAACATCAAAACTATATGATACAAAGTCAAAGACACGGCTTCCTTCATGTATATGCAGGATATCTTTTTGATGGGTAGCTGCAGATGCAAAGTTTTCATGTGTCGTCAATATACCTTTAGGCACGCCTGTGGATCCGCTTGTGAACACAACTACTCGGAGTACTAACATTAGCATAATGTCTTTGTTGAATGAAATTAGAATTGAATGAGACGTACCGTATAATAAGTCTGACGGGCTAATTTTAGGCAGTATAAAGTCCGTGGGCGCTTCTGGAATGCGACTGCGATCAATACTGACTACAGTAGTATCGGAGAGGCGGCTTGCCAACGCTTCATTGTTAACAGAAGACAAAACCAGTTTAGGGTTGACCTGTTGGACAATTGACCTCAGTCGTGATTCTGGTTGAGTCGAGTCCATGGCGATGCATGTCGCTCCAGCCCGCATTGCGCCCAGAGCTGCAACAGGATACCACACTGACTTTTCGAAGCAGAGGGGAACTATGCTTCCGGGTTGAACACCTAGAGCGACTAAGTGAGAAGCCAAACGATATGAAAGATTATCCAGCTCAGAATATGTCAAGCTTCCGTCCCAAGAACATATTGCCATTGCTTGAGGCTGTCTCTTCATTGTGTTCCCAATTATATCATGCACACAATCTTGGACTGCGGTGGGTACTGACCCATTCCAATTCCATAGTTCCTTAATGTCTTGTGCACTGAGTAGATCGACATCTTCCACCGCTTGAGCAGTCGAATTGCAAATCTGGCGCAAAACATGCTCGAACTGGTTAGCGATGCGCTCCATTTGAGCCGAATCAATGATGTTGGAGTCGAAGCTAATTTCTAGCTTGAGATCGTTGGGCTTGGCCAACTGGCACATTATCATGACAGCATTTGGATTAAAGTCGTCAAGGCCATCCTGAGTAGAAAACACTTCAGGTTGATGCTGGAATAGACTACCGCCTCGATCCGCATACTCAGTTTGGCCTGGAGGCTGTACAACTAATAAGGTATTAAATCGACTTGCACTCTCTGTGTTTGCATCTATTCGTCGAATATCCAGCAATTCGGTCTGCTCGTAAGTAATCATTGCAATTGCTTGTGCTTGCACGCTTTGTAGCAGGGTATCCACCGTCGCTTTTGGGTCTATCTTGACTCTCACAGGGACGGCATTGATAAGAGGCGCGATCATGCGATCGAGACCAACTAACGGCGCTTGTCGTCCAGTGACCATTGCTCCAAAAATCACGTCGTTTGAATCCGTGTAGCGAGTTGTGAGAATCGACCAAGCTGTTCTAATAACTGCGAGGTACCCCAATTAGTAAATTCAGTAACCAAATGTCATGAGCCCTGGTTGCTCCGTTATTGAGCACTTACTTGTTGAAGCCGTGGTGTCTGTGTTCTGCCATTTCATGTCTGTTAAATGACGTCGAACAGTGCTGTCGGCCTTTGGTTGATAATTTTGATGCGGCAGGGCTGGAAATGGGATCGCCTCCAACTCTGAAAATTGATTACTCCAGAATTTTCTTGCGTCATCCTGGTCAACCTTCATGATGTGCTGGATGAACTGTTGAAAGGGAGCAATAGGACCGTCGTCTGTAATACCATCATATGCTCTTGTTACTTCTGCTAGAAGCAGATTCAATGAGTAGCCGTCGTAAATCGCGTGATGTTGAGTAATGAGACAAAGCCGTCCTTGGACACTGGGGCCTTGGATAATTGCGAGTCGGGTAAGGCGTTTGTTCAATCCCATTGGTTCGCTTTGATCTTGCTCAAGATATGCCTCAATACTTTCATAGGTTTTCCAATCAATTGACTCATTTATTTGCACTTGAACAAGACCTTCCGAAGGAGCATCGACTATTCTGTAACGCAGAATAGGTGCTGCAAATTGGCTCACTCTTTGCCAAGCATTCCGGAGACGCTCTATATCGACATCGTCGTGCAACCGCAAAGAAAATCTGGCTATATACGAGTTTTCGGATTTTGCTGTCATTGAGAGAAGAGACTTCTGCACTCCGGTACAAGGGAATATGTCCTCGATTTGTGAAATGTCGACTGCACACTGTCTAGATATATATGCAAAAGCTCGGTCTTTCGAATCTGGACTTTTCAGCAACGAAAAGGGCAAAATCATGCTATCATGCGCCGCAGGGTCCTCTGATTCAAAGTATGTCATAAATGTTGCCATTTCAGACAACCGCGCTGCCCCAAGGATGTTTTGCACTGTCAGATTGACTCCCTGACTGCGAGCTACAGCAGTTAGCCTCATAGCAGATATTGAATCCCCCCCAAGTCGCAAAAAGCTGCTATTTTTATGAATTTTGTCCGCTGGAACTTCTAGAACAGTTACCCACAGTTGTCGGAGATGAGATTCCGACTCAGTTAGCTGCGATTTGCTATCTGAGGAACTGCCTGGGCCGGCTAATTGTTCTAGGGTTAAATCGCTCCCCAACTGACGCAGACGCTTCCGATCTGTTTTACCACTCGTCCCAAGTGGAATATTTTCTAGCGGTACAAAGGCTGTCGGGATCATGTAAGATGGCAGTCGTTGACATAACTCGTGCTCAACATCATCGATAACATCCCCTATGCTGACGTCATGAGTCTTTAGAAGCTGGATGAACACAACTAGCGCTGATCGTCCCGTAATCTTTGGAGTAATAATTTCTGCAACTGCTGTATGGACTTCCAGCCTTGAAAGCAAGCAGCTTCGGACATGGTGCTCAACTTCAGAGAGCTCAATTCTTTGTCCTCGGAGCTTAACTTGTGTATCTTTTCTTCCAACGAATATGAATGTTCCGTCAATGGAATTGTATTTTACGAGATCTCCTGTTTTATAAAGTCGACCTCTCCGTCCAGGTATGGAACCGTCAGGGCTTCCATTTAGTAGCCATTGAGGATTTTCAATGAATGATCGTTGTGTCTTTTCTGTATCTTCCAGGTAGCCTTTGCCAACCAATGCTCCCTCCAAATAGAGTTCTCCCACAGACTCGATAGGCAATAAACGCTCACTGTTTTCAGGGTCCACAATCCATGCAGAGACTCCTACGGGTTTGCCTATAGCTAGTCGGAATGGCATTGGATTTGGCACATTATAGTATAGTGTTCCCGCAGAGCATTCAGCTGGTCCGTAAGACACAAAAGTGTTCGCATACGGCAACCACCGAGCAACGTCGTCTTTTGTAACCTCTTCGCCACCAAGATGAACATTCCGCAACGTTGGCGTTAATGAAGAGTCAATTAAACGTGCTGTGGAAGGAGTAAGAAAGATATCTGTGGCGCAAAACCTTTGAATACTCTGCGTCAGATTGTTCTTTCTCTCTGTATCACTTGGAATACATAGAGTTCCACCGGCAGTGAGAACATGAAAAGCGCTCCAGTAAGATGCATCAAACGCGTACGATGAGAAATCGTACATTCGCGAGCGATTGTGGAGCTTCAAAACGCCTCGTTGATGCACCACTGCGCTGCTAAAGTTTCGGTGCTGCATGAGACAGCCTTTAGGTGCTCCTGTACTTCCACTTGTAAAAATCGCGTACAATAGATCAGAAGGGTCAACATATGGCAACTCTTTAGTAATACGGCCTGTTTCTTTGACCATGGTAGACTGAATAAAGTCTGAGCTGTCGCCCACGAGCAAAGTTTTTGTACTCAAAGTAGAGCTCAGTGCTTCTTGTAAGGCAGAGGTCAGAATCAACAATGGATTGACTTGCTCAATGATTGATCTGAGACGTGAGGCGGGCAAAGTGGGATCTAGTAAAAGGGCTGCGCCTCCCGATTTAATAACACCAAGAAACGCTACCATGGCAAATTTTGACTTCTCACAACAAATTGGAATGATCATATTCCGCTCAACACCGATTTCGACTAACTTATGAGCAACTGTGTTGGCTAGGCGATCCAAGAGCTCGTAGCTCAAGTCACCATCCCAAGCAGAAATTGCTAAAGCATCAGGTTGGATACGGGCAACCTCTTCAATGAGATGATGGACACATCGTTCAATGCTCTCTGGTTGATCAGAGTTCCATCTCCATATCTCGCCAAGGTCCTCGTCACTTGCCATAGTGATGTATTCAACCGATGAATCATCTAGACTATGCGAACAAAGATTCTTCAGCAATTGGTCAAAGCTTGTTGCCATCCTTCGGATTGTTTCGTTCTCGACTACAGTCGAATCGAAGCAAAATTCCAATTTTAGTTGATTCTCAACTAAAGTAGAAATTAAAGAGAATGCGTATGAGTTAAACCCATGGTAGCGATGAGGTCCAGCCTCAGTGTCAACCTGGATAGGTTCGGAATCGAAAAGGCCACTTTCCTTTGTATTTTGCTCCTGCGGTTGGATAACTAAGAACGCCTGGAATTGACACGCTTGTTGCGCTTCATCACTTATCAAGCGTATTGCTGATAGACCCATTTGTTCGTATGGGATCATATCTGTTGCTTGATGTTGCATTTCATTAAGGAGTTTCGCAATATTGACTTCTTTGTTGATCTTGGCTCTGATTGGCACAGTAGCAATGGTAGGGCCTACTAGCCTCTCGATACCTTCGACAGGAGCCTTGCGCCCATCCACCACTGTTCCAAATACAACATCCGTCGAATTGGAATACTGCGAGCATAGTAGTGCAAATGCTGAACGTATCACTGTTGACGGGGTGATATTATCCTTTCGCCAAGTAATGTCTTTAATCGACCGCTCTAAAACGGAATTTGTCTGTGGTTGATGTGTTGGGGAGGGTAGAGCAGGGAATTGCACAGCCTCTAAGTCCTTGAACTGAGCTTCCCAGAAGTTGATTTTTGCTTTCCTATCCATGTTGCCCATATATTTGACAAATGACTGGAGATTAGAGTGTGTTAATGGTGTGTTGCCATTGTAGAAGTTTTCTAGTGTTTCGAATATTAATGGCGTAGTTAGGCCATCGTAGATGGAATGATGCATCGTCAATACAAAATATAGCGACGAAGAGGATTCTTTCTCACTGGTGCGGGAACGCAATCGGTTTTGGTTAGGATTTTCCGAAATCAGCCCACATCTCATGAGGGGGGACCCAAGTCCCATATGTAGTTGTCTCTCCTTTGTAAGATACTCATTAATATCATCTGCCTCAATCCAGTAGTCGCGTTCGCGGATAACGACCTGCAATAAGCCTTGCCCTGGAAGATCTGTAATTCTTGTTCGTAGGATAGGCAGTGTGGAAACTACCTTCTCCCACGCTCTTTTAAATCGATGGATATCGACTGATGGTTTGATCTTCAGAATATTGCGACCGGTGTAATCGCCTTCACGTTTCACAGTCAGGGCTAATAGTCCTTCTTGTAATGGCGTGCAAGGAAATAAGTCTTCAACATCGTCATAAGCAATGTCACACATGGATGCTGCCTGTTGACGTAGAAGCTCTACTGGCTGTGTTGGATGAAGCAACGTATATGGGTCGATGGAAACCGCATCTTTCCCCTCGTCCACATGCCGAAGATATTTTGCCATGTCTAGCAATATAGGATGTTGGAAGATCTCGGCTACTGACAAACGCAAATTTTGCTGTCGGGCAATTCCAACTAACCGCATAGCCTGTATAGAATCCCCAATTCTCAGAAAGCTATCGTTTGCCGAGATCTCAGTTGCATTTATCCCAAGGACAAGGGACCACAACTCCCTCAGTTTGATCTCAGTAGTAGTTGATGGTTCTAGCTTCTCTTCGTCAGATTCTTGACGTGGGGGGTTGAAATCAGACCCAATTTCCTGTAATCGAGCTCGATTTCTCTTTCCTGTTTGCGTGGTCGGAATGGATGGAATTGGTATGTAGTAAGATGGAATGGCGTATCGCGGTAGAACAGTTTTAAGCTTCTCGTTTAATCCTACCGTTAGACTTTCCACTGCATCGTGAGTAGCCAAGGTGACGAATGCAACAAGAGTAAGGTTGCCACTATGTTTAGGCACGACAGCATCTACCACCACTTGAACTTCGTCTTCATCCACGAGACATTGCCGTATAGAATGCTCTACCTCTTGCGGGGCAACAAGTTGGCCTCGGATTTTGAGTTGAAAGTCCTTCCTACCCAAAAAGATCAAATCGCCGTTGGTATCATATCTAGCCAGATCGCCAGTGCGATAAATGCGGCCGGGTCTACCGGATTTACCCATTCCTTGCCCCAATTCTAGAAACCCTGGATCTCTACAGAATGAAAGGTCTGTTTTTGTCTGGTTCCCGAGGTAGCCCTCAGCGCACATGGGCCCTTCGAGTGCAATTTCGCCAACAGCGCCGAAAGGTACCAACTTGTTGTAGTTTCTTGGATCAATGAGCCAGCAAAGGGTCGGATGTCTCGAATCAATCCGCCCAATAACACCGCTGCGCCAGGTCTCGTCGTCAACAGCGCAGAAAGTCGCCGCAGAACATTCAGCTGGTCCGTACCAATTGATAATTTTTTGACTTTTCCCCTTCCATCTGTCGATGTCCTGCCGAGTGAGATTCTCACCAGCGAATACGAGGGTCGATAGATTGGGCATATCTTCAGGGCGGAGAAGTTTGGCCGCCGAAGGGGTAACATTAAGATGATTAACTCCAAAGCTGTTGATAGCGGCTGACAATCCATCTAGTCTCTGAGCTTCCGATGGTATGCACACACAACCTAAACTGGCAAGCGCAGACATTACCTCAATAGTGCTGAGGTCGAAATCATATGAGGCAAACTGGAAGATTCGAGAAGATGCATCAATTGACAGGTGTTCACTGTGAGCTTTGATGTTTCCCGACACCGCTCTATGGCTCCAGAGTATTTGTTTTGGCTCTCCTGTGCTTCCAGATGAAACGAGAATAGCAGCTGGATCGCTCATTTTCAGTATCGGTAACGGTATGCATTCATCTTGATGGTGTATCGCCAACAGTTGATCGATCGTAAAACTATTAGCATGTCGAGAAATCATGTCGATTAGAGACTCAGAGACCAATGCGATCTTGACATTGGCATTTTTAAAGACGGCGGCAATTCGTCGCTCAGGAACGGCACTGGATTGTAGCAAACTAACGGCCCCAGCTTTAAAAACAGCGATTTGAGCGACTGCAGCCCATTTAGATTTTTCAAAACAAAGTGCAACAACTGAACCCTTTTCAGTTCCCAGTCGCATCAGTCCTTGGCAAAGAGTAGTTGAAAGGTCTTCAACTTGTTGGTAGGAAAACCGTCCATCCCAAGCGTCTATGGCAATCTTATCTGGGTGTGCTGTTGCTGCTGCCGCGATAATATCGTGAATGCATGTATCTGCCTCGCCAGGAAGCTCTGCATTTTTACCCCAGAAAAAGTCCAGGTCGTTGTTGCTGACTGTCTGCATTGTATCAAGCGTAGCTGTGACCATATTTTCCGAACATATTTGTCCAAGTATGGTCTCAAACTGATGCGCCATGCGACGCATTTGCTCTTTATCAATGATGTTGCTATCAAAACTCATTCGCAAACGCAGCCCGTCGGATGCCAATTCACAGATAATCATCAGAGCATATGTATTGAAAGGATCCGTACCCTGTGTACTGAGATTTGCCGAGAAGCTTCGAGCTTTGAATAACAGGTTATCTTCATGCAGCCTCTTTCCTTCAGCTACGGGCTGCACCACAAGCAGAGTTTGTATCATGGAAGGATCCAGATGCTTGTATAAATTCTGAATATTTTGTAGTCCAAACTGCTCATAGGGCGTTGTTTCGATCATTTGGCGTTGCAATCGCTCAAGGAATGCTTCAATGGTCTCATTCCAATCCAACGAAACCGCAACAGGTATTGTCGATATGGTTGGTCCAACGCAATTTTCTATGCCTTTTAGAGTTGCTTGACGTCCACTGACTGTCAGTCCAAATATCACATCACTGAATGACGTGTATTGAGCAGCCAGAATTGCCCAAGATGCCCGTATTATTGTGGACGGCGTCGTTCCAGTGCGTGGCCATTTCAGCGAAATTGAATGTTCAAAATCTTCATTTGCCTGTGGCTGATAGTCCGAAGATGGTAGAACAGGGAATTGTCGAGGCTCCAAGTTTGCAAACTGGTTTTGCCAAAATTGAGATGCGTCCTGATGGCTTACTTGGCTTAGGTGCTTGATGAAGTTCTGGAACGGTGTAACAGCCAGTCCAGGTTTTCCAAGGTACTGTGACTCAATCTCATCTAAAATCATCTTCAATGAGTCGCCATCATACGTGCAGTGATGTATTGTGAATATGAAATTGCGGCCAATGATGGCGGCGCGGCAGAGTTCTGTCCCCAAACCCATGGGCTCCAATTCATCATCCCGAATATAGGCTTCCACATCGTGGCCAGACCGTAAAGGAGATGCCTTGAGAACTACTTGCATCAAACCTTGGCGAGGAATATCGATGATGCGCGTTCTCAAAATGGGTAGTTTCTCCACTGTAGCCAGCCATGCCCGTTGAAGTCGCTCCGTGTCAACTTCAGATTGCAACCCTAAAACGCTGCGTGAAATGTATTGGCCACGTTTCCTAGCTCCTAGAGCAAGTAATCCTTGCTGGAGGGATGTGCAAGGGTAAATGTCAACAACTTGAGATTCCGGAACTGAACACAGTCTGGCCGCAAATGAACGACCCTCGGCCTCGCTGATGCCTTTTCCGAGCAGTGAAAACGGACACACTACCTGCTCTAGGGCACCAATATCGTGCTTAATCCTCAATGCCATTTTCTCAAGTTGGGGCGCTTCGAAAATATCTGCAACCGTCAATAAATATCCTTGTTTACGTGCGGATGCTACTAGGCGCATAGCCATGACAGAATCCCCCCCTAAACGGAAGAAACTGTCGTTAGCATATATCGCATCACCATCAATGCCAATAACTTCGGACCAAATTTGTTGCAATTTTGTCTCCATCGCACCAGAGGGTTTCCGTATTTCTCTGCGTAAAGGCTGCATAGATGCCAATTGTTCGTGGGTTAATGAGCTGCCGATAAGGCGCAGACGCTTCCTGTCAGTCTTTCCAGAGTGATTCATAGGAATTTTTTCGATAGAAACATAGACTCTTGGTATCATATATGATGGTAGATGATTTGACAAGTCGGCTTCCAAATCTTCAGCCGGCAGGGCTCGCTTGACGAAACTTGCAACATCTTCCTCACGAGCCTCGGTGCCCATGGGACTAATAAAGAGAGCCAAAATATCGCTACCGCTACCTGACGGAGAAATGATTTCGGCCACAATGGCTACGTCAAGCTTTCCAAGTAGAAACGTTTGAGCATAGATCTCCACTTCGTTCAGGTCTATTCTCTGGCCTCTTATCTTTCTTTGTGAGTCCTGCTTTCGGCTGATAAATAGAATGGTTCCGCCAACATCGTACTTGACCAGATCGCCAGTTCGATAGAGTTGTCTACTTTGTGGGGTTGGTTCACAAGTACCGCGACAAAGCCAAGACGGAGAAAAGAAAGCTTTCTCGTTTAATGTCTGTCCATCTTTACCCGTGTAGCTCGCAAGAAGGGGCCCTTCGATGCACAGTTCCGCAATTGTACCAATTGCCGCTAGGACACTTGGGTTTTTGGGATCGACAAGCCAAGTCGCGCCAAATGTACTGGTGCCAATGATTCCATTCTTCCATGTCTTTTTGTCAATTGAGTATGATGTCGCGACTGATGCTTCCGCTGGTCCATACCAGTTATATACTGTGTCGAGCTGCTCTGTCCACCTAAATGCAGTCTTACGTTGCAATTTTTCGCCGGCAAACACGAGAGTTTTCAAAGAGGGCAGTTCTGTGGGAACGAGAGTTTCGGATACAGAAGGCGTTAAGCATAGCCAGTTAGCCCTGGCATCATTAATAGCTCCAGATAGTCGATTGGTCCTATCTGACTCAGATGGTATGCACAAACAGCCTCCAACTGATAATGTTGCAAGTGATTCCACTGTGCTAACGTCGAATTCATATCCAGCAAACTGGAATACCCTGCTACTAGTTGTGATATCGAAAGAATCTCTGGCTGCTTGAATATTGCTCGATAGGGTTTTGTGGCTCCATAGAATAGCCTTGGGCGTCCCTGTTGAGCCAGAGGTGAACAATATGAGGGCCGGATCTGAGCAATGGTTCTCACGAGGTGGGAGCACTCGAAGCCATTCTTCGTCGCTAAACTGCACCAACTCGGAGATAGCAAATATTGGTATTAGATCTCGGAACGGAGATGTATCAGGAGAATTCGATACAATAGCAATGGTTGGTTGTAGGCTTTCGACCATGGCTTGCGCTCGTTTGTTCGATGTTGGTGAAGACATCGGTAGCACGACTGCTCCAATTTTCAGGGCAGATATCATGCAAACAGGCATCCAAGAAGACTTCTCGAAGCTTAATATGACAACAGATCCAGGACCAACTCCTTCTTGTTGAAGGCGGTGCGCTAGGCGGTTTGAAGCATTTTCCAGCTCCTCGTAGTTAAATCTTCTATCCCATGACGAAATGGCGATGGCATCTGGAGAGTTTATAGCTTGCTGGTCGATCAAATCAGTTACGAATCCATCGGCCAGCTCTGGCAAGGCTCTATTCCAATTGAATATTTGCTTGAGGTCTCCCTCGCTGCTTGAGGCAATATTGCGCAATGGTGACTTTGTTATTTGTTCATCACAGAGCTGTTTTATCAAGTGCTCTAGCTGATGAGCAAAAAGTTGGGCTTGCTTCTGCTGGATCGCGCCTGAGTCGAAATTTATTTTCAGTTTTAATCCCGAATCCTCTAGCTGACATATTATCAGCATTCCATACGAGTTGTAGATGCCCATGCTGTCGTCCTGTCCGTCTTTATCAACAATTCTGAACGTAGGTGTATGCTGAGAGTCACCCCTAGTGTCTAATTCAAGCAACTGGGATGATATCTCATGCATATGTCTATTGATTTCAAAAAGTATCTTGTTGTTCTCTGCATCAGTTGTCTCCTGCTTGGATATGTCTGTTGAGATATTGAGCTTGAGGGTTTTTGGACGAGAAAAGAGACCGCCATCTTTCTGACTTGTCCCTTGTGTGGCTGGTTGAATAACCAGAAGAGTTTGGAATTGGCTAGCTTCTTCGTTATCCTCTTGGGCACGCTGAATACGCTGGAGGCCAAACTGTTCATGAGCAGAAAGATCTATGGCTTGCTGCTGGACCTGTTGTAAAAGAGTTTCCACCGTGGAATCCCAATGAAATTTCGCTCGTATCGGAATTGTGGCGATTGTAGGACCAGCGATTCGATCTATTCCGGAGACAGGAGCATGTCTGCCACTTACAGTGGCTCCATACTTGACATCGTTCGAATTTGTATATGAGGCAAGTAACAATGTAAGTGCCGAACGTATTACTGATGATGGCGTAATACCGCTACTTGGCCACTCCAAATCGGTGACTTCATGACTTATGTCGATTTTTTCATCGGATACGTGGCCAGGAGGTGGGAAAATAGTGGCCTCGGTGTCAGCAAACTGAGACTTCCAGAACGCTGCTGCTTCTGGGCTATCTGCAGATAAGGCATACTTGATAAATGGCTGAAAAGGTTTAAGAGGTTGTAATGTTCCTCTAGTTTGTTGGTAGGATGCCTCGAGTGAGTCTAAAATAAGTGCTGTGGACCATCCATCAAATATGGCGTGGTGCATTTCGAGAGCGAAATATGGAGAGTCACCTCGTATCACGCCTGCGCGGCATAACGGAGTCCCCAGGCCCATTGGCTGCGCTAGCTCTAGAAAGTTGTTGATATGTTGAAACTGTTGCAGCTGCGCACGACTGTCCGCAACGACAATCTGGACCAGACCTTCCCCAGATAGATCAGCGATTCTTGTTCGAAGAATCGATGCGCTCATAACAGCAGTTTCCCATGCATCTTGTAATCGCTCAACATCAATGTCTTCGGGTAGTTCAAAAACGGTTCTCGAAACGTAGTCCATCCTCAATTTCGGCGACTTGCCTCCAGGACGTGACGCGCTTTCGTCTCTGTTCGTCATTGCGAGCATTCCTTGTTGTAGTGGTGTGCAAGGATAAACATCTTCTATTTCAGCCGCCTCCACACCACATAGGATTGCAGCCTCTGTACAGATCTCTGTCTGGTTCTTTGCCCCATTCAGCAAAGAGAACGGTGCGATTTCCTCATCTTGGTGGCTAAGTGATTGCTTCTCAGTCATCCGAGCCAGGTCTCTCAGCGTTGAGCTCCTAAAAAGGTCTGCAACAGTCAATGGCAGTCCGTACTCTCGAGCCTTTGCAACCACACGCATGGCAGCCACCGAGTCACCCCCAAGTCGAAGGAAGTTGTCTGTTGTGCTAATAAGGCATGAGTCCAAGTCCAAGACCTCTGCCCAAACCGCACAGAGCTGCTTCTCTTTCTCCGTAGAAGGTTCGCAATATTCTTTAATAGAAAAAATTGTTGATTGCAGCGCAATAATCTTATTCCAGGACAGAGCGCTTCCCATTTCTCGCAATGATCGGCGATCCACTTTACCGGTAGAGGCGACAGGGATATCATCGATTGGAAGGTAGATGCTGGGGATCATGAAAGCTGGTAACACATCTCGTAACCTGTCTCCAATACCATCCAGTAGTTTTTTGACGCGTTCAGTATCCATATTTTTGGTCGAGACAAACATAGTCAAAGAGAAGCTGTCACTTCCAAGAGGCTGAATAATGTCGACAATAATTGGAAGAGAGTCCTCAAGGCAAGCACGTACATGATGCTCAACATCGCCAATTTCAACCCTTTGGCCTCGTATTTTCAACTGAGAGGTATCTTTCCGACCAACAAATAACAACTTGCCGTCGGGCTTGTACTTTACAAGATCCCCAGTCTTGTAGAGTCTACCCTGTCGGCCAGCTCGGTTACTACTTCCTGCAAGTAGCCATATGGGATTGTTGACAAATGCCATCGATGTCTTTTCAGGATCTGATAAGTAGCCCTGACCAACTAATGGACCTTCGAGGTACAGCTCCCCAACTGATCCTATTGAAGCAAGCCGGTCGGTATTATTAGGATCGACAAGCCACGTAGAGAAACCAACTCCGGAGCCGATATCTGGACGACCCTCCTTGGATGGATCGATCACGGAGAAGGCGCATTTAAAAGTGCATTCGGTAGGTCCATAGGTATTAAGCAGCCTCACGCGTCCAGCCCATTCGGTCACATTTTGCCGATATGGCATTTCGCCACTCAGAAGCACTGTCTCAATAGTTGGCGGTATCGGACTGATCGTTCGGAGAACAGTTGGGGTAATGTTGATCAAGGTCGCCTTAAAAGCAGTTATGGCGGACGAGAGATCATTCACCATGTCCGCTTCTAAAGCAATGCAGAGACAGCCACCCGCACATAGCGTATGCAAAAAGTTGCTCCATGCAACATCAAAGGAATACGGAGCAAAGTCAAACACCCGCGCTCGTCGGTGAAATCCAAGCTTCTTGCCTTGGTAGTGAACTGCGCTTCTAACATTCGAGTGGCTAATACAGGCACCTTTGGGTTGCCCAGTCGTACCTCTGTATAATCCTCACGTGTCAATAATATAATCCAACAAGCTAGAGATACACTTGAAGTGGGAACTACTGTAGCATGCTTCACACAAGCACCGCGTCCAGGTTCCTCAAAGGAAACTAAAAGGGAAAAAAGGCCAAGAACCACTTACGACGTGAATGATATATACACAATATCGGATGGCGAAATGGAGGGTAATGAAGATAAATGCTCTCTTGGAAGTTCCTGAACTTCCAATAATCTGTCGTCAAGCTGAAGAACTGGGACATCCATCAACAGGTTCGCTCTCGAAGCATATGTAGCTGATGAAACGATTAATCTGGATCTTGTCTGGTGGACAATTGATCGCAATCTTGTATCGGGTTGTGTCCCGTCAAGGGCGATCGCGCTGCATCCTGCTTTGATGACACCCAGCATTGCGATACAAGTCCATCGTGACTTCGGAAATAAAATCGGTATGTTCGACTTTGGTTCGATGCCAAATTCGAGAATACGATGGGCGACCTCGTTAGCCAGGTTGTCCATCTGAGAATAGGTGAAATCGCCATCCCAGGCGCAAATTGCCAGGGTATCTGGCTGGTTCAGAGCTATTTCCTTGATGAGATCGTGAACGCAACCTTCCACGGGAGGCGGTATCGAAGCATTCCAAGTCCATATCTGATCAAGGTCTTGTTCTGACGCAGAACCACTCTCAGAGTTGGGTGGGACGAATTGTTCATCTGCCATGACCTTGGCTGAGCTATCGAGGTCTTGTGTCTTGGACATGTTCGAAAGTATAATTATGGTCAAAACTTATAATTTATCTTACGTTCTCCGTTGCTGTATACTTGCAGTATTGCTGATTGGGACGGAGGTATTATGAAATACCTCTACTATCATTTCGAGTTATTTGCGGACCTGTTCCCAGGTGAAGAAGATAAGTATTCAAGTTCCAGCTCATCCGTTTGTGTGGGAACAATTACGGCATATGGTGCGTTTTACGTGCAGGCTTCTGCGATTATTGGTAAAGCACGCTAAAGATTGTGGAGGACTAGATAACGTACGTAAATGCCATTGTTCAATCTGAGAGAGCTCTGTACCCTCTAGCTTGATATATATAGTATCCTAGACTAAGTCTCGTGCGTATTCATTAGATTTCATCTTGACTAAATATTCGTGTATTCCAAAAACTTCTAGTTAAAATTTTACTTATGCTAAATTAGGTATAAGTAAGGAACTTGTTTTGGGCCGCACAAAACGCAATTACGGAGGACGCCTTGTGTTTATCGCGCATCCGCAACATGTGCTGACTCAATACCACCAAAAGCCAGCACTGCCAGGATTTCTATTACCAATGTTATCTCTTATGGATGGATTATAACCTGTTTACGGTGGCTAGTCCCTCGCCATGGTGTGATACCCCTTGGGGCAGTTCAAACCGTTTCCCCGTACTCTCGTATCAGCATGTGTGGAGTTTCCAAAAGATCGTGTACCTACTTTGTACTAGCAAAGAATATGTGGCCTTAGTTCCGAGCCGTCCCGGCACCATGGCACGACTTGGGTCATTGTAACATCGCCTCCCCTGAAAGCCACAGCATGTTAAATACGACTTCTTACAACGAATAATTTTATTACAATGCTCCGTAGCTTTTGAACAACTAGGAAGAACAGGGTATCTGATAGCCTTGCATTGTCTAACATCAAACAATGTTCGAGCGGCTTGATTTCTCCAATTTTCATAGCACCAATGCCGCTGACCGGGAGGACTTTTGCCGTCAACTTGTGTCGAGTTTAAAGCAGTTTGGCTTTGCTAGATTGGTCAATATTGGCATTCCGCCATCAGATATCGACGGAGCCTTTGAGACAGTTGAGCAATCTTGTGTGCATTGAAACGCAAAGCGTACTCTAACCACTCACCAGAGCCGAGAGTTTTTCCAACTGCCTTTGGACCAGAAACTGAAATCTCCCCACCCTCCCACAGCAAACCCCCACCGAGGTTACAGTGCATTCGGCATTGAGAATGTCTCTGCCGTCTCAAACCACGGCACATCTGTGCTAAGACCTCTGCTTAAGGATATGAAGGTTTGCTAGCTGGCACAAGACTTTCGCAAATTTCACACTCTGATAATCAATTCGGTCGACTAGGAATCATATGACATTGGATCACAACAAGATGCACTTTATGGCAACATATGGCCGCCACCCGGTGTACACGACGCATTTCAGCCCACTTTCACATCATTCTTTTTAAGTTGCTATCGCGCCGAACTAGTCATTCTTGAAGCCATTTCGGTTGGCCTGGGGCTCCCCAGGCAGACCCTGAGTCAACTGCATTCTCAGCAATCCAACGAACTACGTTTGACGCATTATCCCGCCGTGCCACGTGGCGAGTTTTCCCACTCGACTCGCATTGCCGCTCACACTGATTTTGGCACCATCACATTATTGTTCCAAGACGACGTCGGTGGATTGCGTAAGAATTATGTTCCATTTCGCTTCTCATCCGGCACAAATCTCCCCCACCTTCCATGCGCTCTCTTTGCCATAGCTAGCCTTTATGAGGAAGCTACTAACGTTTTCCCTCCTAGAAGTGGAGTTGCCGTCCGGAAGTGGTGAATTTGTTGATATCGAGAGTGGAGGGCGTTACGAGTGTATACTCAATGTGGGAGATTGTCTGCAGATGTGGACCGGATTATGCAGTGCTCGGCATCGCGTACACTTGCCTGACTTATTAGCGCAGGAAAATCTGACGAAACCAACGCAAGATATGGTCGACGAACGCTTTTCTATTGCGTATTTTGCGAAGCCTAATCGAGCGGCGAGTTTACGCCCATTGCTACACGACACAGCGACAGCAAAGGACGCGTCGTTTATGACGGCGGGCGAGTTTCAGCACATGAGAATCTCAGGAACATACTAGCGTTCTTCGTAGGATAGAATAAGATATAAAGATATAATTGGATTAGAAGAAACACATATGGAAAGAACTCATCGAAAATGTCTCAGGAAGTTGTGTAAAGCAGTTCTCAAGCTACCCATTCAACTATTCCGGTTTGATAGGAGCGCATCGCGCCCAACGAACATGGATCCCACAAAGCCAAGAATATAGCACGCCATGCCGATAATGAATGGCAATCCGAGATACAACTTATTATCCCACCCAATGGCAATTGCAAAGGATCGGTTGAGTATAAACGCACCAGCGGCTGATCCTACGCCATCACAAACCGCAATAATAGCATAAAGAACAGATATATGCTCACGCTTGACTAGATCGGTTAGTAGAGACTGTAGAGCTGGCCGCGTGCTGCAACCAAATGTGAATACTAAAAGCCCTGCGAGGTTACAGTTAGCTGGATGCTGAGTACGATGAGCGACTAAATACTCCCAACCTGAAATAAATGCCGCCAATGATTGAGATAACGCCATAATGATGCAGCCACCGCTCATGAACAAGAACCCATATTGGGCAATGAATAGGTCCGCTTTTGCAGATACAATATGGAGCCTGACTTCGAAAATTTTCTTGAGGATTGGTAGAATGACAATGAGAAGGATCAAACTTTCGACTACTTGGATGGACAATGCTCGGCTAGCCTGGCTACCAGTGAGAAAATAGGGCAACGTAAGAGGAAGGATGTGGATCTCTAACTGACTGATGCAAGCGATAGGTCAAACTTTTTTGGGATATACTGAAGCATTAGCTCGGTAACAGGGTTCACGAGCTTGGCCACAGGGACTGTGGCAAGTAGTGCAACAACATTACGGTCTTGTAAAAGTTCCGAAAGAATGTGGCTGCTGCCTCGAATAGACCCAAGAACCTTTGTTGCTGATCCTCTCTCTGACTCGTATCCATCTCTCGGCAGTGGAGCGGCAGGATGAGTCGCGCAGGGGCGGATGAAAGAAAGCGTGGCAAGGCATAAAAGGCTGACAGGAAAATTAATAATCATGGGTGTAAATAGAAGATCGTGGTCAAGTAATTGCGCCGCCACCATGATTGAAATGATTTCGGTCAGGAGTTGCGCAGCCATGAAAAAAAAGAAACACAGAGATCTGTGACCACAGTTAGCGTCCATAGCCCCAAATTGGATGTTAGCGTGGGGGGATCTACCTGCTAGAATCCGGAATACTTTTCGCTGCAATTGAGTATATGATAGATGAGAGAATTGGTGATCCGCCACCAATTATTCTGAATAGTGGCGCTAGCACGACGCTCCATATGGGGAAGAACTGCCAACAGTAGCAAACCACAATAATCCATGCGCAGGAGAGCAAATATCCTATAACGTTGATCCCAGCAACCAGGCGTTCTCCAAAGAGGTCAACAAGGAGGCCGTATGGGAGTGTAAAGACTAAGCCAACAATGGCTTCCAAAGCTGCCAAATAGCCACGTAGGTGTGCGAGCCGTTGCTGAATGCTTGGTAGCTTGCAGAGATGCTCTGGAATATTGCCATAATAATCTTCAGATTGGGGGTCGCTTTGGAGAAAATGCTCGCGACAAATGCCAAGTTCGACAAGACGAACTGTTGATATATACCTCAAGATGTCGGCGAATGCATATAGGACGAGAAAAGTTGCTGCCAAAACAGCATTTTGAATAGCAACTTTGCCCCATTTGAAGGTGTTCGCTTTCTGTTGCTCTCTGCTCTCTGTATCTTCGTCAGATGCCCGTATGAGAGGTGAAGACTCTAGGCCATCATCTGGTGCAGGCATTGTCAATCGTTATCCGGAATTTCCATTACCACCAAGAATATCACTTGTTCTTCCCTTTCTTTTTAGTTTTGGTGATCCGAGCTTGGTTTACGGAACCTTGCCGTTCGTCTTCCCCATGTGGAGTGATCCGCCTTTATAATGGGCCGATAAGTAGAAAGTAAGATAACTCACGCTACTCCAAGATTTCGTATGCGCGTACGGAGCATTAGTACGGAGCTATTATTCAGAACCAAACCACTAGATTAGGGAGGTGCATTTCGAAGGATCTTTTCTCTCGAGTAAGGGAGGAACCTTTGTTAAAGCCCGGGAGCTGCGGAGGCGAAGTGTGCAAGCGTAGCTTTGGACCATCGATTCGATCCTCGTCGCTCTACTCCTGTAATAGAACAGAACACTTACGTGGTTGGCATTTAGAACGAGCCCCTTGAATAGTAAATTTTTGGCCAAGTCCATTATGTAATTTAATAAGCGAGTTACCAGATGGTACATAATTGAATACGAAAATCAAGGGGGGTTTTTTTTTAATGCATCCCTCTTTTGTTAAAATAAGGATCAGGAAACTGCAATACGCACCATCATTCGCATTGAATCTATCGCGTCCAGGTATAAGCACCAAAAAAGTGGGTACTCATTTGTCTTCATATCATTGAAGCCAGTACACATTACTGAAAAATTATAATAGAGATTATCTTGAGAATTCTTGATATCGCTCTATTCAGCTCTTCTACGCCAAACATACTCAAATAGTTCCCGGATGAGATTTCGACATACCCCAATTTAAAAGCTATGGAATCCGAAAAGTCAACGCCTAATCAACTCACATTCATAGGAGGCGGATGTCTCGCACAGGCCCTCATAAGTGGAATTTATTCAACAAATACTAGCTGGAGAGATGGATGCAAAATCTCGGTTACCGCTCGTCGACAGGAGCGAATCGACGAATTGAAAGCGAAGTTTCCCCTTGCTACTGTTACGAGTAATAATCTGGACCCGGCCATTTGGAGTACAGCCACCTCACAACAATCCGACTCTCATGTTGTTCTTATCTGTACTCTTCCAATAGATGTGCCAAAGGTCTGCCTAGAGTTGGCTGGCATCATTAAAACTCTTGATGTAACATCACGGCCAACTGTGGTTACAATGTGTCCTGGGATTTCAGTAGCTCAGCTCCAGAGCTGGCTTCCTGAAGAAACTCCAGTTGTAAGATCAATGCCTAATACGCCTGTTATGTGTCGCCAAGGAGCTACGGCTTTATTTCCAAGCGACAGCGCACTCTCACGGATAGAGCTTGTCGCTGCCGTGTTCCGCGAGGTATCCCCAGCAATTAGCGTCCTTCCTCAGGAATCCCTGCTTGATGTAGTCGCAGCAATATCTGGGTATGTTGCATAATCCTTTCATTTCTGTTGCCTTCATGGATACAAACCATACCAAATATGCAAAGATCATGACGTGCATAAGTGGAATGGAAATGAGCCTGCACGTTTTGCAAATAGGTATGCTATATGATCGGTACTAACTCTTGTTAGTTCCGCCCCGGCACATTTTTATTATCTTATCGAATCCATGATTACTGCAGCAGAGTCTCATGGTTTACCGACAGACATTGCCCGCAGTCTGATCGTTCAGTCTTGCGTGGGCTCCGGGTTGTTATCGCAGGGAACAGATAGGTCTATACACACTTTAAGGAAAGATGTTTGCGTTCCAGGAGGAAGCACAGAGAAAGCCATCAACTATCTTGCGGAGAACAGCTTTCCAAAAATCGTGCAGGATGCTGTTGGGAAAAGTCTACGAGCGAATAGGGAAATGGGGCGTGTTGGTTAAAAATGTAGCCAATACTGCTGGTTGTCTGCAGTTGTTCTAAAAGCACGCAACAGTACATATCCCCACGCAAGCAGCTCATTATATAACTCAACAATATATTTAAGTTAAGTCGCCTTAAAATTTTCTGAATCGGAAGCGCTGGTGCCAGAATAAGACAATGTGCTTGCGTATACCTATGGCATTGTCCATCTGGGTTCGGGCTCAACATGTATTATAATGGATTTTAACAAAATGATAACTAATATCCTTGTTAGGCGATTGAGATACGATATTGTATTTGAGCTATCAAAAGATTACAGCAAACGCTAAATAAGACACTTCTAGGCCGCATCTTCGATTCTTTGCAGGTTCACCAGCTCGTAGTAGCGACCCTTCTGTTTTATTAGCTGATGATGTGTTCCACTTTCTACAATACGGCCTTGGTCGAATACGTAAATGACGTCGGCCTTTTGAATCGTACTGAGACGATGAGCCACTGCGATAGTTGTGCGGCCCCGCGCGGCAGCATCTAAAGCTGCTTGGACCACTCGCTCTGACTCCGAGTCAAGAGCCGACGTTGCTTCATCAAGTAGGAGAATTTTGGGATCTCGAAGAAGCGCCCGGGCAATGGCAACACGCTGCTTCTGTCCACCGGATAGCATGGTACCCTTATTACCAACCAGCGTGTCCAAGCCCTCTCTGCAATGCGAGTCAATAAAAGCAAAATTACAATTGTCAAAGAAGAGAGGTTGGGTCGTAGGAAATACGTACGGAAGCGAAAGAATGAAGTCATATATGTTAGCATCTTTGCAAACCTTAATCACCTGCTCCTCCGTTACGCTCAGATCGTTGCTGCCGAGGAGAATATTGCTGCGAATGGTGCCCTGATAAAGCGTTGGTTCTTGACTGACGAGAGCAAGCTGACTTCGATATGAATTAACATTCAACTGTGAAATATCCTTGCCGTCGACATATATGCAACCCGACAGCGTAGCGTAGAAGCGCTCAAGCAGCGCAATCGTTGTGCTCTTCCCACATCCGCTGGCGCCAACCAAAGCCACGAACTGCCCAGGTTTGACCGTCAGATTAAGGCCAGAAAGCACGGGCTGTGTGGGGCGTGTAGGATATCTAAAATAAACATTGCGGAATTCAATAGATCCTGCAACTTTGTCGATGTTCTCGCCTTCCTTAGACCATACGTCAATTGATGGTTTGCGATCGAAGAGATTTTTCAGCTCAGCAGCTGCATTCTTAGCTTTTCCGATATCTGGAGCGTTGGAGAAGACTGAGCCTGCGGCTTGAGCGCCATATATGACTTCACTAAAGCAGACGAAAAATTGGAAAATGGTATACTCGTGCTTTCCGAGCAGTGTGCCACCATACCAGAATCCCAAGGCCATGCAAAAAAAGGTTAGTGCTTGTGATAACGCATAAAAAAATGAAGACTTCAGCACAGAAAAAAAACTAACTCGTGCTTGGTCTTCAAGCTGGGCTTTGTAGGTGGCCAAAACATCGTCTTCACGAGAGAGCGAAGCTACCGTGCGGATAGCCGAGGTTGCCTCGCAAGCGTAGCTGGCGGACCTTTCGTAGGCTTTCTTGGACTGGGCTTGGAATCGAGCAAGCATCGAGACCCTACAAAAGCCACAAAACAAGAGGACAGGCACGATGGAGATACATACTAAAGCCAGTTTCCATCCAATGGCCAGGGCAACGACCATGGATGCCGTCAGCGTCGTCGACACCATCAAAATAGTGCCCAGTACTACTCCACTGATACCGGAAAGGTATTTGGTCTCAGTGGAGAGAAAGGATGTTAGAGCACCAGTAGTATGTTCGTCGAAAAAAGTAATGTCTTGCCGTAGTATAACCCTGAAAGTTTTGCTCCTAGCACGGCGAAGTAACCTTTCTGAGCTGACTCCAAAACAGACGCCTTGTATAGAAAAGAGAACAAATTGGGCAATACCGAGGATAAATAACATCAGAGACCAAAAATTGGCATCCTGTCTGAGCTTCTCGTAAAGGAGCGGCGGCAGCGACAATGTATTGATCGCCTTCGAATAGATAACAGCCTGAGACGGCTGGCCACAGCCAGCCAACATTGCGAAGGCAAGGCCAATAATCATCAACACGAGCTCAGGTCTATTAAAAGACGCAGTGAACTTAATCAGGCTCCATGGTAATAGATGATTTTTAGCCTCAGTCATCCCTTCAGCCTGAGAGACGATTGATTGATCGGCCAAGGTTTGCTGCCTAGGTGTTGCCATTGACTTTTCGTTGTACGTCGTCGCCTCGGATCCTTTGCTATGAGGTGTTGGGACCCGGGAAATAGTCTCTGTAGAGATATCTGATTCTGCGGCTTCATCTTTTTCGACAAACCCCTTTCCCTTGTATTGGGCTTCTTTGAGGTCGTTGAATTTCTGGGCTTCCACGAGTTTGAAGTATTCGCCTTTGGTACAGAGTAATTCTTCATGAGTCCCTTGTTCCATAATTTTACCATCAACTATGACGACAATATTATCGGCCGTTTTTATGGTGGATAGTCGATGTGCAATTGTGATGGTGGTGCGCCCCTCAGCAGCTTTGTCAAGAGCAGCTTGTACGATTTCTTCGGATTTAGTGTCCAGCGCCGACGTGGCTTCATCCAGTAATAGAATCTTTGGGTCCCCAACGATCGCACGAGCAATAGCAATTCGCTGTTTTTGGCCGCCTGAGAGCAAGAAGCCTCGTTCTCCAACATGTGTGCCATATCCATCCGGCAGGGAAGTGATAAATGTATGTGCGTTGGCCATCTTGGCCGCTTCTTCAATCCGATTTTGTTTCGCTTCCTCAGGCTCATTCTCAAATGGAGTGCCGGTCAAACCAAATTTAATATTTTCAAAAATGGTAGCGGAAAACAGGACAGGCTCTTGCCCAACGAGCGAAATTTGGTTACGAAGCCACCGAAGGTTTAAGGACTGAATATTATGCCCATCCAGGAGGATCTCGCCGCTTACAGGATTGTAAAATCGTTCAACCAGCCCGATGATAGTGCTCTTGCCAGAGCCAGAAGGACCAACAAGTGCAGTTGTGCGACCAGCTGGAATGAGTACACTTATGTCATCCATCACAAGGATATCAGGTCGAGAAGGATATATGTGTTTTACGCTTCGTAGTTCAATGGTACCTTCAACATGTTTGAGCGTTTCCCCGTCTTCAGCCGCCGGGTCAAGAGGCGATTGGCGATCAATAGTGCTGTATATTTTAGCTGCAGCAGCCACGGCGCTATTGAAAGCTTGGGTGTTCGGAGCGACGTTTCCTAAAGAGTAGGAGCCGGTGAGAATAGCCATCAGGATGGTCAAGATCTGGCCAACGTCAGCCTCCCCATTGACTAGAAAGCGGGATCCTTGCCAAAATCCAAGACCATAATTCCAGAACATTACTGCATAAAGAGAGCCGATCATGACCGCTTGGATGACCTGCATTTTGATTCCGGATATTTCAGCTGCTCTTAAATGCGAATCATATTGTCGTGCGAGTCTATCGTGGGTTCCGAATGCGGTGGCCGTTCGGATAGAGCTTATGACTTCCTCGGCAACAGTGCTGCCGTTGGCAAAGCTTTGAAACGACAGCTTACTGAACCGAATAATGAAATTAGAACCTCCACTCATGATCAGTAGCAGGCACACAATTGTTGATGTACAGATGAGGGCGAGTTTCCAATATTTAACGTAGGCAATGATGAATGCGGTAATAAATGTGGCAATTGCTGTGAGAGTAAGGCCGATCTTTTGAGAAATGCCATCTTGGATGAGATTGGTGTCGGCGGTTATGCGTGTAGTAATCTCACCGGCTCCAAGGTTATCGAAATAAGCAATATTCTGGCGAAGAATGGCTTTGAGATATTCTTGCCGAATTTTTTGAGTGATATGTTCTCCGGTGTATATAAAACCTACGGTCGAGACGTAGACTGTTGCGAATTCGGCAATGCCGATGTAGACAAAGTACAGAACATTCTTATTCAACTGCGCCTCAAAATCGTGATACGCGATAGTATTAAGAGATACCCTCTGAAATGCCGATGTCAATTGCCCAAACAGAATCTACACAATTAACATCAGGTTAGTAAACAGAGAGAGATGGAGACACGAAGGGGAGAGTCAACTCAGTATTCTACATACAGATAATAGAGGAAGTATAGCACCAGCAGCAATAGCACAAAGAGCACTGATGGTGATAATGAGGCAATCCCAAACGTCTGCATAACGATAGAGCGTAAAATAGTTTACGCTGACACTAGGTGAGTCAAGCTGAGCCTTGATGATCTGCTTCTCATCTATTTTTAAGCCGGCAAAAGCTGATTCGTGAGGAGGCGATTCCGGCAGCGTGAGAACGTCGTTACTGTTATCTTCATTGCCGACGAGGCGCGATTTCAGTCCCTCGCGTCCAGCGACCGGCGGAGAGGTAGCATCAGCATCCGCGCCTTTCCATGAAGACTCGCTATCTCGTTTGCCAGGTGGCCTATTCATGCTTAATTCCAATTTAGCATCAGAATATATGCAACTCTCCTGCCCTTATCACTCTGCTGGACTTTGGTATGTCGTGGATATGGTGACTACATTCACATGGGCTTCATATGGAAAAAAAAGATGGATCTACAGCAAAGATAACACTAAGGGGACTGAAGCGCATATATAGGTAGCCAACTTGTGCACCATAGAAATGGGGGCTCCTAAATTCTAGCGGGCACCTTGGAACCCTGTCGGAACTTTTGGTATAGCTCGAAGCCGTCCCGCCACACCCTACAGAGGTGTCCATAGACTATACTACTACCAAGTAATATGGGTGGGTTAAATATTTGACTAATACCAAATGAAAATAAGTACATCCATTCGTCAGACGTATGTAAAACCGGTACGGAGTACATCTATTATAACTAAGGCTAGAGGGAAAAAAAAATGCTTGGATAATACGAGCATATTACTCGTATTCTAGAGCTTAGTAATTACAGGGAGGAAAAGCCATAGGAATTCCATCGCAATAATAAATTATGCTTAAATGATATAATAAAGTAATGGATATAGATTGTCAAACTGTGTATTCTGGTGTATAGCCGATTCAAATTTCTTGAGAATTCACCACACTCCTGTAGATTATATCCGGTCGGAAGCTCATATCCTGGTATTATCGTCCGGTCCACCGTAACGGCGATTCTTTTATATCTAGGTGCTCCTGCCACATTGATTCTCCTAATCGCCCAATCTTTCACCTAATCACACATTCGAATTGGCAAATTCATTATACTTTGTCATTACAACATAACTATATATCTATCTTATCACTCGTCTGAAAATGGTATACACTGTGCGCAGCATGGTGTTGCTATTGAATCAGTCTTGTGTATACAATGCATCGCTGCATGGAGATCTGCCGAATAGTAAGGTGCTCGACGCGGACGCACCACACAATTGAATGATGTTAGCTCTTCCATTTGTCTACGCAAACCTTGTTTCTTAATTGAGCGTCCGATGAAGGTGCTAGGAAATTAGCGGAGCGTTGGGGCTGTTTTCTATGCATCAGCAATACGAACAACGAAGTGATTAAGGAACGGCTCTACAAATAAGATTATGTGGGTTGAAAATACATGAATAATAACATCATTGTTATAATATTCGGCAAGTTAATGTTGAATAACTGCTTGAACTATATAGATAGAACTATCGGCCTCGATCAATAAACTAAAGTTGGATGAAGAATAGGAACATCTCTTAGGGATAAACTGGACTATCGATCAAGTCATGGCCCTTTGAAGAATAACCGGCGACATATCGATCACCGAACGGCTGCATCCAATTGTCTAGTGTATATTAGTAGATATTAAAATACAAGATATGAAAAGTTGCCTCACCATAAGTCGTGTTTGGCTTGTTCATGCAGAGATGAATAATAGATTCATTGAAATTTGTTCCAAAGTTGGTTCGTGGAAATTGTGCCACCAACGTGTCCCAATCGAGTTGTGTTATCGGATAAACTGGCCCAGTGAAATCTGTCACTGCCCCCTTACTGACAAGCTGCACCTCGAACTCTTTGTAATCTGCGATAGTAAATGTGGCATGCAGTGCGATAGAATCCCATAAAAGTTGCAACCGGTGACTGTCCCAAGTTTGACCTATCTCGTGCTCCTCGACAAATTTTCTGGCAGCGAAGGCACCATCGACTTCAAAACGTCGATCTGGGCTAACCACAGGAGAGTTTGCAGCCGGATCTAAGCCTATGTCATGAAGAAGTGAGGCTACTGCGTGGACTTCTAGGTCAACAGTGTTGCGTAGTGTCTCGTTGGCGTTAATGATGATTGCAGAGAGTAACCAGGATCTCATCACATGATTATAAATGGAATCGATCGTGTGTTGGCGAGCAAAAGCTTGTGCATCGCGCACAATAGGTGTGTCAATAACGGTGACACCCGCGATGGTCGTTGTATTTTGAGATATTCCTTGAGTGACGGGTGCCGTTTGACCTCCCATAAATAGCAGGGTTCCGCAAAGAAAGGAAGAAACTCCAAGGGTTCTTTTAGTAATAAAACCAATCATTTTGGGGGGGATTTGCAGGAGTTTCGGAAATATTAGGCGAACAACACTACTCGCCTTCCAGTAGAGAGTGAAAAGTCGTTATGGTTGTAAGATAAGTAGAGAAAAGCGTTATAACAACAACAGCACACACACACGCACGCACACGTGTATATATATATATTTTTCTACATATTGCTAGTAGGAATTACATGTCCTATATCTCATAGTTACAAAATTATAAATCAGCATCTGAACCCCTATCCAAATTGAATGATTCCACACTTCAATTAATAATGTGAAAATGGCTCAGGCCGAGAGTGTGCACAGAGGACATTACTTGATGCGATGGATATATGTAATCTAAATCTGTGATTCTTTGTGAGCAGTTCTAACATGGTTATGGAACGTATGCAGCCAGGGTACAACTTTCCTAATTTGGACCATAATACGAAGTTGCAGCTGTAACATCCAGGAGAGATGAGTATCTCCAAATACGCTGTTACAGTATCCACATTCCTCAATAGAATATATGAATAATAATCTGCTGCAAGAATTCAACGTATGGTACTGGTTCTAGAAACATATGAAAATGTGATGCCTCAAGCAAAAAAAAAAAAGAAAAGAAAAAGAAAAAAGAAGAAAAAAGAAGCGCTAAATTGATAAAATGAAATTTGCAACTATAAGCCCCCCCTCAACTCTTTTGTCAACAGAAACACGTTGATCTTAGTCTTATTTGAAGAATATCTTCGGAGCCAAATGTTAATTTGGCAAAATGCATAAGATCAGATCATGTCATACATACATTTGTGAGCGTTCCGTAGTTCGGCTGCAGCTACCTGTAAACGACGAATGAAGAACAAATCTCACAACTAATTAGCCATTCTATTTCTGAATTTAGTTTTTATATGCATCTTGTTAGGGGTATTCTCTTGACTATGATAGGGCTAGTTGATTATATTTCCGTGTAAATTATTGAATAACCCCACCGTAAATGTTGCCACTGCGTTATGTACTGATGTTCAACAGTCGGGCTCTTTTATTACATCGTCTCATCACTATGGTTCGTTTCAGTATTGTAGATAACAGAACCACGGACAAATCATGCGTATGCCTTGTAGGGCCATTATTTTGAAGCTGACATCTCTGCGCTCCTCGTAAATAACATATCGATCTATAAAAAGCATGGCGTCATGGCTGAAAAGTACTGAAGCATTGGAAAAATTGAGGGCGTTTATTCACGTAATTAATCTCGACCTGCCGTGTGAGATCATTGCGGTTACCGAGGACTCGGCTTGCTATACAAAGCATGTTCCCCCATGAAGAACCAATTGACAGTGCCAATTCAGAACATAACCAAAACCAATATTCGTTTACGATTAGCAGCTTCGAAGTCATTTGCTAAGACATCGCCCATCAGCATACTTAAATGATATTGCTTAATAGTCTTGTTGTGGCTGCTATACGATGCAGATTAATTAATTCGTACGGTACTCTTGTGTTACGAGATATTTATTATTCGTAGCCAGCTACCCATAAGTATTATCTACCCAAATATGCGCACCTCAAATTAAAAATGGACATAACCCTTTACATTGAAACTAACGCCACACGCAGAAATTAAGGTATAGGGTAGACTATTTTCATTAGGCCAATAATACCTAGTAAGTATTGAAGCAGTGAATACCCGCATAGTAGACTCTAACTTAGCTGAGTTGTTGAACGAATTCATTTTTTGTACAAAAAAAATATCGGTATTTCGGAAGTATGCCGAGTTAATAAGGGAAGAAATGTCACAAACATAAGTTACAATTGATAATACGAAATAGAGTAGTCTGTAACAACACACCACTCACGAGGACCTAGGTGCAATGAAAAGCGCCACGGGAAACCCTTGCCCAACCGATATGGCGCAGTTGCTTTTATGCCTGATGGATGCAGCTAAGAGCTCATTCTACTTTTACTGCTGGGGTGCATTGAAAAGTCAGACAAGTAACTGCGCCGAATGAGATGCTGACACGCTTTGCACACAGTAATGTAGTTAAGACCGATACACAGGTTCAAAGTGCATGTTGTATAGTGGGTTCTATGAGAGCACATTACTGCTAGGTACTGTTCACAATTCATGAAATAAAAAGCACTATCTACACTATTTACTCTTCCTGCTCGCGGGATTACCTCGGAGACGGACTTTTAAAGCTCAGCTTGGGGGTGGTAAATTTCACTACCTATAAAATGCTGATTAGTCGACAGCTCCACAGATGAGACGAGTAAAGGATGGATTAAGCGGTGTCAAAGAAGTATTGCGCCACTCTTGCTGCCTAATCATTGCAAGGAACGCACTAAGTAGGCTTATAAGGAGTGGTCAGAACAGGTCAGAGAATTGGAGAACCCGATTCTGATAACAGCACCAGCGACTAGTAAGATGCCCAGCCAGTGGAAACAATTCATCAAATCAGCCCACGAGGATGATTGGACACACGTTACAGACAAAGCAAAAAGAAAACGGATACAAAATAGACTTGCTCAGAGAGCCCATAGTTCGTAGATATTGCTGTCTCCAAAGGCCCTTGATACACCGACTAAATTAAAACATTTAGGATCCAAGCATGGGCGACGAAGAAAGTCCCGAGCGAAAGAAATTTCAGAAACTTTTGGATCAAAAGAAGTCAAAATAGTTCCCCATTCTCATAATACAGCTATTCAAAAGAGCCAGTTGAAAGAGAGAACTTCAGAGGGAGGACAGAATTCCGTCTACACAGAAGTATTGCCTACTTCCACATCTGTACCTATGCACACTTTGATCTCAGCTATCTGTTGCGACAAATTACAAACAAAACGGTGTGATGGATCTTATACGTATGATTCAGCCCTCCTTGGACGTTGATATACAGTCTGATTCTTGAATGCTAAGATTGGTTAGAATCCAAGAAGATGGAAATCGAAGTGTCATACCTCTTTCGTCACTCAGAACGGATCTAGCTATCACTCTACAGGGGATGTCGACCCTGGCAGCGCTGTTAACTAACAGATACATTCTTGCTATTGACTGTAACCGCCTTATTCCTGGCATTAATATCCAACCATCTACTCCCACTCCTCCCGCACTCACGCCGACTGCTCTTCAAGCCTACAAGCCCCACCTCCCATTCATTGACTTCCTCCCTTTCCCTCAATTTCGGGACAACCTTCTGCGAGCTGGAGATGCAGTTGATTCTTACGAATTTTGGGACGATATGGTGTCTGGAAAATTAAAAGTCTGGGGAAAAACTCCCTGGGACCGGAGGGGCTGGGAAATGCAAGAAGAATTTGCTACCAAGTGGAGCTGGCTGGTAACGGATGACATCTTGGAGGAAACAAATTTTTGGAGGGTATCTAGAGGTGAGGAACCTCTGCTGTCGCGCTCACTATAATCTACTATATAGGTAAAGCGGTTGGATTTTCTAAGTAAGTGATAACATAAAGCAATAAAGGTTCCGAATTATCCTATAATATTAGTATTTGTCCTCATGTGTAGGCGGAATGTGCTATGGTAAGTTCTCTGATTTATGGTTGCTATATTTACCTAATCTTTTGGTCTGGCATCCCTTCCAATCTTTGTGCGATGTTTGAAAGAGTATAGGCATTGAATTGCCTGCAGAGAGGGATTACAATCAAGTTCAAGAGCTGCTAATAGTCACGATGCTGGCGACCTAAGTGGCTGACTGTCTGACCCCTCATCTGACCACTTTAGCAATACGACTTATTAAGCCATCCAAACCCAGTCTGACCATTCTGACCACAATCGGCATTGAGAGTGAGCTGTTGGCCCCTGTCTTCTTGGCGCAATAACAATTCCCACGAATCAGATTAGGTAGAGCGGCTCAGTTCGCTTTATTTTCTTTTACTTCATCTCTACCTCTGACGGATGCCAACGATGTTTACAAAGCAACCCCTAATCGGAGCCAATCTTTAGAATTGACAGAATCTACTCCTACAGAGTAGCTCGATTTATAATCTGTCGAATCAGTATATAAGTCTTTGTGTATCTAAGATCAGGCAATGCATATCCTGAACTTGGTCATTACTTCTAGCCGCTCCGGCCTTAGTTTCCTAGAGCCGCCTCTTGGGAAACATTCCACAATATGTCAAATCATCTACGGTGGCTGAGTGCGCCGCCATCAGCCCAGACAGTTACAGTGCGTCTTATAGAGGAGATTGGGGTGATGACACTTCCGTCGGCGTTATTCTTAGACCCAGTTCCCGAAGGCCATGAGGTCATGAATGGGGGCGACATAGCCTTTTTGATCGAAAATAAGAACTTGGGGAAAATGGCTCTTTTTGACCTGGGCATCCGAAAAGATTGGTGGAACCTACCATCGAAAGTTCGAGATCCGCTTGCGTTTTGTGTCGGCGTTAAAGTTGAGAAGGATGTCCCCGAAGTACTGAAAGACAATGATATACCTTTGAATGATATAAACGACGTCATCTGGAGCCATTCTCACTTCGACCATAGAGGGAATGTGTCACTATTTCCGCCCAGCACTACTATACACTACGGAAAGGAAGTAGCAGCCCTAAAGCCTGACGTCACTGGCGAGGCTGAAGCTGTATTTCTCGCATCGGATTTCGTTGGACGCTACAATAATGAGATTGACTTTAGCAAATCTACCTTCAAAATTGGAGGCTTTCCTGCGCTTGACTTTTACTGTGACGGATCCTTCTACCTCTTGGATACCCCGGGCCATGATCATGGCCACCTAAGTGCTCTGGCGAGGACTACTAGTACAGCTGCAGGACACGATAAAGACACTTTTATTCTATTGGCTGCAGATGCATGCCACTTCTGTGGAGTTTTGAGACCAAATAAATCGCATCCGTTCCCGAATGATCATTTTCCCGTCTCCAGCATTGGCCTTTCGGATATCGAAAACCCGGAGGGTTTGTTAAGAAGGCACCCTCAATTTCCGCAATCCTCAGATGCAACGAATGGAGCGGCTCGCGTTAGGCCATGGTACAATGTCGCGACTGGCCAACTCTCTACTTTCATAGACCCTATTGTTGGCCAAGATACTGCTAACAGGATAAGAGAAGTTTTCGATGAAGCAGACAATGTTTTTGTTGCCATGTGCCATGATCTTAGCCTATTAATCCATGATAATGGAAAGCCGGTATTACCCACGTTAAACAAGGCTCCGCAAAAAGATCTCAACGGCTGGTACGAGAAAGGTTGGAAAGAGCAGTTATATTGGACTTGGGTCAATCAACTGGGTAAAGCGGATGAGTATGGAAAAATCCAGCTGCGAGAGTCGGCGGTGATCGGATTCTGGATGTATGGAGAGAGATACGACAAGGCACAGGAGGTATTTGAAGAAGCGCGCAAGATCAAAGCAGGATAAGTGTTATAATTGTTGCGACGGGACTATTTGCTCTAAATTTTGAATTAATTTCCACCACTGATAGTAATAAGGAAAGTTCGTACTGCAGAGCCATTGTGATTGAGAGCAGGACAAAGCACTTAATAAGCTATGTGAAACTACCCGTGCAATCCCAGTTTCTCTATGTCTGCACTTCACAACTGACATTAGCATGCGAGACAGTTATGCTGCATAGATATTTTTTTCTGTCCGTTGTTTGGTAGTTAGCCTCTCAGGCCTGTGCTCGGACCGGTTCATTTGTATTTGATGAAGATGACTGATACTTGACTTACACGATTTGTATTGGAGAATTTATGTTGCTGTTATGAAGAATCACATAATCTATGCAAAACTAAGGATTTTGCTCATACACTGTTGATGCTGTTTTCCAGACTAGCCAATTGATAAGTTTAATAAGCTTCCGGAGCAGCAGCTGTAGAACAAATAAGAAGCAGCTACACAGTTACTGCGCATTATTACACCCTCTTTTTTATTAACAACATGGCCCCATGAACGGTGCCTCGAATCTTTTCTTTCCCTTCTTCCACGCCACCATCTCGGAGTAGACGTTCAATCCTCCTCCGTAAGATTCTCACAACATCATTCTCGGTGCCGACGGCATCGGGGTGGGCTTGGCGCCATCGCGTTTGAGGACTGCCACTTGCCATGATTTTCTCAAATGTGTCCAAATCCACCTCAGATTCCCCGGCAACAAATTTCTCTCCTGTTGCCCACTCTTTTCGTACAAAACTTTCTTTGTCAAATGCTTCAATTTGTTGCGCGATCGACCACGGTAAAGGCAGGTCGGCATATCTGTTACGTACCATGTAATTGCCTGGTACATAGAATGCTTTCAGATAAGTCTCCGAATGATCATCCAATGCTGCTTGAATTGCAGCGGCATTTGGCATAGATGGGTGAGCGCGCACTTCACCGCTTGTCCAAAGCGCAACCGTGCCTCCAGGTTTGAGGACGCGGGCAGCTGCCAGCCAGAACCGCGGCATATCGAACCAATGGGCAGCATTTGCCGCGGTTATGAGATCAACACTTGAATCGCCAATAGGAGTTGTTAGGTGTGCACCAAGATCCTCCGCCGTTGATATCTCAAACCGAATGGGTCGTGACGCCAAAGAAACCCCGCCAAAGGTGCGGGCAGTTGCCACCATGCCTTCAGAGGGGTCGAGCCCAATGACGTTGGCAAAGTATGGAGCAAGTCCCCTTGCAGCCGGACCAGGTCCACAACCAACATCTACAATAGTATCGAATTGACCTCCTGTAGACTTGTGGTGGTTTACAATTGTTTGATATACACTAGTATCATAATCGGGACGGGCAGAGGCGTAGGCCTTGCCTTGGTTCTCGTCATACGAACTGAATGTCTTCTCAGTTACTGAGAGCGTGGAGTGCGCATCGGATGGTTGAAAAGACATGACTGAAAGTAGTTTAATAAAACCCAAGAGGAGAAAAAAAGTTTTGATATTAAATAGTATTCAATATCTGATTTAGCAACTGTAATTTGTGACGCTATGGTTTCCGTGTGCAAGATATACGTCTGCAAATACGGAGTAAGTAGATCGGGATTGGCGAAATCCGATCAAAGCTTACGCACTAATGTGGGCCGATCACCATTCGAGCGCATCTGTACTGAGAAGCTGAGATATACGAACTACGGAATACATGTGCTCCGTGTTCCGTATACGTATTCGAGAGTACTAGCTTGCATAGTGAGGAGTCCTCGTACTTAGTATTTGATAAGCCGCATGATTTAGAAAATGTTCATATTGAATCTGTTGAGAATCACGTGTGACCACACGTGATCCCCTTTGACAAGCCGTAGCTGCCCCAGTCGCCGTTTGCACAAGAAGACCTTGTCTTCCGGGTCGTTTGTTGTTTGTTTTTCCCTTCTAGATAGCTTCAGCTGTACAGAAATAGAGACCTATTTCAACAGAATCTATCCAAGGGCCGTAACTTACAACAATGCTATTCTTCCCCTTCGGGTAATTAAAACAAATACAAAAATCGAGGAACAAATTTAATAGTAAAAGCTTTAAGCAGACATGTCCAAAGTTACTTACCACGAAACAACCATTGTTGTGTTTGATACCGTCCCTTGGCGCGAATTTCTGGAATCTAATTTGCAAAGAATATTCACCCATAAGAATAAAACATGTGGTAGTAGGTAGAAAGAACTGTTACGTATGTTATGGAATAAGCAATATTTCACTCCCTACTTAAGAAGCTGTGTATATTTTCCCAACTACACAAACGGTAGTTTTGTAGCGTTCCAGCTCTGCCACAGCATTTGTTTTTACGGTGATGTGTTAGGCCTAGTTCTTTACAATTACACCGAGGTCCAGGAGCGAATTTTGTTCCTAAATAGGCATAACCCATGATTAATAACGTTCTGATTCCCACAATGCCGAGGTTGCACTGGCATCCTCTTCTATATATAGCTAACTGATCAAGCCCGTTGTTTGAAAAGCCCCTCTTTAAGCATACCACGAAGGACGGTTTTGAATCCCAAGGGCAAATAAGCGACAATGAGTTCGTCATTAACGGCTAACGTGGCTATCCTAACGACTGCAAAAGTGAAAGATAGTAAGACAGAGCAGGTGCGTAATTGCCTTCAAATGCATTCTACATATATTACAAGGAATTTAAGTCAATCGCAGCATTTTATAAAATCTTGCTAACGCCAAGTTGATGCACAGATTGTGAACAGATGGCAACAATTTAGTGCTTATCTCCGACTTCCTAATACTCAATGTATAGCTGGCGCATGCTTTATATCTGCAGCCAAGAAAGGTTGGTAATTGCAACGTATACATTGGTTATAAACAAGTTAGAGTGTTTTCATTGATATCTGGGGCTAGACACAGGTTTTAAACTGATCAGCCGTATGGAAATTTTCCCCAACGCAAGCGTACTTGCTACTGTGCAAAACTCCTCGGAACATAAACTTTTCAATAATTCCGAGAGCGGCCAAGAACTTTATGAAGACAAGGAGACTGCCACTCTATGGCAACCTATCGGTGGATTTCTGACGCGGAAGAACCGTGCTCCGACCGCGACAGCTGGTGTGCTAGTTTTGGCCAAGTTTACGTGCATCGAGAACGAAAAAGCAGTTCAAAATCTTGTCAAAGTGTTGCAGTACGCATGGCGCTCTCCAAATTCACAGTAGCACTATGTTGTATCTCGTTCTTGACGCTAACTTATTTTAGAACATACTGCGACTGGGTTGAAAGCAATGAACTCACGACATATACATATTGCGTAATGACAAGTCAAACGGCAAGTAAGGAAGTCTTGCTCTTTGAGCGTTATATGGATCTTCCCTCTGTCAAGACCCATGGTCAAACAAAAGAATTTAAATCTATGTCGTAAGTATACCTGTACTAACCGAAGCGCTGTTTGCCATAAATGGTAAAAGGTTGATCATAAAGCTAATGAGTACAAAGGAAACAAATTTTACCTTGGATTGAAGCAAATCGTACCGAAATAACACGATGGAATGAGCTGGACGGTTCTTTTGTCTCTCCCATAGATTTAAATCCCACAGCGAAGCTCTAGGGATAATTCATTAAACTTATAAACCCGTATTCTATTCTATGAAGCCGTTTGCACCTGAAACTGTGTATGCGGAATACGTCAAGCGTACTACTACCCAAATCAGTGAAACGCGAGCAGAAGCACTCTATAAATGACTGGGATGAAAGTGGCGAAGTAAACGTTATGAAATATTCTAAAGGCCAATAAATATAAGAATAGATGAGTTGGGACCGATGTAGGGTGTTCTGCTTTACCGGAGGATGAGGAAAGTATTTAAGTCTCGGAATACCCTTGCGCTTCAGGATCCTCCACGTAAGCTAGAACGGGAGGAGTACCACGAATCCCACAAGGTAAAATACGGCGGCCTAAATGTGACTGCTAGCTACGGGGGTTATTCTCTTCATTAACATATTTTGATGGACTTGATGGTTCAAATTCAGTCTCTTTTTACTATGTTTTCTGATTCGACGATTTCTCAAGCTCCCGTTGTACCTCTGCTCTCTTCATAGTGTATCACAGTAATCGGATCAAGACGTTACACAGGGTGATTGTTACGCCGACAGGCAACTAACAATCGAGATGCTGTCTGTCAGGTTAGGCATAGCTTAACAAGTAATTTCGTGTCAATTTTTGAGATGGTGAGCTCCGGATAATCCGTGTGAACCATTACCGAGGATTCGCACAGTGTAATATTTACAAAGGGGTCAAGGGAACCATGATTCACTTCTGAGGTATATAGTATATCTTCAAGATATAGCATCGCGATACAATTTGACAGATAATGAGGAGAAACTGAAATGATTGCCGATATGGAAAAAAAAAAAAACTCGGGCTGACTGCTAAGGACCAAGGATTCCAGTTTACTAACATTTAGTCACTTGATTTCAGCTTATGGTTCAGATAATCGGCAATTGGATCATTAGTGGCGTATTGAGAAGGTGACATTGTACCTACCCGAATATCCGCCATTTCAACTAATACCAGGTAGGCAAAAGTAAGCTTTTTAAGGCCAAGGAGGAATAATGCACCTCGCTTGCAATCTAAGATTGCTTAGTCGTCGCAGGTACTGAGTACATCGTCATTTTCGTAGCAGCACAAAGTCGAATGCTATTCCCTCCCCCCCCCTTCTCTCTCTCTCTCTCTGAGATCCTGATATCATAATATTTATATGGTAAATTCCCCACCATAAATTATTTTGGCAGGTAGCTATTTCATAAAAAGTCAATTTGCACTCGGCGTTGAAGTAGCCGATGTTCTTCCTACAGCGCTTTCCATTGGCCTGTCGGACCCTAGTTATTCCGTCGGCAGAAAGCGGCAGCACAAAGTCTTCTCAATTTTCTTCATGAGCTGCAGTCGACCAGTTACTCAAATAGAGCTCGTATCAAATCTCTTAAATCCAAAGCCAGTTTGGTATACATACATTAAGCAGCAATGACACAATCCAAGTCGATGAAACGGAAGCGAAATGCTCAAGTAAAAATCCCTCAAAAGCATATCAAAATCACAAAGACATCATCAGCGGCGGCTTCGCTACCTGATGACGAACCATTTGAGATCAAGCGTCTGCAGACAGTTATTTCAGACGAAGAACTAGCTATTACAATTGACACACTTACGACTCTGGCGCAATATCCCAGCTTGACAAAGTCTAAGCTTTGCAGAAATCTTCGAACCGCAGTCTATGAGTTTCGTCAATCCTGCACTACCGGCGTCAATGCTACCAGTAAGCCCTTTCCCGCAACCACTGCCATTGCAAGAGATGGTGAAGCTAAGATTCATTTAGCGGAGAACGCAAACCTTACATCACGTGTATCTGCCGCATTAGCTGATGAAAAGTACCTCGAGGCAAGGATTTTGCTCGCTGAGATGCGACTCAGAGGTGAAGAACCCAAGCTGGGTGCCCTGTGTCGATGGGTGCGAGACCTTGACGTTGTCACGCAGCCCAAAGGTATAAGCATCGACAACCCTCAGCGCTCCGCAAAAGATGATGAACTGCTCAGCGTACTTGATGCTGTACTACGCGTCAGCTGCCCGGTTGACGAAAACATTAGCGTCACAAAGCCCCTACCTGGGTCTTTATCCCATATAGCTTTTCAGGCCACATGGGATGTGCGGCCTCCTACTAAACCACAAAAAGTATACGAATCTGTTTTAGATAAATCCATCTTTGCTTCAGCACCAAGTTCGGTCGCCTCTTCTCTTCGTATCATCGAAACAACACCTGGCCATCTCCGCAACCCCCCCAATCATCATCCGGCTATACTTTATACTTCTCAGCCTAGCACTGTCCCGTTGTCATTGGACAATCCTCAGATTACACATCATAAGCATCCCAACGTACCCAATCTCAGCCTCGCTACGAATGTTCTTTCACCCGATGAGTGCAAGGCGATTATCGCTGTTGGAGAAAGAGTTGGCTTTCTTCCTGATACTCCAATTCGTGAAGGTGGGGATACAAGTGTTCTGGCGCACAATTTCTATTGGGTCATCGATACTGCATTTCACGATACACTTTGGTCACGCATTTCTCCTTTTGTGCCAGCCTCAGTCAATGGGCGCTTGGCTCGTGGCCTCAATCGGCGTTTCCGTGTGTACCGGTATGTTCCCGGTGCTGAATATAGATGCCATATTGATGGAGCTTGGCCGCCATCTGGTATCCGGGCTGATGATACATATGTGTACGACGATTCGCCTGTAACGAAGAAACAGAGCTCATTATTTACCTTCTTATTGTACCTGAACGACGAATTCGAGGGCGGAGAAACAACTTTTTTCATTCCAGCGCCGCTAGAGGGAACGCTCAATGCCTACCGCGTGAGGCCAGTTATGGGTGGTGTCGCTATCTTTCCGCATGGTGAGACGCGGGGAGCATTATTGCATGAAGGCTCGAGTGTAACAAAGGGTGCCAAGTACATTATAAGGTCGGATATTGAGTACGACATCGATCCTTCAGATTAGTATTAGCTAGCAATCCCTTCACACGCATATCTGATATACAAACGCCTGGAAATCATTTGGTTAGTACGAGTTTGTAGTACAACTTTGCTATAATAAACCAATAATTTGGCTTAATAACCTTACAATTATATAGGATAGTGTAAATTTATATGGTATTAGCCAACACTTATAGGTATTAAAATCCATTCCTTTAAAGCAGTTAACATCATTATGCATCTGAGAAGTGCCATATTGGCTATGGCTATATACACGTATTTTATCAAGCTATATACTAATTGGCCTATTTACAGTTTGTACATATATGCCGACTGTACTACATACATGCAAATTAGAAGTTTAAACATCCGTCATCAACATATTTACATAGTGAACATAAGAATTAAACTCTCCCAGTCCTCGTGAACTTGCATAAGTCAACGTTGCATCTTCCGTGTGCGGACGAGTGCATCGGAACAACCAGCATCTAAACATATGCTGAATTTAGCTTGCAGCACACTTGCCACTCTTGCAGACAAAGTCATCAGAGCAATCATCATCAGAGCCACAAGAGGCACCAATGCAGTGGCCTGCCCAGCTGCAAGTGGTGGGAGGAGGAGTTGAGCCACCGCTTGAGCCACCACCACATTTGCCGCTGATACAGGTGAGGTCATCAGAACAATCATCGTCTGAACCACAGGTTGCACCGGCGCAGTGGCCTGCCCAGCTGCAAGTGGTAGGGGGAGGGGTGCCACCATTTCCTGGATTGCTTCCGCCGCCATTGACGGGGCCAGTAGGCTGGCCAGGGGCATTGGTGTCGAAGTTGTAGAGGGTCTGGTCCAAAATTTGCCAGGAGAGATTGATATGACCGGCAAAGCAACCATTGGGGTTCAATGCATCAAGAGAAGATAAGCTGAAATCCAATCCAGGAGCACCATTAGGGTTCCACACGGTGTTGGTAGATGATCCAGTACCACATCGCTCACAACCATCACCAATGAAAAATGGAATGCTAGAGGGCACTCCATTGATACTAACAACAACTTTTTTGCCACAGTATTTTCCCAGGTTTGAAGCAAGCAGAGTGTGGTTCATAGCAACAAGATTGTTGTTGTTGATCTGGTTCAAGGACAAGCCGGTAAATTGATTGCATTCAACGAATCCTTGGTTCATGTTCGCGAAGTTGTTACCGCAGCCAGTGCGATCTTTGATATCATAATAGTATGTTCCAAATCCATTTCCCGAGTTGATTACTGCTTGAGAAAGTGCCAGCTTGGCGAATAGGCCAACGGAGGCGATGGTTTCGGTCTTCATATTTGCAATAATAGGCCGTTTGATGTAGAAGAATACGGGGAATTGACCGTTGAAGACTGGTGAAGATTGGCTTGTTGGTAGCTTTTTGCAGCTGGATGCAAATACGATTATATGGAGATGACGAGCTACTTATACTTGATCATACAGGTATGCAAGAGAAGCATTAATCAGGGCAAACGGCCCGAAGTAACATACGAGAGGTTGAGCGTATAATCGCATAGAATCAAATAGCGTGAAGATATTATATTAATATAAGCTTATAAATATCAGTGTCCTGCCTTTCTAGGCAAATAGAAAACACCAGCAAACCACCATATGACGCTAAAAATTCATGGATAAAAAAGTTGTTATCACAATGGGAATGGTACATTTTTCTGCCTTCCTCTTTAGAGAGAAGAGCTTCCTACTGCGTGTCAGACATAAGACAGTCGGTATCCATAAACAACAAGTCACCCTTGTTACTCAGAAATTAACGGCCCCGCCGAAAGGGGAAAAAACGCTAAGGAGCACAGAGCCCCATGTTTCATCCGTCTTCATTCATGCTGATGCTCCGGATTTTAAATTAGGAAACCAGCGAATGTTCCAGTGAACAATATGCCTCCAATGGTAAGTCCAGTCTTCCATGAAGCTGTATCAGAATCAAACGCCCCAAGAGCAGCATTCGTAGATGTTGCAGCCGCACTCGTGATAGTTGTAGTTTCTGTCACAGCACTAGCAGCGCAGACAGTCGCCGTGGCCATCGCGCTCGCCTACGCAAAGGCGCTCGGCGAGGCAAAGTCGTCTGCGCGATTGCATGCACCAATTCCAATTGCTGAGGCAAGGCAATCTTAGAGCTCAGGACCAGTTGGGCCATTGGCAACGATGGGACAATAGGCACTACATCCAGTACTGTTACTGTAATACTGGACGACAGGAGCAGGGCCGCAGCATTTCTTGAATCCAGCGACCAGGAAGGTAGGGTTATCGCTACCAGCGGCGCATACGCCATTTGGAAGAGGGCTGTTAAATTGTTTGCAAACCATGCCGGTGATTAAATAGAACGTGTTCGAGCATTAAGGGTGGCGATAGCAAATATGCTTAGATATTAGAACGCAGTAGAATTTGGCAGTATGCTTATTTATCCTTGAAGTTTTTACCATTGCAGGGGAGGCTTTGTATGGGATGGACGACTATATATAGAGGTTCTCCAGAATATGATTGCTTGATTATGTCGACTCTCAACAATTGGAAGGAGTCTCATAATAGTAATCTCTTCACGCAAAATCATCATGTGCTAACCTATACCGTGAGTTGGATAGGAACGGGAAGTAAGCATTTGAAGCGATTACTATTACTTTGTCAGTTTAGGCACACAAGAATCGCGCTGTAACTCCACCCATTCACTAATTCAGCTTGAGGACCACACCGCATTTTCTATTTAGCTTTAAATAGCAATTATATAGTAAGAATTTAATGCCGTTCTTTTCATCGGGTTTTATGGGAAACTACGATATCCGATATCTAATATCTGATATGTGAGATTCATAATACCGCCTTTGTTCTATCGGACTTATAACGAAAAACAAAACGGTAAATATCCGGATTACTATACACCACCATAAATTTGTACCTTCTATACGTGCGTGTAGGAACACTACTCTGTATTACCATGCATTTCAAGTTAAATTGTGAAGTGGAACATTTTCCACCAAAAAGAAAAACATCAAACGGGGGAAAGACATATAATCTAGTGTAGTACAAGCTTATAATAGCATACAAGCATATAACGCTAATATGCTTTGGTTTATATCTGTCGACCATACTAATATACGAAGGCAGAAACAAAGTAATCATATCCAGTCCTTATGGTCACTTCCGAACCTGTAATCTGTGATTTAAATTAAAATGTCCGCTTCTTGTCTTTGTGCGCATGCCGCGACCAACACACCGATCCCTTGGACTTGTTCATTTTCACATCTACCACAGGATAGTTACTCTGGTGGAACTACATATTCATCGACAAATCATTATCAACACATCTCAAAGCTGACACTTAATGCCACGATGGGTATATCTATTCTACTGCGAATTTGGATGGGCATGGTTTATGTTGAACTTGAATTGCGCATATTGATCATGCAAGTGACTCAATTTAATATTCGAGTAGAACAAAGTAGTACGATTAGTTTTGTAATGAGCAGACACATGTTGTTTCCATACAATTGTTTGCGTTCCAATCTACAAGATTCGTGGATAATAATAATTACTGAGAAAATTCATGTTGCATTTATGAATTAAAATATTGATGACGAGTGAAAATTTCGAATAGACATTTGATGGAGCTGAGAAAAGGAAGAGCGAATGTTATTTGTCATTGTTACAGTGATAGAATGGGATGAACAAGGGAGGGACCAAATATTTCCACCTTGTCAATCACTGTATACTTTTTACAGTTACACGGGATTCTTCCTAGTGTGAAAATGTTCTATTAATTTCATGCATTATGTCCGAGATAGCATATGATAGTTATATCTATCTGTTGATATATATGTTTGACGGCTTTTTCATTTGCAATAACGGAACCATTTCCAAGTAGCCTCATAGCCTGTATATATTTATTCACCTAATATAGCAGAAGCTCACCTCATCGGATGAGGAATAATGCATGAGCCTATATACTTGGGCCCAATGTTTATTATATGAATTGCTAAATTTATATACATTGTGAGGCAGTACATGTTGGATTTGAGAGTGCTTGCTGACCTTTATTACGATGCGCTGTTTGTGAGTTCTCTTCGAGTCTTGATAGTCACGTCTAAAATTCGTCTGTGGAGCAGGAAGAATAGTTACGTGTAGATTTCTCATTGCCTGTAGTAATCCTCGGCACTCTTCCAGCAAAATCGTTATGAGGATAAATGTTTAACAGGTTATGAGATAATGAAGTAATGAAAATAGACTAAGCAAGAGGTATACACTGATCTGAGGAGATACATATAATGTATACATCGAGCAAATATAGAGTTAAATTTCTAAAATACACGTCGTGGATTGATTGTTTGAACATCTCCCAAACATGGAGTTCAACGATATTTTGGATCTCATCTCTCTGCATGAGTTCGGGACCTCCAACCGCCTGTTTTCTGTTTTCATATGATAAGAATACATCCTTGTACTGTATCTATATATCACTTGCCTTTTCTTTTTCGAATCGATTCAGATGCTTAACCCAAGTGACGTTTCAGCAGCATCTTGCTTGTCCGTCGTTGCGTTGTTCATATATTATTAACATATTCTGAATTTCCTACTGTACTGCAACTTTTGTCGTCCAATGTGATTTTGTCGTCCAATGTGAGCAAATACTTATGTTCCACGAAGCTCTAGTGCTGACTTGACTTCAAGCTAAGAAAGGCAGGTTTTTGTAATTGGAGGAATTTGATCACCTGTTGTAACATGCAAAGATACGAATCTAAATCCGCCTGAGGATTGGCTCCATTGGGCAATCTGTTTCCTATGGCCGCGTTAGGTATTTTAAGAAATGTTTTTCCTCGAATGAGCAATATTTTTCCGAGTCAACGTCCCCTTCCATAAATCACGCTTACGCAGGGATTGGCTGTTTTTGGGGGCTTCCTAATTAATCCAAAGACTCAACCTTCCTAATTAAGCTTACTTTAGTGTGTGGCTTTCGTAGCAAGGGGGAGACTCGAAGTAAATGTCACCGCTCTGAATCCTTTCCCGTATTTGGTAGTAGACATCCTTGCAAACTCGTATTTCTAAAAACACTACTCATGGGTATATAAAGACATCGGCAACTACCTGATCTCTGGGGTCAATTCAAGCTCACGCATACACTCAGAAGCGCTTGAAACATTTGTACAATCTTATCACGATGCATTCTTCGACTTTGCTCACTCTCCTTGCGACGGGAACTACCTCCCTAGCCTACACTATCCCCGCCAATCTTCAAGCAATCTACAATGCCCATAAGGTCTGAACCCACCTGCTACTACCAATTTACATTGCTAACATGAATGTTGCTGAATCAGGCGGGAACTTGCTCCAAGCCCCTTTCTGGAACTTCTTCTTCTGGGGCTGTCTTTTGCGCAGATATTCCAAACGCCATTTTTCTCAAGGGAAGCAATGGAAACTATGATAACATGGACGTCGACTGTGATGGTGCCGATGATAAGGCCGGTGATTGCTCCAATGACCCTACTGGATATGGCGAGACAGCGTTCAAGGACACTGTGCAGACATATGGTATTTCCGATTTGAACGCCAACATTCACCCGTATGTTGTTGTTAACGAGCCGCCTTATTTCGATGCCGAGCACTACGGCTTGAAACCATTGAGTGTCATGGCGGTTGTTTGCAACAACCAGGTGGTGAGTTTGATCTTTTATCTATCCGTGCTACACTTTGTCTTCATTAATTGATGCAATGAGCATTCATAATTTGAAGAGTTTTTGCTTACATGTTACTTAGTGGTACGGTATCTGGGGTGATACCAACACCGAGCCAACTACCGGAGAGGCATCTATTTCACTTGCCCAGTTGTGCTTCCCCAACGAGGGTCTTAACGGTGATTTTGGACACGGTACTAAAGATGTGTTATATATCGGATTCCTCGGCGATAATACTGTTCCGGGCAAGACTGGTGCCAAGTGGAACGCGAAAAATGTTTCGGATTTTGAAGCTAGCATCAAGGCAATGGGGGATAGGCTCGTTCAAGGTCTTGGTAGCAACAACGGCGGCGGCGGTACTAACCCTCCCCCTCCTACATGCTCTTGGGCAGGCCACTGCATCGGTGCTTCTTGCGGCTCTGATGATGACTGCTCTGACGACTATGTCTGCTCTAGCGGCAAGTGTGCTGCTAACGGCAGCGGTGGCACTACCCCTCCCCCTCCCCCTCCTACATGCTCTTGGGCGGGCCACTGCATTGGTGCCTCTTGTGGCTCTGATGATGACTGCTCCGATGATTATGTCTGCAAGAGTGGTAAGTGTGCTGCAAGCTAAATTAAGCACCAGTTTTAGCCATTTGTTCTCTCGCTCCTTTGTTCGAATGAGATATGGATTATGAAGCGCCTTTGAGCTCCATGTTGCGCATATATGCGTTAGGTTGCCGGAATCCGTCATAGCCGGCTCTGTGCTTATTTGTCTTTTATCTATGTGTTGAGAGTTGGGACGAAACTTTGCACATTCGGTACATATATATATATATATATGCATCTGTGTGCGTATAGCTACACAAAATTGTATATAAAATTGAATAAAGAAACCTCAATGAAGATAAGAGATTCAACAATGTTGTAGCGGCTGGAATCATATATGCTATTTTCATAAGTTATCAAATAATTTCCTTAGTGTCGGAAAAGTTAGCAGGGTAATAAGGCATGCAACGTTTGAGTTGCAAGCGCATAACTAATTGGACTGCCTGCAATAAGACAAAAAGGTGTTGAAATACGGATTTACCATTGCCCTAAGCATCCTGGTGTTTGGTAAGATGCGCTCTATACAGTAACACCTTAAACATAAAATTATGCTTACCATTAGTTGTATATGGCATGTATGGCTCGATCCAGCTACGTAGCTATAATCTTTATGTTGTGATGATCATTCATATGGTTATGGAAAAGTTCTTTCTGCATGCCATATCTTTTAGTCTTGGGATTTACCTGCTTGCAACTTATTCGTTGAAGACAATCTCGCAAATCGGAGATTCCCAAACTAAGAAAATTAGTTGGAAAATGGGGCTCTTCGGCCACAGCAAGTTTTTTCTCAATTCCACATCATTTGAAAACATGACTTAATGTTTACAGTGAACTTTGGATTTAGGTATTTTGTTTGGCTAATTGATATATAGGCGTGCAATTTATTGACCAATATAAAGCATTCTGTTGGACTTACATTTGCGTTTCTCTTACAGTTGCACGGATAGTATATACACCTATTATAATTACATTAGTTTGAGAATAATCCTAACGCTAATGACAAGTTGTATATATTTACGGCTATTGGTAGCTGCTGCTGTTGTTGTTGTTGTTGCTGCTGCTGCTGCTGCTATTATTATTATTATTATTATTATTGTTATTGTTGTTGTTATTGTTGTTGTTATTGTTGTTATTGTTATTATGGCAGCCTAGATAAAGTTTTAGCCTGGTTTATCCCACTTACAATAAATTATATTATACCAATCACCAACAGAGTAGCAAAGCAATATTAATTTTATTACTGAGAGCTTTGGTAGCGGTTGTTATTTACCATAACTGCTTAAAGCAAGAATGCATTATTTTGCTAGAGAATCATAAATTTTATATAAAGGAAGGCGCCTGAGCTGAGGAAATGAAAATATCCATCTCTATATAAAGGGTGTGATTTTATTTTGCCCACCACCGGATCCGGTTTCGGAATTCTCATCACCGGTCAACTTAGATTATTATCAAGCTCTAATATGAGCTCGGAGTAGATTTAGATCTAGAAGTAAAACCCTTTGGAAGTAGTGGGGTTATAAGAGCTTTGATCATCAGATAAAATTTGCAAATAGCGAGAGTGGCTCTGAATATAGCGACAGAAAAAAATCCCTCACCGTTAGTGTAAAATTATCTCCGAATTATGCATTAGTAGCACCGGATATATTTCTCGCATTATTAGATTCTCGATATCGCAAGATCAGATAAGATGTATGTATCTAGACTTTGATGTAGTAGAAAGCATTTGAGTCCTGCACTCGAACCACTTCATGGGATAAGCTTACACATATATAGCTAGCTGCATAGCATATATACTTGTGATATTTCTATACTTGATGATGGCTATTTTAGCCTATCAATATGTAAAAGAAGCTGATACCTGTCGCCATAAAACTATGTTCTTGAATCGGCTTTATTATCCTTCGGATTGTGCACCAACACATTCAACGATCCACATAAGTCATCTGACGTCTTCGGCCAATACATATCATATCCTTTTCTCCGAATGTCGGCGAAAGATAAATTTATTCTTATGAAGATTTTGGAATCTATATAAAGAGACCATAGCTTGAATAAATGAGATCCTATTTGTTCAGTATTACATATCTTTCTCCAGATATTTCCACAAGCAATGGAAAACGCCAGTGCTTGCCAAAACTCACCACTAGGGCCGGTTGCACCTGAGTCAATTGACCCTGGTTGCCTCACTAAACAGATGAATAGCACACACGGAGAGGAATTAACCGTGGGCATCAAAGAAACAGATGGCACTTCTCCAGTTCTCTTGTCTTTCATATGGTTCGGCATGTTTTTGTTGGCAATTGCCGTGAGTCTGGCTGGACAGACAATGCTGTCTTATCAGCCATATGCCCTCTCTGAGTTCAATCCTCATAGCATGATCTCAGTAATAGGAACAATTCAATATATATTGTATGTACAGGTGCTCTACATGCTAAACTATAATCTGACGGCTGATGGATCAGATATGCAATTGTTAGGCCAGCTTTAGCGAGGGCGGCGAATATATGGGGACAACTCGAAGCATTTAGCTTGTCCATCGCGGCGATATTACTTGGGTTTGCAATTGACGCGGCTTCTCAGAATATAGGAGGGTTAGCGGCTGGGCAGATTCTCTATACGATTGGACAAGTTGGCATACAGTTTCTACAGCAACTCCTTGTAGCCGATATTACAACGTTGGAAAATCGATCCATCCTTGGAAGTCTTATTTTATCCCCTACAATATTTACTTCTTGGATCGCAGCTCCTATTGTCAGCACCATGGCTCCCACAAGGTGGAGATGGTAAAATCATTTTCCAACCATTATTGATCTATACACAATTGCGCTAACATGAATGCAATAGGGGATACGGGATGTGGTATGTCTTAGAATGAATGTGTTGAATAATAGTCACGAATTGACATTAAGAATAGGGCGATAATATTTCCCATCATTTCTCTACCACTTTTATTTTCCCTTTGGCGACAAAAAAAGTATACCCGTATTCTGGAATCTAAGGATACGCATCGAAAGTCGGAGAGTATTTCTGCTCTCTGGTCGCAACTTGACGTTGCCGGACTTGTTATTTTGACAGCTAGTTTAACTTTTGTCTTACTCCCGATGACATTGTCAACTTCGATCTTCCGCTCATGGTCCTCGCCTAGGAAAATAGCTATGATTACTGTTGGAGGGTGCTGCTTTATTGCCTTTTTAATCTATGAGCTTTACGTTCCAACTCGCCCACTCATTTTGCTCAAGCTTGCAAAAAATCGAACCATTGCAGCGGGATGTATATTACAGTTTGTCCTCTATCTAAGCTTTTATATTTGGGCACCGTATTTCTACTCATTCATCGTCATTGTCAACAATCTCTCTTCTAAGGCGGCCACAAACATCACCGCAGCCCAAACAGTTGCAATCGCTGTTATTGGACTTCTGGCCGCCTTTCTTGTCAGATTAACAACCCCATGTAAGTGGGTTATTATGCTTGGCATGGTATCAAAACTAGTCGGCGCAGGACTCATGCTACGATACTCCAATACTACAGCAAGTACTATACAGATTCTATTCGGTCAGCTTGTTTCCGGTGCTGGGACCGGCATGATATCTATCATTGCGCAGACTGCTGTACAGGCCGTAACACCACGTCAAGGTACGAGACCTACCTGTACACAATTCTTTAGAATCAATATGCTCTAACCGTAAATGTCGCATAATACAGACGTTGCATCGGTTACAACTTTATATGAAGTCTGTGGCGCGATTGGGGGAGCAGTTGGTAATGCCATCTCCGGTATTGTCTGGACATCACTTCTTCTCTCTCGGCTTCGAGCAAACCTCCCCGCAACAGCACAATCCGCAGCAGTGGAAATCCAAAACTCCTTTTTGGTAGCATCGTCATATTTGCCTGGTAGCTCTGAGAGAATTGCCATTGACAAGAGCTATACGGAAGTGATGCATGTCCTTCTTATTGTAGCACTGGCAGTGCTATCAGTCCCATTCTTTGCAATGTTTTCAATGGAGAATATAAAACTAAAGGAGATTGATATGGAACAAGAATAAAGGAGTATCCTAGGCGAACTTTGAACAGGGCAGTATACCAGGCACCTTTATAGATGTTAAATATAAAACCAAGAATACAGTTTCAATAAAGATGCAACAGGTGCTTATTCCCTTATCGAAAAGAAATGTATAGGTTCTATAGTTTCATAGTGGCTATGTTCAAATCGATGGAACTTGAAAATAGACAGTTATGGGTTATACAACATGGCCAACTCACTGCCAAAGAGACCGATTGGGGCTTCAACCTTTCCATCCCGCGCACGTTTCTCTCCACTCTCTCATACTTACCTTTGCCATTCATCCACCACACCTCCCCCATTCCCTTCAAAAATACTAGACAGCGTGTCATTATCTATCGTTAATGGATCGTGTTGAAACAGGAGTTCTAGGAATCCGTCCTGGCATCTGTTGGTCATGGCTCCTATGAAGCAACGGAGAGTTTTGGACGATGCGCCTGCATAGTAAGCTTGATTTGGGCTAAGCACATAACGTCGGGCTTCGTTGTAGATAACCTGCCTATCCTTGTGTAATATGTTTGCATCAAATAATTGTAACAGTTGGAGCATATCGTCTTCTACAGTGAGTATGCCTTGCTTCGATTACTGAGGGAAGTTGTTTATCGGTAGAGATCGAATGATGATCCTATAACCAAACTAGCCATATCCCATATTATACAAGTCATATCTGCGAGTATAGAGCTGAGAAATACCATGCGTTAGTTTCCATGCATGCAGCAGCAGGTCATATTTTTGGCTATTATTTGCTTCATGCGCCAGCAGCCAAGACAGACTAATCAACAGTATTGCAGACAGCCGAACCTGTTCCGCAAGCTGTCCATCTGATGAAGCCAGGCATGTCTATGATAGAAGAGCGTTCTGTTCAGGTAATATGAAACTGCGAGTGTCATGGTAGAATTCCCCGAATCGTGAAAATGGATGTGCAATGCTGTAACGCAGGCATTGGATTCAAGATGACTTCTGACTCGAAGGATATCTGTGGAATGACCCGCTGCCACACTTTGATAGATGATACCTCGTAGCAGTGTGGCATAGAGTGAGCCATCGCGGTGCTGTAGTAGTGCATTGGGAAGAGCTCCGCGGATCGGTCCCGGCTTACTTGGTGTACAGATAGCGGAGTGGTGCCAACGCGGGACCAGAGGTCGGCATTCCCGCATTCATGGCAACATCAGGATGGCGAGTTGTTCATGATCTCCAATATGCTCGTGGTGAGCCAACCCGACTTAATAGGATGTGGCTAATCGCCGTTGGAAACGAGTTTTCATGCCTGTTTTTGGGACTCCTTAAAGGCAGCCAATTGTTTCCAATAGCGAACCTCCATATCGCCCAATCACTCATTAGTATAGGTAATATGACGGAAAACATGTTTAATGACCACTGTGGGCTGATTATTCATTACAAAGGATTGATTACAGTGCGAATGTGAATGGGATACTTACAGTGGGTCAGCAAAAGTCAAGACAACCCCACAGTATACACCAAAAGACAGCATATATAAACATAAAATTAACTTTAATAATAAAGAAAAAAATACATAATAAATAAAAATATTTATAATTATATACAAAAAGATTTATAAAATCTTTTTATTATATTTTTTTTTTTTAAATATATTACTGTAAATAGCGGCTTAAAGTTTACGTATTTTTAACTTATTATTTACACTGTAGCTAGTGCATTTATAGCGGCCTTTTAGTGTTTTTATAGTGGAAAATACAGTGCTAATATTAAGTAAAAACATCTATATTTTACTTTTTAATTCTTTTAAAATTCTATAATAATAACAAATAAAAAATAAACCTTTATATAAGAACTTTCACTATGAAAAAACCTAAATATTTAATTTTATTTAATTCTATTTATATTTGTAAGATTTATAAAGGAGTGACAGGTACTGATTTTGTTAGGCAATAGCTGGTGTACTGTGGGGCTCGTCGTGACTTTTGCGTCCCCACTGTACCAACACACGCGCCTCCACAACAATACTAACTCTTGTATGAAACAGTGATTTTTTGCTTATCAGTACAGCGTATTCAATGAAAGTATTATGACAGCTTTTGAATCGGCAATCGTGTATGCGCCTGCAACAAGAGCAGGTAAGTTTTGTGGGCATCGCATCGCAAAAGCACCCGTCGCTGTTCGATAACATGCTAGAGGGCGGATTGAGCTTCGTTATTGCGAGAGGTGGATAAAAATCTATGAAAAATACGGTAACTCGCTCTTTTCCTCCAATACATTAATGCTCTGAGACAGCTATTACTGCTCTCATAGACAAGTTGCGGATGCCTTTCCCACGTGTGGATGTTATCATTCTAATATGACAAGCAGAATATTTAGAGATGGTGTAGCAGTGGGTATAGTCATGGCCTTTATCTTAAAGCTGGAAACAAATGATTCACTAGCCCCAAGGACCTCGGAACCGCTTGGATGTATCCATTCTAAAATGCCCAGTTAATGTGATATTTCCCGCAGTATCAAGCTTGAGCTGTGCATGTTTTTCTTCCCGCCTCAATTGGTCAATATCTCTAGCACTAGTTGCGAGCAATGACCGGACTTCGTGGTCGGGTAGATGAGCAAGACTTTGCTGGTCCCCCCGCGTAAGTCGTAACATTTGGGTGTGCGAGGATGCCGTATTATTATTATCTTGCATTGGAACAATCTCTGATGCTTGTGTTGGTGTCACTACAGGCTCTACGCGTCGCTCCACTAACTGGCCAGCTGCTCTTGGAGTGGATGATCGAGACGCTCTTGAACGGTGATTGAGAAGCTTGCCTGATGGTAGTCGCAGTACTTCGTCGTTGACGTAGTATTCTGGTGTGGCAATATTATAGAATTCTGCAATATCTGAAGCAATGTTGAACCGGCAATGCCCTTTGGCTGTCATGTGGTGCTGAATCCCCTCAACAGTGCTACGGCGCACAGTGCACAGAATGCACTCGCCATATCCGTATATAATCAAGTGCAAGTATCCGATAAGCGTATCAGACTCGACTATCAAATCGCCCTCACGGGGTATGGTGAAACTGTGTTCCCTTGACATATGCGCGAGGTTATCATTAAATGTATCGCTCTCTGTGCCGCAGAAGAGACATTGTTCGGGTTTGAATTCCGGCTTTGCAGAAATATCTGTGTCGAGATCGTCGATTTCATCATCCGAATATTCCTTGCCTACTGCATCTACAGCTCTGTTTGGACTTGATGGCGAAGATGCTAGTGGCACGATTGTGCCAGGTTCTGCTATTCGCACTCGAAGATTGTAGACACTATTGTAAAAGGGTTAACATCTCGTATCTTGTATATTGTTTTCAATCAACTCATAAGACGTACTGCGAATCGCTCTTTGCGTGCTGTCGCCAATCGTTCGGGCCAGCTAGCGCTATATTACAGAGTCTGCAAAAAGATGGGGATTTATCTTCCATTTTGGTGGAGAGTAGATCGCTGGTGGCTCCTATTTCTGGAATTTTGGCGGTTTAGTGATTGTGTTGGCAATCAGGTAACAATATGAGACGAGATTGAATGAAAGCTTATGAGCTACTATTTGGAATTAAAAGTGATGGTTTATTTGACAAGCACAGAGTTAGGCTTTTGGAATGAATATATATATTACATATATCTGGATCGAGTACATACCTGTTGACTGGACTGATGCTCTGTGAATCTTCAAGGCTCGCATTGCCCGAGATAGTGGGTCCTGAGTTACCCAACAGGATCTAATATGTTTTGACTCATACTTTGGTTATTCGGGTTGCTTCATCTCGTTACACATCAAGCCATTATGAGTCATATCGTGATTCATCAATCTTGGCTACAAACGGCTCGCTGGGCGATCTCATGTGCGGGGCACTCTCAACACCGACCGTACTGCCACCGCCTCAAAACAGTCATTGCTTACTTCTAGCGAACTAATTACTTTCAGTCTGCATATGCATATTAGATACCAAGAGACAACCCTTTGATTCTAGTAGCCAATTATTAGGTCGATCTATGGAAAATTTCTATCTCTCGGACCAAACCTATCTTTGGATACCCATTCACTATCTTACTGAGATAATGCATTTTGGGCCTCTGCGAGCACTCCATTATTCTCAGTGGCGGCATGGTTTCACTGCAAGTCACTTCTGTACACCAGTTTGCTCAAGTATTTCGCGTTGAGTGGGTCCTTGCTGGATTCTGGATCACGAATGGCACTCCGTGCATTGTTACTAGAGATTGGCTATTGTGACAAGCTCATTTATTCCTATAGTTCCCGCTGCAAGGCGGCATGATGTGAAGAACTGCTAATCTATTGGTGCCGGTTTATTACAGCCGGTTGAATAATAAATAGCACAGTTCTAAGGTAGCATCGGACACGCAAGGCTAATCAATTGATTGACTAAACCCAAGTATTTTCTCTAGCCCATAGTCTGCACTGTAGCACTCACCTGCTGCAATAGGCTATTTTCTATTGTAGCACTCACCTACTACAACTCACGCAATGCTCTTACCTCCTGAGCATTCCCACTATTCCCAGTTCCAGGCGTCAATCGGTCAACGTATAAATAAAGTCTCAGCCGCCACAAGTACATGTGGTGAAGGTCCGCACGCCACTTAGTTTCCGAGAGGTTATGACCAGTGATAAGAATCATCATAAAGAAAGATTCGATAATGCTTGGGGGGATGTTGCAAAGCAGTTGCCCAGTGGTGGTCCATTTCATAATACTGGCGCCAATAATGAGGCCTATGACAAGCATAATTCCCAGTACGACGGTAATCTCATGCGCGCACACAACGCCCATCTTCTCGGAAACAAGATAGTGTATAGAGTTGCAACAGACTTTCTTCTTCTCAGGTAGGGGCAAACTGATATCATCTGAGACACTTGTATCCTCAAGCTTAGCCTCCTCTAGAGCAAGCTGTTCGTACCGATGCAGCCGTTGTTGAACGTTGCGAAGCACGAAGCCATCAATCAACCCAATCAAACCCGCATAGGTACCGATAAACAACCACCAGTTATTATTCCAGTGCATGGCAGGTCCAATGCAAACCCAAATGATTAAGACAATGATGAGAAGCGCAATACCGACAAGAGTCCCAACTACATCTGCATAGTAAAAGATGACTCGCTGAAGGATACCGAAATGAGGCGCAGGAATAACGACCGTTGAGTTTGTCTCTGTGTCATTAGTGAGAATTCGAAGTTTTAACTCAATCTCAGAGTCCACCTCAAAAATTGAATTCATGCACTTCTCAACATATTCGTCGTGGCGTTCGCGAATGTTGGCAAGGAATGTGAAGATCGCAATCATTAGAGCCGAGGTTCCCGAGTTGATATATAATTGCCAACGATCGCTCCAGCCACAGTAGGGCCCGAAGCCCAGCCAAATGAAGATGCAAACCCAGTACATGCAAATAGTACCGAAATGACCCATAAATGCCGAAACATGTTTCGAGGTTCGGCCAATCCAATTCTCTTCAGGTAGTCCAGGACTAAATTTCGATGATTGGCTGCTCTCAATCTCCCCAAGAGAAAGCTTTTTGCATCGTCCGCTGGCAAGAACATGTCGTAACATTCGTCTTTGGCTCTGAATTCGAGATCTCAAGCTTGCAGATGCCCGTACCTGCCTCTCGTACCCATTTAGTTGTTGACGCATGAGCAGAGAGTCAAAGAAATAGCTAACAATCGCTTGCACATCGGAAATGATCGCGGCCCAATTGTCGGATTGACCGTAGCGAATGCCGAGAAGAGCCCAGATAAGGAGGCCACCAATCATGATGAAGAAGACAGATTGAGAGCCAGATGCTTTGACAACTCTATCGAGCCATCGGTCAAGCCTACTCTTCTTGACTCGGTCAACATAGCCAGTGATATTCTTGGTACACATAGATTGCTCTGCTTCACCAACAACACTAGTCTTCTTTCCTTCAGAGACGCTGGTATCCAAAAAAACATGCTGAGTTGGTGCCACATCTTCGATTTCTCCCTTGAATCCAGGAGATGCAAGGGTTTTTATTATTTGCTGGAACATCTCGTCCGGATATTGTACGAAGGGCCGAAAGTGCTGCCGGAAAACGACCGTTAGCCACATATTAGTATTAGTCGACTACAATCAGTACTAGACTCACCTTTTCAACTTGAACAATATTTTTTGTCAAAGAATATAAATTTCGTAGTCTACATTCATGCCTGCACTATTCAGGCTGTCGCTTCCATCAGGTCCTGACCCATTGACCTAAGGTGGCCACAACTCATCGGCCGCTTCGAAAAGAGCCGAAGCAAAGAGAGCTTGTCTCGAGATAAAGATATAAATCGCCAGGATTGCTGTTTCGCGGTTCGAATTGGACCACAAAGTATTGATCTTTTCGTAATATAGATAAGAAAGGGTATGGATAGCCAGAGTTGATTTAATGAAATATGAAAAGAAGCTTGCAATATTTATATACCAAACAATACGCAGCGGTGCTTGATGTATGAGAATGCTGATGGCATTGAAAGCAGAAACGCCAAGAAAAATATTTTATATATAAAATGTGATGGCAGCGGATCTCCGAGAGCTTTTTTTTTTTTCACCGCCAAAAGCGAGGAAACGGATAACCGGCTTTTTTGCATCGGGTCTTCAAGTCTAGACCACATAGATTTCCTTTTAGGTACCATTATGTGAGGTATTTCGGAATGAGCCTCACGGGAGGAAGCCGAGGGGGGTGGCTGTGCTAACTTAAACGAAGTACGCGAATATAGCTCGAATACTTGCTTCAGGCATTTGATAATCTAACAATTTACAAGTATCATTTACGGTCACCGTGTTTCTATGACCTCATATGTAATATTCAATGGATAGTGGGCCGGTGAAAATTTTTGCAGGCGTAAGTCCCTTACACATGTCAGTGTCTGTAAACATCAAGGCTCAAGCTATACAGGCCCGATAGACTAGACGCAGCCGATCTTTTAGGTAGGCATTACCGATTAATAACGGCCGTGAATTGAACTAGCCACGCATTGTAAAAACTGAAATTTCTGTCATGACTAAGTTCTATCGATGTACAGAGGTCTACCACCGAAAATACCTAGCATCACATGTCATACAGATTGCACCAGAAAGTAAACTGATATTTGTAACAATAGTATACATCTTTGAAATGATGCATTATGTTAATTTATTCCGCCATCTAAATGAACTCTGCAAGGGTTTAAATGGCGACATGAAAATACTTATATAAGAGCCATTTCCTCCTTTTCACTAAACCTTAAGTATTTGTGGTAAGAGGAGGAACGCTACGTTAATTAAGCAGTCAATATATGAAAACAACCCAGTAGCTGGTATTTTATTCATTATATATCTCTTGACATGCAATTGTTAAAGAGAGCTATACTAACTGATATATTACAGCGGTGTTGCTAGTCGTAGTGTGTTGGATCTATACGACCACGGCTCGGATTTAGATCTTACAGCCGAGACGGCTGACCAAGATAAATTTTAGCTTAAGGCTTCAAGCACTTTAATATCTCACTGACTTTGTCTAAAGTTTTGTTGGCTACTATACGGAATTACTACCTAACTGGTAGCACTCTGAATTTGGCATCTATCATTGTGGCCAACACGTCGGCCCTTCTCTGTAGTGTATTTATTTTTCATAGCTCTCGTCACAATTCTACTGGCACAAACTCGTCGCGGGAGCAATGGCAAGAGATAGCAGTGGCGCTTCATGCTGGTCATCATGTTCCACTTTTCGACTCAGCCTACTATAGTGTTACGACCTGACCCAACGGAGGTACGTACTTCGGCAGAAATATAGGTAAAAGCAACCAATAGGAACGCAACTTCTCCTGTCTTACGACAGTATATACCCTAAGGAACGTAATAATAGCTTTATTTTTATAAATATAATAATATAAGTTTAAATAAAAACGTAAAAACGATTAAATATATAAATTTATTTTATTATATTTATTTAAATAGTTTAAATAGTTAATTATTAATAAAATATTAAAACTAAATATAAATTACTTTTTTTATTTTATTTTTATATATTTATAATTATAATTATTTAAAAGCTATTTTTTATTTTTTTTATTAATATAAACTTATAACTTAAATTTATTACTTTAAAAACTTTTACTTTATATTAAAAATAAAGATTAAAATATTATATATTAATAATTTTTATTTAAAAAAATATTAACTATCTTTTAAATAAAAAAACTATTATATTTAAATTTTTATTTAATAATACTTTAATTATTAATTTTAATATATTTAAATTTAATAAAAAAAAATATTATTATAAAAAATACCTTAAATTAAAAAAACTGAATTAAAAATTAAATTATAATAGTTTTTTAAAATATATTTTAATTTAATAAAACTTTTATTAATAAAATTAATAAAAATAAAAAATAATTAATTAAAAAAAATATTAAAATTTTTATTAAATATTAATTATTATTTATATATAATAAAAATATTAAAAAACTTAAGGGATATTTAATTTAACTTAAGGTTTATTTTAAAGATTTTAAAAATATTTTTAATATTTTTAAAAAAAAATCTATTTTATAATATTTTAATTTAAAAAATATATATTATAATAGTTTTAATTTATTTTAAATAATTATTTAAATAATTAAAATAAAGTTATTAATAATAAAACTAAGAAAATCTTTAATAATTATAAAAAATATATAAAAAAATTAAAAAAAACTTTTAAAAATATTAAAAAAATCTATATAGTTAAAAATAAATTTATTAATATATATTAAAAAGGAAAATATTTAAATTATATAATAAACTTTAAAAACATTTTTATTTAAATTAATTAAAGGAAATTAACTTTTATTAAATAATTCTATAATAAACTTAAGCTAAAGTTTAAGAAAAAAATATATAACCTTAATTAAACTATATATAACTTTATATTATTTATAAATAAATATATTAAAGCTAATAATTTACTTTATAAACTAAAAATAAATATCTTTAAAAAAATATATAAAAAAAATAAATATTAAATAAATTAAAATAAAAAATAATAAAATTGTGTTGTTGGAAATAATGATGGATAAATTAAAAAAAATAAACTTTAATATTATATAAAAAAAGGAAAATTTTAAATACTATAACTATAGTAAGGTAAATTATATAATTAAAAACTATAGAATTTTTTTTAAAAAAAAAAAAAAAAAAACCTTAAATTTAAAGAAAAAGT